TCGCCGCTCCAATGTGCATGGGGTGGCGTAGTATTTTATAAGATAGGTCAAAGATATTGAATTTCTCTGTTTTCTCATATCTGTCTGTCTGCCTAGGTATAGAAAGCAAAAACATCCTTCAAACCATTCCTATGCTTCCCCTTTAGGAACTTGACTTTCCTTCTTCGTGGTGGACGTATTCCCAGTCTTCAGATTGAGCTGGAGAATCTGAGGACTTCGCAGCATTTTCCTCGAATGCTTGTCCTACTGGCACCCGTCCTGTGGGGCTGGAAGCAGGCTTGGTGTTGAAAGTTCGTTGATCTTGACGAGACACAACGGGTGCATTTAGCCGTCTAATTAAAGCATCAAAAGCTTCTTGACGGCTGACGTTGTTTGCGCCGTTTGTGGTAGAATCTGTATAGGACGGCGGCGCGTTTCCTGCCGAGGGATTGCGTGAAAGGTGAGGAACTGTTGTTTGAGGACCCTGCTGACCAGCTTCAGAGGTGGGCTGTGGAGCAGTTGTCATTGGGTGGGCGTAATCGCTTCTGGGAGCGAGGAGAAGAAAGGCAGGAGTTGGGGTATGCCTTTCAGGAGCAGTCTCCATGGCGCGCTTCTCGCGTTCATAGGGACTCTCCCGGGTTGTCTCCGGGTAAGGGGAAGTCTGGCGAAGAGCAGCTGTCTGAGCCAGCTTCTCAAGAGCAGGGCTACTAACAACAGGGGTCATAGGGGGCACAGGGGACCATAGAGCTGCCGTTTGAGTATCTATCGCTTGGACAGAGCTTGGAGGAGCAGAGGCTGGAAGTTCTTGAGGCACCGAACTCTCATCCTTGGTTTTCTGCTCGGGTGAAAGTTCAAGGTGTATCAGAGCACGTATGTATTGTGCTTGCGCCTTCGCAATATGGTGCAATGGGCATAGGCCGCCAACAGTACCGAGCGTGAATAGTAGAAGGCGGATGGCGACAATGATTGAGCTCAAGACGTAGGGCTTTGCCCATTCAAAATCCGCCAAATATGCTCGGTAAGCCAGAACCAAAACCAGTGTGCAGGCAGTGTGGGCATAGCGGAGCTGAAGGAGGTACATCCAGCTCGAAAAGATGACGGCACGAGTTCGGTTTCTTTCACTGCGCTGAATCCATTCCAGCGGCTTGAACTTGGTGGTAGAATCGCCAGACCCCTGGTTCTTGGCATCGTCGTTCGACTTCGGGTTGAGCTGCTTTCTGACCATGAAGTAGTTGAGAAGAATGAACGAGAGGGCGAGCAAGGACTCCTCGGAGGTTAACAAGTCGGGGGTCACCGCCCTAACGGCCCCAAGAACTTCCACTTTCTTCAGCAGATTTGTGCATGGCACACCCTTTTCTAAGAAAAAGCTATTGACAACACCGTCGTCACCATAGCTCTTCCAGCACAGCTTGAAGCCCTTCATTTCGTTTAGGCTAATGTTGAGATCAAAGATGAGAAAAGATGTGGTTTCCTCTGGGACTGGAGGGAGAGGAAATGTTCTTGAAGAATAAAAGAGGTCGAAGTGAATAAAGGTCGAAGGTGGGATGCAGTGGCCCTTAAATAAAGAAGAACATCTTGTTAAGCTTTTCGTTCATGTAATTTTAACTATCTCCCACACAAAGGTTCATTTTAATAAGCCACGATATTGCTGTTTATTGAGGCTTTCCAAAAGCTACTTGCCTATACATGAAAGCTAGCTCCGTGAAATGCACGCAGTTCAGTTCAAAGTCAACATAAAATTATGGACTGACAGTTCCTCAAAGACCACAAGTACACTCAGTCACAGAAGTAATTTAACTTATAGTGCATCGTCATCGAAGTTTGATCAAGTTGACCAACTCCAGATGAGGAATACATAATGTAAACTAATTCAAAATGTGCAAAGAAGCTTCGTGAACTTTGTACAGGTCTTGGGTTTTCAAAGACTTTGAGGAACGTAGATGAAGTCTCATCACGAGATTATACAAAATCAAAAAAGGGTTGCTAGCCTCATGCATGAGACATTTTTCACCAGACTAACTCTAGCATGGTCTCATCATGAAATTATCAAAACAAACTAGAGTTAACATCTTATACAAACCGTGTGATTTGGAAGTTTCTTCGACCACAAAGACAGATGTTTGAGTAGCCAGGATTCATTGCAAGCTAAAAGTGCTATATAGATACAGTCATGCAATCAAAAACTTATCACGAATAGTTAGTTATCAAAGGAAGCATGACTCATAACAAAGTCATTGTGGAAGCCTGACAGAATATACCACATGGGATCAAATAGTTTAATAAGTCTGAGCAACGTTATCAGCTCACTACGCTCACATGCCACCCCAACTACCGGCACCCGCTCCCATTTGATCCATCGCTGGCCTATTCAAAGTCCTTAAAGTCTCATCCCAGTTCTGCCAATCAATATCATCAACTTCGCCAGGATCCATGTTTAGGTCGAGACCAGGATTGGGCCCGGCTCTGTTTTGGAAAAGCTCATCGATATCACCGAGAGCACCTGGATCTTGCGTGTGCTGAAACATATCTGAACCTGGCCATGGTGATAGGCGAGTACCTCCAAGTGCTTGAGGATCGTTGTCGTTCCTATGTGTAGATGCAGTCCCCGATATGGCGGGCGATGCAATGCTTGAGAGACTTCCAAGGCTACTATCACCTGGGAAAAGACCACCCATGTTCTGCGCTCCAGAATCACCCCCTTCGTAGTATATAGAAATATTTGGATTGCCAGAGTGAATGCTTTGCCAGGTTTTGGGGTCAAATACACTCATTTGGTCGAGTGGCTGTTGGGGCTGTTGTCGGGTTTGCGAAAGGGACGCAGGTTGATCTGCGCTGGGTAAAATGCTCTGGTACTCGACATCATCGGAGAAGTCTCCCGGTCGAAATATCTTTCGCCATCGGACTCGGAGTTCTGACATGCGGGTCTCCATTCCGGGCGCAGGGCCAATACGTTCCAGTACAGGTTTGATTCTCTCCTCACGATCGAGACGTCTCGCTGCCTCAGGATCAGCGCGTAGCCGAACAAGCTCTGATTCACGATGTCGTTTAGCCTTTGTAAAAAGCCTTTTAATAGGCATCCATGCAGCCGTATGATTTGTGTTATTGCTGCCATCGATTGGGTGATCATAGTCGAGAATTTGGGCAGCTTCCCATGCTCGCTCCGAGGTGACACCCCAAGGCCGTTTCGAGAGTTCCAGCAGCATGCATGCGATCGCGTGCCATTGGCGGTAGGATTTGAACAGCCAACGCCATTGCCGGCAGCTGGGGTCAATATTGAGAATGTGACTGTACTCAACGATCTCAATACAAGACTGCCACAACCGGCTTCGGATCTCGTATGATACCTCCGGGCCCGTCCCTGGGAAGAGCACGGGCTGATATATGATGAGGCCAACCTTTGCCATCATGATTCTAGAAATGAGAGAAGCAACCCAGAAGATAGGATCATCTTCCCTCATAAGATGTTTCAGGAACTTATCCTCCATGCGTTCGTAGACTTCAACAAGCATGTGCTCGCGCTCTTCGAGGCTTTTTTCGACCTCTTTGGGATCAACAGGGCGCATTTGCGCTATGGCCGCGAATAAGCCCCGAGATAGGGCGGTGATCTCGTAACGTGAGAGGCAGATGGCGGAGTCAGTGCGGCCCTGACGTGGGGTTGGTGTTTCGGTAAACGATGGGTCAATATCGGCGTCGTTTATGTTGGATGGGAGTTGAGTGTCAAAGGTCTTGTCACCTATGATCAGATCAGACCCCATCTCCTCAGCAGAACGGACGTCAAGAGACACAATGGCCCACCAAAGACGACGGCGCATCTCAACCTCAAACGGTGAGAGGCCAAGCTGTTGACCGTCGCGGTAGAGACCAAGGGCTTGAGCCATTCGGACACAAAGACTGGTAAGCGTCCAAGCGAATTTGCTATCATCGTGACATTTGACTACGGTGAGGTAGATAACAAATGCCTGCAGCATAGCCATGTTGGTGGTGTTGAGAAGATTAGACTTGGCTAGAGCTTGTTCAAGAGCGAAGCGAAATTGAGATACGAAGTGAGATTGAGACGCGCCGAGATTTGCTTCAACCTAGAATATGTGAGACGGCGTCCATAACTTGTGAAGTTGTGGGAGTGAAGGCTCACCTCTTGTGTCTCCATCGATGTAACAGCTGAATAATAAATGGCAAACACAAGCGCTTCATCTCCAGGGCGTAGATCATGCTCTCCGCGCCTCACTTGAGTCATGAGTCTGCTCATGGTGGGGATGTGCAACACCTTGACAAGAGGTTCGATATTCTCGAGATAGATCTGCCAAAGGAAAGAGCCCTGTGCAGGCAATGGATGGAGGCCTGTAAGATCAACATCGGCAGAACTGTAGCCAAAAAGGAAGCTGTGGTGATCATGCTCAATACCCAAGTTTTGCGGAGGAGACTGCTCTGGAGTTGTATCCTCTTCAAACTCGGCTTCTTCTTCGTTCATAATCTCCATCTCGTTGCGGATTTCAGCGAGCTGTCCGTGTTAGGTGATGCTCAAGATTGTAAAGGAGATCGTACCTCATCGTTGAGCTTCACGAAGAAGCCACTATTAACGTATCGTGGCGTGGAGTCTCCATCATGGAGTACTAAACGGCCAAGCTGTTTGTTGATCTTTGAGAAATCGGTATTCTCAGACTCTCTCTTGACCTTCTCAGTGGCTGCTTGAACGACATCTTTTGCGTTCTTGCTCTTCTCTGAAGCTAGTGGTGATTCTCCATTGCTCACTTCCATGTCATTCTCACTAGCTGTACCTTGGCCACTCATCTCATAGACAAGCCCCTCGAGCTTCCGCAGTCGACCCAAGAGATCCATTTCACGCTCACTCTGCCCAGTGGCAGGCCCTGTTGGCGCAAGCCGCGTATGACGTGGTGCGCGGCCTGGAGCAGGGTAGATGCAATCGCATTGAGCCCGCCGACAATTGCTGCAGGGCATCGTCTTGTCACATCGGACTCTGCGCCTCCGACAAGTAACGCAACTGCGTGGATTAAGCAGAGGAGCGCCTGAAGTCATGAGGGCCACGGGTCGGTCATGGGGGATTGTTGCGTGGCCTGCTTGCCGCCCGGGAGTTGCGGGGTTAGTAGCCCGATGAAGGCTCCCAGGTGAGGCGCCAGAAGATGGCGTCTTGGGCGTGTTTGAAGCCATCACCAATTTTTTGTTGAATCGATAATTATCTTCAGCCTTATGGCAAACAATTCAAGGCAAAGGCTCAATCATTAAATACTGGATCATGGAATGATCCGCAGACACAAGGCCTGATTAAAAGACGAAACATCCTGGCCTTAGGTCAGCACTAACAACACTCTGTTACAACTTATTACAGGGTCTGAGGCCCTGATCAGCTCGTTCGCCACGCCGCTAAGCGAATCCTTCAAGATGGATGGTGACATAAATAAGATGGGCGGTTGAATTGGAATTACGATTTGTCTCGGCTTGTTGCGTGTGACTTGTGTCAGATCTGACATATTGGTCCTAGCGTGAATCCATGTTAATTACTAATAGTAGATGCGATCGAAGAACCTGACCAAGCTTGTTAGCACTTCATACCTTGTAAATATCTTCTCATGATCCAAGCCTGAGTCTTCGGTGATAACTTGCTATGGCCGAACGCTTTGCCACTCATCTCGTATGTTTTCGCTTTCCTTGTCTCTTCCTCGATGGAGGGGATTATTAATGTACCTAGGTGGGATGGAGATATTTGCATTGCAAATACCCTGTTACAAGTTTCATGTCTTTGTCAACAGGTATGGATGTATGCCGTAAGAATGGTCCTCCTCTTTCCCAACAACAACGCTAGATTTTTACTTCTTCCATATCTTTTGCTGAGAAGATAAGACTTAGCCAGACGCAACTTAATAAATAGTTACACAGCCAACGATGATCCATGGAAGACCTCCAACATGCCTGATCCACTGTCCATAGCTGGCAGTGCTTTTTGAGCAGGACAAACAAGGGGACAAGTACTTGCTCTCATTTCTTTGTGCCTGCTCAAACGAAAGAAAGTCCCAATGAGAACGGAAAATTCAGAAGGTAGCGCGGTCAGACAGCCTTCAGTACGCTCTCTTCAGCTTCTTCCATTTCTAACATTTGAAGCTCTTGAGATAAGGCACACTTACTGCATCTATCAAAAGCTTGAACCCAAAAAGGTGGCCATCAAAATACACCAGATACGGGTCCAGGAACTCTATTTTCCTTTGGGAACCCTCTTATGAGATTTGTATGGAAGCGGAAGCCGACCAAAGCCCAGACTATCCGACTGGACACTCAAAAGAAGTCTAATACGAAACTCTTGATCACTATCATGAATGAGTTCTTGACTTGGTTGCAAGAGAATCACCGCGAAATACCATTGTCATATTTCCCTTTTAGGTATTAGTTACAATGAATGCGAGAGCTATATACTGCACAACAAGAGGAGAAACGCTAGATGGAGTGTATTCCGGAGAAAGTTCAACTTGGTAAGTCATGCCTCAAAACACAGGGTACTACCCAGAATATCATCTAAAGTGATGAAAGGCTGCTGACCTGATTCTGTTGACAAGCTTCTATGGTCTGAGAGTTGGTTTCATTATGTGAGGTTTATCAAGATTTATGTGTCATCAGATAGAGTGTCTGGAACCTAGGAAGAAAATGATCAAACAGAATACAGCAAATGTCCAGTTTGACCTCTTGATGAGGATCAAGAAGGAGTTCATATAAGTCTGGAGATATCCAATGCCAGAAAGTCTATTCCAACGCAATGATATCCATCTCCATGCTTGCATCAGCAGGGAGTCTCGGGGATTCGCATGCACTTCTAGCAGGCTTGTGTGGAAAATACTCGGCATAAACCTCGTTCATTTCCTTCATATCATCCATATTTTGAAAGTAAACCTAAAAGGCCATCAGTGAAGGGCTTGGAAATATCAAATGTAGAACGCACCGTTACCCTAACAGCCTTGTCAAGACTGGAACCTGCTGCTTCCAGAACAGCCTTTGCGTTCTGACACATCTTGTGCGTCTTCTCAGCAATGGTCCCTTCTATGAGCCTAGCCTGTGAGTTGGCGGGGATTTGGCCCGAGAGGAAGACCATGCCGTTGGCTTTGATGGCCTGAGTGTATGGCCCAATAGCTGACATTACTGATCAACAGTTGGTTAAAAGAGAGTGAGAAAATGATACGAACGAGCGACTGCCTTTGGAGAGAATACGTGCTCCATAGCTGCGTAATATGGAATCGAGGTCGAGAATGTGCGACTATGAACGTAGTTGATAGTTCTTGGTTGTATGTTGATTTGAGGTATATGGGCTGCTGGCCGTAGGATGGACAAGACCGGAGCAATGCGACGGGTAGCCAACGTCATGATGACAATCAAAAATAAAGGTTATGCTTATTCTGCATAGGAAGTCGCCGTGTTAAATACTGTTTGAGAGTAAGCCTCGGAATCCCGCTCCGTCCTATGCGTATCGATCTACGGAACAGTATTCCGGTATAAGTCGGGGCTAGGTCTAAGCACTCTTATGAGCCGTCACGCATTTCCGATGATATGGCCAAGTTATAGTATCTTGAAGCAATGCATGATTAATATAAGATCCAGAGCCTAATTTAGATGTTTGTAGACATATCGTCCATATCCCACATCCACGCATTATCAAGCATAGCAGTGTCTAAGATATCGAAACCTTCTACATTTAGATCATCAATCACTGAAAGGATTGTGTTAGGGTGCGCGGGATCTCCAACTCCGTTTCCATCTCGTATGTTTGACCACAATGGGTCAGGCGATATGCCTAACTGGCCCGGGTGGGTTATAGCATATTCGTCCAGACCAGGAACAAGGCTCACATTGAACATGTTCCCAGTGTCCTGATGCTGGCGACTGTTGTTCCCTCGTAGCTTAGTATGTAGTTCAAGGATTTGTACGAGATCAGACCGATAGGCTTGCGCAGGAGCTACGCGCCGTGATACAAACTCGCCAAGTAGGTTCATAACCTGTGGCAAGTCCCAAAGAAGCTCATTTGCTGGCCGGATGATGTCGATCAGGATCAAGGCAAATGCTGCTGAAAAGAGCGCATCGATATCATATGGCAAGAAGATATCTGGCCTCAAGTCAATAACAAACTGTTACAGAAAGACTGACGAACTCACCGCACATCATCTGTTGCTTCAAAATGGACATAATCTTAAGAATTTGGACAGCAGACTCGATGCACATCTTCAGCATCGACTCAAATGGCGACGAAGAGTGGCGAGCATTGGGCACCGGAGCACTTAGCGCTAGAAGAGGCTTGAGAAGTGAGAAGAGAACAGGCCTAACAGTCAAAATCACACACTGAGCCCTAATTAGTTCGGGTTCGAGTAGACTCAATAAGGAACACACCTGGTGGAGCAGAAGATGGAGCGTGGCAGACTCGCGAGAAATTGGTTGGCCTGGTTGCTGGACATCTAGCGGCAGATGTTGACGTAGGACAACGTAGGTTTCCGCAATACGAGAAAGAATTGACTTCACTTCAAGAAGGAAATTTCGCTGTTGATCGTGTAATCCATAGATGGCTGTGAACGTCCAGATGAGCTAACATTCACAAAACGTAGGCCACCAACTCACCATCGAGGATCTTGCCGAGATGAGAAGAGAGGATCGCATGGATAGCGAATGCGTTCTGCGACTCATCTCCCGGCTTTATTTCTGGGAACGGAATTGAGATGTCGTCATCTCTCATAACAGATGGACTGCCCAGCATCGCTGCGCACTTCCTATCGATGCAGTATACTGTCCACCAGAGGCGTCTCTGGTACTCGAAGTTTGAAGATCTCAACGCTTCCGGAAACTTTTTGTTTAGAACTTTGGTGACAGAAATCCGCAGGGCTTGGCCAATCTTAGGACCAATTAGTTGGGAGAACACTGACGGTGCACAAACTAACCGTGACATAGGCCTCCTGTAGGAGATCGGTTGCATGCATGAACAAAGCAGCCAAACAGAGAACCTCAATTGACAACAAAGGATCTTCGTAGAGCCTTCTGATATCTGGCATAGCTTCAATGGCAAGTGTGAAGTAGGCCATTCCGGAGGGGCCCATCTCAGAGTGTTCTCTGGACTGTATCGACTTGCCGAACGCTAGCACAAGTAGCATCTGAATGTGCCATAGACTCGCATCAGCTTCCAACCCTTTGTCGCGGTCATCGTAAAATCTCCTCATTCTTTGAAGAAATATGTCTGCATCGAATATGGAGTAAAGAGAACCGATGTGCACAATCACCGTGTTGGTCAGATATTCAGCATAAGAGAGCTTCGGCAAGGCGATACTTGACAGATCGAGACCTATCGGCGGTAGTGTCCGGGTATAAGATATGTCCTGTCTTTCCATAGATACACTCCCAGGATCTGCAATTGGGGATGACTGTTGAAGAAGGTTGCGGACATTACGGCTGAAGCTGAGAGTTGAGCTGTGTCCAAGGTAGGCTGATACGGTGAGCATGATCACTTTAAGGTATAAAAAATGATACTCACCCGCGTGTCCATAGCGATGGACTTTGATCTGTGGCTCGGAAGTGACTAGAGTATTTGTAAGGGAACTTGACTCGGACCTCTTTTTAAGAGTTAATCAAGGAATGGAAACGTTCATTGTGTGATACGTACCGACGGCGTCCCAGTTTCGTCCAAGGGGCTGTCTGGAGGATTTCTTAATGAAGGACGTGCATTAAGTTGCACTGAACTCGATGAGAGGGCTTCGGTATTTGAGTCTAGACCTTGCACGGAGCGTGATTGAGCCTCAAGTGATTCGATACGAGCGTGCAATTGGTCGAGGTAACTAAGTCCATCAGGCTTAGCAAAGGTTCATCTACTTAAACCAATCACATACTCTACAGATACTGCTACTTTCTTTTCTTTCTCTTCAAAGACGCAAGTTTCCTTACGTCTGATGCATCTTTCGCAAGGATGGCGCCCTGAACAGCGAGTCTTACTGTTGCGGCAGCCGATACAGCTACTCTGCGTCAATTTGATTGACAGCGTATGGGAAAGCTATAAACTGACGCATTGGATATCTTTTCACGCTTGCGAGCTCGGGTTCGAGTCGATCGCACATTGATCTCATTGTCCATTTGTTCGAGTTTTGAAGAAGGTTAATTGCATGTCGGAGTGACGTTCCGGATGACGGGAATAAGATGGATGGATTGAATGTGGGGACGGGCAGAACGGGACGTTGTGACAGACCCACTACCCGCTTCTAGGAACTGTTCATCCACTGGAGGCTCTATCGTTTCAGGCAGGTTACGTATCAAGACGAAGTCAATGAGCAAACCGCCGTAAGACAATAAAATTGTTTGATTGGAGCACACTGACCAAGATATGTCTAATTGCGGAGAAGGCTTCAACTGCCGCTCAGGGGAACACTGACGCGCTAACGCGTTATCTTTCGGTTGTCGCCTGCAGCCCTGTCCCAGCCTCCTTTTTTATCTGCTTTTCCTGGCTGCATCTTATCCACTCCATGCAGCAATAACTGTTGTTAGGACAGGGGATGATAATCGCAATACCAGCTTCTTAATAGAGACTGAACAGTATTAAAAATTTTGGATTCTTATAATAGACTCTGTTGGGTAGCTGTGAAAGAATTTTTATACGTACTCAGAAATGCTACGTGCTTTCAATCGTTCTCAGAGCCGTTGCACTCTATCGTGAATTATCGGGGCAGCGTGTTGCCCCAGAGCAACGGTAGTGCCACTAGAAAGAAGCAGGCACAGGAGCCCAGGCTGCCAACCGCCAATCTGCGAGCTGCGTCTGGTGAAACTTCAGCTCAACATCTCCTATTCTGTATATCCACGTCTACGATACTTTGTTTTTCAGTGAATCTCGCTGAATCTTTCCTTATTCAATTCTCTTTCACTTATAACTGCTTTTCGATACCCCCCGTTTTTCTTTCCAGCCAGTTTTGCGTGCTCACGGGCCAACCAGGCTCCAGCCTTGCAGCCTACTCTGTGAAGCAGAAAAACAATAGGCCAATTTCATGAGCTTTGAGGCATCACTAATTCAATTTGTTTGCGGGGCGTTGTCACTGCCGCTGCCACTGCAGCAATAATAATGTCTTCGCGCACCACCCACAGTCTCTCATCCACGAGAATGTCACACTCATCAAGACGCCGCGGGCCTCGTGTCAAACCAGACCCAGAGGATAATACTTCTATGCCAGATTCTGGAACTGTCAACTTCGGCATTCGCACTGCTCCTCCTGCTCCCTCTAGTTACGGCGGCAGTACCAGCTATATTCCGCCCGATCAGGCTTTCTATCATCATAGATCGGATGCCCGTGAGTGTCTCTTTCATCTTGTCTTCCAAACGCATACACTGACGAATTTCCAAGCAACACCAAGTGAACGCATCACTGAACCTGAACCTCTTTTGAGGGAACTCAGGATGCGTCCCAACGCAGCAGCCGAGAGCCCAACTAATGTTCCCACGGATGGGAGCTTCTTTCAAACCTCCTTCCAGGACATCGGAAAGAAACTCAAGGCCTGCAACGACACTCTGGGTGAGCTTCAGCAGCTTGGTGTTGACCACGATGTTCCACTTCCCGAGCTTGTGCTTGTTGGCGATCAGTCTGCAGGAAAATCTAGCTTGATGTCAGGTCTCGCAAATCTCGACCTCCCGCGCAGTGAGGGCACATGTACACGATGCCCGCTCCATATCAGGGTATCACGAAGTCACGATCCCTCTTGCCGTGTATCGCTACGCAAAGCATACTCCTATCAACCCCCGCCTAGTGGCCGCATTTCGGAAGGGGATGTCACTGACAGAGATCCTTTCTTCCCCTGGCGCAAACTACCATCCAGTGCGACTCACGAGTTCAAGACGATGATCGACTACAGCGAGATTGAAGATGTTTTGAGATGGGCCCAAATCGCTATTCTCAATGACGACAAGAGTCACGAGCTATTTGTCCCTGGCTCAGGTGCCCTAGCTGTGAACATCCCCATCGACAGAGCCGCCGAAGCAGTTGCCGCGAAGTTTTCGCCGAATATCGTTGCACTTGAGATCAAAGGTCCAGAACTCCCTGACCTTTCTTTCTACGATATGCCTGGTATTTTCCAGAACCCTGCTGATGCAAGTGACGACTATCTTGTTAGTGTCGTGAGGAATCTGTCAAAGGAGTATATCCAGCACCCGTCTGCTATTATCATGTGCTCTATGCCAATGAACAGCGATGCGGAGAATTCTTCAACTTTTGGTCTTATACGTAGACTGGGCGCTCTTAACAGGACAATCGGCGTTCTGACCAAGGCTGATCTGATACCGGAGGGTGGAAACCACGAGCAATGGCTTGCTATCATGAGGGGACAAGCTCATATTGCCGGTCTGGGGTATTTCATTACTTCCCGGCCACAGGGCAAGGACCTTGATGAGCTCAAGAAATGGGAAGAGCTAGTTTTCGTGGATCATTCTCTCGAGCGATGGCCTGCAACCTTTCATGGCTTTTCGGAGCGATGTGGTGTGGAAAAGTTGAAGGCTTTCCTGTCGGAAAAGCTTGGGCAAGAATTCGCGAAAAGGTAATTAAGGAGTTGCTATCTCACATGATATTAGGAACAGGGCTAACATTCTTTGACCAGTCTACCTCATATCAAGCAGAAGCTAAGACAGCGCCTCACTGACATCGTTGAGCAACTCGAAAAGCTACCAGAACTACCTGACAATGTTGAACTCGAGGTCCAGACCAGTGTTATGGAGTTTGGTGAACTGACCCGAACACAACTCAAGCCTTCCGAGTTCTCGAAGCATTTCGTTCCGCTCCCGGATAACTTTCGTGACTGTCTGCTAGACATGAAGCCCAAATTTACCCTCAGAGATAGCAGTGACATTCCTGTTGTTGATATCTCTGATGATGAGTCAGATGCAGGGTCCGTGGCGCCGGCCATCAACCCACATACACCTAGCAAACGACGGACGATGGCACCGCCTATAACGCCATCTAAACGAGTTCGCATGGAGCAAACCCCAGCAGGGACCCCCTCTCGATCGTTACAGCCTGAAGACAGTAGGGCCAGCGTGGCCAACTCCCCTGCGCCCCGTCGGCAACTCTTCCCAGCCCCATTTACTCCCTTTAGTGGAGTTGGGCGAGGTTTCAGGACTCTTCGACAAGTTCGTGATGAGATCAAGTCTAAGACCAGAGCTGGCGTACCTGACATCATTACGGAAGAAGTCTATAACGACATGTGTCGAGAAGCCATTGAACCATGGTCAGGACCCATGAAAGCATTTCTCGATCATGTTATGAGCCTGTTGGATGATATGCTTGATCAGGCACTGGCCAAGTCTTTTGCAAGTCTCAACAAGCGGCTGATCTTCCGGGAGTGCAGGAAAATTTTGACAGAGTATCTCAACGACCGTCGCCGAGAAACAGCGGGGGCACTTGATCTTGTGTACCGCCTCGAAACATACGGCCTGTTCACTGTCAATCAGGAGGCATTTCGTAGATATCAAAAGGATGAACAGATTCTCTTAACGCGTTATCGCCACCAAATGCGTATGCAGGCCGCAGGGTATGGGGATGGTCGGGCTCCTGTTCCGTGGGAAAGTCTAACAGAGGAGAAGCGGGTACTCGACGAAAAGCGACGTGAAAACGAGTTGACAAAACTTGGGCCGGACTCCTTCGAACGGGAGCTGGAAGTGGTGGCTTATGTTAGAGGCTACTACCGCCTTGCAGCGCTGAGGTTCGCGGATGCCGTGGCGTTGCACATTACAAATGGCATGATACCGCATATCCAGCGAAATTTGCCCTTCCATCTCGACCGAAAGTTAGGCATTGCTGGAGCCGATGCCAAGAGTGTTTACGAGAGACTCATGGAGGAAGATTCCGATACCGCAGCCAGGCGGGGAACACTCAGGGGAGAGCGCGAGAAGTTTGTGCGGGCTCTTGACAGCATCGAGGAACTGGAGCGTGGAGCTGGCAGTAGCACCCTTTCGGAGGAAGAAAATGATGACGATGACATGGTCGATGTCCCCCTCATGAGCGGCGCACTTCCCGCCGAGGAGATCTGAATCTTTTGTCATCACATAACCTGTTTCGACACCCATGTGGTTGGAGCTTGTCACGTTTACTACAGTTGATCATCAGCAGCTGCTGGAGAAACGTTTGCATTGAGAAGGTTTATTTGTGTGTAACTGGACTGTTGTTTATTCCCTTATTACAATGTTTGCTAGGGTAAGGAAAAGTATTGATCATGAGTCGATAGAAACTCGAAGCTGTGTATGGGGAAAGCTGCTTAGGTTCTTACGTGTGCGGGTAATGGAAATGATCTGTCAATCAACCACGTCGGTAAGGGAGGCCTCGCGGGAAAGCCTCTAGTTCTAGCTCATCCGGTCATTTGTTGTGTATATCATCAAAAGAGCCACGTAGTAGCAAATGACAATTACATTTAGAGATGGGGTTCAAGACTGTCCCGTTCCCGAGTCTAGCGGATCAAGCTGCATCACAAGGAACGGCAAAATTAAGGTGACATAGAGAATCTAGAACTTCAAGCCGAGATATGAAGTCGAAAGCAATCTCTCAATATCCGGGAAGTGACGCAGGCTAAATTCATATGTACGGATTAATGGAAATGGGAATGAAAATGAGGATACCACAGGTACTTTAGCAAGCAGGCCGATTGTGGTGAAGCTAACATGAAATTGGCCATCCACAGCCGTTGAACCGATAAAGTTAGTACTTGGAGGGTGTCGTCCAACAGAGAAGGTTCAGGGCACCGGCAAGCTAACGCAGGTGCCACTTAACCTCGTGGCAAGAACGCGGGGACTCCAGGAAGGAGGGGACCACTCAATCCTTCATTGACGAGAACAATAAGAAAGAACCTGAGGGTCGGGTCTTCCCTAAAATGTTGGAGTGTGACCTCCAGATCTTTTCAGCTCGCCTTCTCCATTTTAGCCTGTTTCATTGTGAACTCGGATTCTTCGAACCTCTTACCAACATATTCTTCGGCTCTAACTTCCACTCCGGTTATTTCGCATTGCATCTTGAAGATGGTGTGCCTTCATTTCACCAGTTTAGATTAAGGTTACAACGGTGTGCCTCCTTAACCGAGCAGCTAAGATACGATACTTTACGCGGCGCCGATGGAGGCCATCCTGTCAGCAAATAATCGCCGAATATGGCCCTCCTTCATGGTCCTTATCGGCAGCTCTCCCGCGTCTCCGTACACCATCCCAACCGTGTCAAGGGTTAATTTTCGTGTTGCACGATTCAGCTAGTCCCGAATTGCAGCAAAAATGCAGACCGACCTCAGCCGACAAACAATATCATGCTCTTTCAATTAGCCGGCGATTGACAATGCATCTGCCGCTCGTCTGATGATACACTTTAAGCTTGATTCATTCTTGGCCCATTTGCCGATAACCGAAAATCACCTCGCTTCTCGGCGTGCTGATCGATGGGTCTGCCAAGTGAGGGCACGTTCGGCCAAGGCTCTTGATTCCCCATTGAAGCACGTTACCGAGACCTAATTCACTCAATTCTTCTAGGCCTTCAGGGCATCTTCTCCATATTTACCGAATAGTCGGGTTCTCAGCATTCCAAGGCTCGGGAGCAACCGACGATCGTGTAGTTTATTCGATATCAAATCCACTTCGATGGTCAGAACCATGAATGACAAGCGACAGACGCGTGATTCATTTTGCGGCCCTGATATCCGATAAGAGGCGTTTTTAGCCCCCTCGTGCTAAGCACAATCCTTCCTATAACCCATGAACAAGCAGTTGTCGTGTGACACCTCATTGGCTGGACCCTCTGGACGGTGACAGCAAAGTATGTGAAGGATGAAACCAGCCTGGGGGTCACACCACGGCCTTTACTTTTTGCCTACTGGTAGGCTAGATTAAGCCATTTCTCCAGACACAAGACAGATGATTGTCTAGCAGGCATCGATTCTCGAGGCCAACTCCGGTTCTTGGACCCCAGACCCGCTTACCCCGGTCCCCATTCCCCAGTCTAGCCCCAGACTCTGCACGCTCCTCCACGTTTTTTGGTCCTGGCGGAGAAGAGCAACAGGTGTGCGTTGGTGACAACTTGACGGATGAATACCAAATCTATGTATTTTCCCGGTTGCACTGTCGCCCCTAGACCTTGTCCTGTGGGCCACAGGGATGAACAGCACTTACATGAACTTGACCAAGCGGTAAGGGTTATATCGATCAATCTAGACTTTTAACTCTAGTTGCCCAGATTGGGATACATCAGGGGTATCAACAGTCGGGGCGAGTAAGTTCGGTGAAAGACATCAGCACCATATTATCGCAGAATCCCGATGCTTGTACGACAATACGATATATGTAGGTCGTTCAAATAAGCAAAGGGCGAGCAGCCTTTCAGGGGGGGCGGGTGCTAAGTTCCTCTATGTTAAACCCGTTGTGCGGGTCCAATCTCGTGAAATACGACCATGTTTCAACCGCGGCGTATGCTTGTTTTACAGAACCAGCCCTGAAGATATTGGGAAATGACCGAAAAATCCCTTGGATTGCTTGTCAATCAGACCACCATCGCGCTTGTTGATCAAAGCAGTCGAGAACAGTGGCAAGCACCGGATAATGGCCTCCTTGCGGCCCAGTATCATGGACTTCAGCCATAATCAAAGGTCGAGATCACTCGAACAAGCGCTCGATCAACCCTGATTGGCGGCCTAACCCTTCATCCAGCACTCCTCCCCCGGTCAATCTGCTCCATGTTGGGGAGACTCCTCCGGCCCCCAGATGAGCTCGTCTCAGCGTTGATCTACCGAACCTACTCACTGGTGCATTTTTGTATGCCTGAGTTGAGCTCACCCCAGTTAGAGTAGCATTGAAGCGACTCAATACCTAAACGAGCTACCCAAGCCTCCATAGCCGTCTTTCCGTCCCGGGTGATCCCAAACACACCATCTCCAGCTCAAAACTCCACCTCACTGTGCCTGGTGCATGCTCCGGCCCCAATACACGAATGATTGCTCATGGGAACTTGACAACACTATCCCGGTCTCTGAAGCTCCACGGTGACAATGCATGGGGTTGACTTGACCGGGGTGGTTTGTGTTGTTGCTGCTGCTGCTCCAGATGTTATCTTTATAAGAAGCAGTGCAAACCCGGGGAACCCTGAACTTTTTTACTTGTCCATCTCTCCACACGAGAAGCATCACTACCCCATACATTGGGCCAAGTCTAGAATCAACCCAACACATCGTTGGTCGATTGTTCCAAGCTCACAATGGCTCTGCCAAAGTTCCTCCAGCCTATCGGCTCCAAGGTCCCAGCCCATAGCGATCGGGTACCTCTCGATATTGCACAAGCTGAGGCTCCCAGATTCGAAAAGGTGATCTGGTACAAGGAGCCTCACTTGCGTAAGCTCTACTTCCTCATTATCTTCCTGCTGATCGCCTCGGCCACCACTGGATACGATGGTATGATGGTCAACACCTCTCAGCAGATGGACAAGTGGAAGGAGTATTTCCCTGAGGAGAAGAACGAAAGCAAGCTCGGAATCCTTATCAACATGTACAATATTGGTTCTATTGTCTCCTTCTTCATCGTCCCCTACCTCGCCGATAACTGGGGCCGAAAGCCCACTATCATGCTTGGCTGTGTTATCATGATCACTGGCTCTTTCGTCTCTGCATTCTGCAATGGCTACGGCAGTAAGTACCTATTCAAATCATTCTTGCAAGCATATTGATCAATTCCTCTAGTGTACATGGGCGGCCGATTTGTTCTTGGTTTCGGTAACTCCCTGGCTCAAATGTCCTCACCTATGCTTCTCACCGAGATCTGCCATCCCCAACACCGTGGTCCTCTTACAGCTGTCTACAACTGTCTCTGGAACTTGGGTTCCCTGAGTAAGTACCGAATCTTTCCAAAGATTGTATCCTCTCTGACCATTTTCAGTCGTTTCCGTTGTCGGCTGGGGCACTGCTTCCATCAATGGTCACTGGTCGTGGCGATCCATTACCTTCATCCAGGCTGTCCCCTCCATCATCCAGCTTTGTGGTATCTGGTGGGTCCCTGAGTCACCCCGTTTCCTCATCAACAAGGACAAGCCAGAGGAGGCTCTCCAGGTTCTTGCCAAGCACCATGCTGGTGGTGACGTGAACAACGCCACAGTTCAGTTCCAGTACCGTGAAATCAAGGAGACTATCCAGGCCGACAAATCTGTCACATCTACCCGATACATCGATTTCTTCAAGACAAGCGGTAACCGGTGGCGTCTTGCTATCATCATCTCCCTCGGTATCATTTCTCAGTACTCTGGTAACGCTCTCTTCTCCAACTACATGGATGTCATTTACGAGGGTGCTGGGATCAAGGAGCAGAACAAGAAGCTTGCCGTAAGTCTCATCCATGGTATTGTTTGAGTCTCCACCTTACTTATTCTCTTCCCCTTACAGCTCTCTGCTGGAAAGACCATTCTCGATCTGTCCATCTCCATTGGTGCTGCCTTCACTGTCGACAAGGTCGGACGTCGTCCTCTTTTCCTCACTGCCATCTCCGGTATGGTCTTCGCTTTCATCCTCTGGACCCTCACCGGTGGCATTTACGAGAACTCCCAATATAAGACCCCTGCCACCGAGGAGCAGCCTGATGGTGGTGTCGCTTACTCCAACACTGGTGCTGGCTATGCCCAGATTGCTTTCGTCTGGCTCTTCGGTATCTTCTACGATATCGGTTTCTCCGGTCTACTCGTTGCCTACGCTCTTGAGGTTCTTCCCTTCCACCTCCGTGCCAAGGGTATGATGATCATGAACATCACTGTTCAGGCTATCCTTGCCATTGGAAAGTATGTCATATCTCAATCCCCCAACAATGAAAACTCGGCAACTAACAAACAACAGCCAAACCAACAAGCTTGCGTGGAATAACATGCCCAACCACTGGAACTTTATGCTTTTCTACACCCTCTGGGACTTCTGTGAACTCATCTTCGTCTGGTACTTCTACGTCGAGACCAAGGGACCCACTCTCGAGGAGATCGCCCGTATCTTCGATGGTGACGATGCTGTTGCTCACATCGATCTCGCCCAGGTCGAGAAGGAGACTAACCTCACCCGCCACGAGTCCAACACTTTCGAGGACTACCCGCCCCCCAAGTCGCTTGCTTGAAGCAATGCTATGTAATTTCCGTACGGCTTTGGCTATGCTCAGGCAAACTAGTTGTACTGAGACGGCCTCTGCAATCTTTGACAGGAGTTTTTCCAGCAAGCGCATTCTGATGTAATAGGGATGGACGACGTCTCAACGAACTGAAAAGCAGAAAACGAACAAACTATACTTTCATGTCGTCGTTGTTAGGTTCTCTAAATTTTATACCACTCCTCTTCTCAAATCTTGTGCCACGTCGTTGCAAGTACCGTGATCACGTAGAGTCTAAGCAATCAGCCAACGATGTCAAGAAAACTACAAGAAACAATGTACAAAATTGGATCTCAGAACTCCAATCAGCCTTGTGACAAAGAAATGACGTATATTGTGTTTTTGATCATGTACGTCAATATCATGCTCTAATATACCCCCTGTATGCATGCGTACAAGTCTACAACCAATTTCCAACAACTCCTGAACTCCATGGCGGGGCTCCAAGTAAATGTATACAAGATGCATCAATGGATAAAGTCGCAGTCATTGAAACATACCAACACCGTTGATCACAAAATCAAGGGCAAAATGATCGGTGGTTGGTCATGCGATCGCTTTCATGCGGTATTCAAAACTAGTCATCTCCAGGAGCCCACAGCATGGGTCCAGTACAGATGTTGTTGCGTGCGAACGACCTATAGCGATCAATAATATCGGTTCGATCCATGCCTGCGCGTTGGCTTCCGAAGCTGTAATGAGCGGCAACGCCTCGTCCATCAGCAACGGCATCTGTAAAGCCTGTTAACAAAGCCCTCGGCCATACGGTTCAGGGGTTTCACTTACGTCGTCCTAGCGCGCGCGGCATGTTACATGAGAAGTGGTTCTCGTCATCAGCCTCGATCGGCTTGGCTCGGTTGATGTCCCTTCCTAATAAGGCAACGAACTGGATGCCCATTCGCTCGTATTGAAAGTCCCATGTTTCGAACTTGTAGGCGGACAGCTTCTTCTTCCATAGGTTTTCGAAGAAGCTGAAGTGTTCTTGTGCGCCAATCGTCCACTGAGTCCAGCCGCGGCCCATAGGGTGATACTCTGTCGCTTCGATGGGAGTTGTGTCGAGAATATGGTCTTTACCGCCCTTGTCAAGAGGGAGCCAGCGATGAGTAGTGTCATTGGGCTCCCAGCTATCGAGCGAGAACCCCTCGGGGCCGTTCCATGGGGGTAGGTTGGAGGGATTCCAGTCCAGTGGCTTCTGGCCAGATTGTTTTGAGGGCATGGCCTTTCCTTCGCTGTCGACCTCGGGGAGATAAGGCCTGATGGCGCCCAAGTTCCAGTGAACCCAGCTGAGAAGGGGTTGGTTGACGACATTGGCCGAGACGATGAAGTACTCGGGATGCTCAAGTCTTTTTTTAACGATCGATGGAATAACGGTATCTTCCATGAAAACCTGCACATTGTTAGTATCGGTTTCACAAGAACGAATCACAAAAGGTGTGGCTTACGATATCGTCGTCGATCTTGACATACATGACATGGTCTTCAACCCGGTCGTAGGAGTTTCCAAAGCCACTCGAAAAGTTATCATCGCCCGACATCTCAACAGACCACTTTTCGTACGAACTCTCGCTTTCCAGGAGTTTCTTCAAGAGTGCAAGGTCGTGGGGGTCTTTGGTTCGTTCCACAAAGATGACACCGTCAAGCAAGCCGCCATTCTTAGCAAGATTGCGCTGTCGAGGTTAGCCTGATGTTACAAATTCGGCGTGGACAGCTTGTACCTTGAGATAGCAATCAAGAATTGATACCGATTGTCGTCGTCCATAAAAGACAAGTCCCATAATCTTATCAACGCCTTTGGGCTTCGACCAGTGTACTAGATCTTGTACACTTTCTCCGTTTGTTGACCAGAAACGATCGAGGGTTCCGTTTATGCCAGCAATTGTTGGTGCTTTAGAATCGAGGGTCGTCGGCGGTCGTTGCTCCATAACAGGAAGTTTGACGGCAACCAAATCTCTCTGTCTCCATACCAGGGTCGACATCATCAACATAAGTATAATGGCACATAACCCGATGTGACCTCGTGTGCAGTTCAGCGCCCGGGCAGCAGCCCTGGAGTATGAAGTCGGCAAGTCTGATGGCTTCATCTTGTGAGTTGGTTTTATCGGGTAAGACGACTCAGTGTAAGTGAATCATTGTGTGCGGGAAGCTTGATATCTAAGTAGCCAGGTAAGGTTGCAGGTGCCTGAGAGACAGAGATTCGAGAACCACGAGCAAGAACTAGGTTCAGCGGTCCCGACTTTGGGAATCCTGTCGTTTAAGGAACAGTCGACAATAGGTTCCACGACGGTCGAGTCCCAAAAGGCTTATGAGGGGTCCAGAGCCGGGTGTGACGCCTTTGGTGACAATGATCGAATTTGGATAATACGGTCGACCCAATGAGGCTGGTTGCTCTACGATACACGGCCCACTGGCACAGCCTGAATGGTAAAGCCATCGCTCGGTGTATGCAACCGTCGTGAAAGCCATACGCCTCATTATGATTGGCCCTTTGGCGTTGAGGAACAACAGAAAAGAGTATCGGGTGCCTGACGTCGGTATGGCCGTCGATCCGATTCGTAGGCCGGATATGGCAATGTGGGTAGCAAGAGTTGTGAAGGTTGACCATAAGGTCAGACAGACTCACAGACCAGACAATGCCTGTAGATCAGGGGATAGCAAGACTCAGGCTAGTCAGATAAACTTCCTGTCAAATAAGTTGGCACTCAGGCACTACACCTGTTTACCTCTTGCCCCTTCAATCAGAGGGCTAACTGCATTGGTTCTCCATGAAGTAATAGTTCCATGCTGCATCATCCATTTGAGCCTCAAATAGTAGATGAGTCAAGAAGACTTGGCAAGCATCTCTTCCAGGTCCCTACAGGTATGTAAGTGTAGGCAGGCCGTCTATCATATCATGCTTTGTTGGTATAGTCTCAACATCATGCGATGAGTGGCAAGGAAACAAATCCTTGAGACATTCAGTAAATAGACACTTGTGGCTAGTTACCCAAGCTCGTATAATCCGAGACATTGCACCTAATTTATCAGACAGGCTATACGATATTGGTGATGGCGAGGCGGGGCGGGGCTTTTTTAATTGATAGGACGGATGCGGTATCTAGGTTTGAGGACACGCGTTGCGAGAAAGAGTGTCTGTTGGCTGGCGCGAATATGTCGTCGTATCTTGTAACACGGTGTTTCCAGGGTCCAAAGCTCTAGATATGATGCAAGAGATGGCAGCGATCGTTCAGGGTCTTTTGAAAGTCATCATCTTCAGCCACTTCGGTAGCTCGCAGGGAGGATCGTTGTTATTGACATTTTGGCGATGATCGCATTCCCAATCAGTCCATGCAATGTCATTGTCCCTTATAGACACTTCCATTTTCGTAAACTTCAACGATTGTCAATTTCATCATTCAGCCGTTCCAGGTCAAGACTAATGGATTCCGTGATAGAAGTTAGTCCCTCGTGCGTTGTTCGATATGCAAGTCGGGAAACAGAGAACTTGGTGTTCAGTCTAGACTGTGCTACTGCCAGTCCAATAGACATAAGCTTCTCGTAGCCCCATAATTGATCAAGAAGTACCGAAAGAGACTTTGTGTTCCATGGTCCGGGCCTTGGTCTCAATCGTTGATTCAGAGTCTTAGACCTGCCGAAGTTCTAGGCTGGTGAAGCTGAACAGCCGCTAAATGAGGGCTGGTTGTAGGTAGTTGCCGCTGGAACGTGAAGATAAAGCCATCATTCCAGTCGCTTATTGGTTCAGGCCTAATGCTTTATCTCACGTGGATTTTGGTATGGTTTCTATCAGACAATACTTGTGGTAAAGAATGAGTGAGGGTTGGAAGGTTTCAGTTGATTGGATTTACGTTCCAGTCGTGATGACTGTACTGTGCCAGAACGTAACGATCATGATATACACTGTACACTCACACATATCTAGCGCCAAAAACAGACAGATTGTACTGTATACACACAGTTCATCCTCCAGCACAATAGCATTGTGTGTTCGAAGCTAATATCGTCTTTGGATGGTACATCAGTGCGGCATTGAGTACTCGCACCTGACCATCGTCCTGCACCTATAGGGTATGTCCTGAATATATGCTTCCTAAGATGAATATTGTTTATGTGCTCATTGATGGTACCTGGCGATATGCCTCCTAATATACAGAGGCCTTATCTCTCAGTGATATCAATTCTATAGTTACACCTCGGTTTAGGGAGTGCCTGACGGCTTTTCAAAGTGTTCGTGCAGAAGTGACGCTACCTTGTTTGTTCAAAGAGCAGAATGAACCAACGCTGTACTGAGTACTACAAAAAAGCATAGATATGAAAAGACGAAAATTTAATTACTACATTAAATACTGATTACATGTCCGCATTATAACCCTCCTACCATGTGCCGAAATAAATCCTGAAATAGATACTCCACCAATTTTGAACTCAAGGAAAGGTATACGCTCTAGTCAATTGATTCATCACCATCGAACAGACAGGGGTGACCGAACTTTGTTTGCTGCTCGGCGCTCGGCAGTAGGGGCCTGTGATGGTGACGCATCTACTGTCACAATCACGGTGTTATAAACAGTAGCGATGCTCGTGGAGACTGCAGCTGATTCGCATCCAGTTGGTTCAGCACCATGGACTTCGGTGTAGACATCACCGTTGCCGTAAGTGCGGATCTTGGTGTATACAGGGGCGTTGGTGTTGTAGTTGCCACTTCCGTCCTGGCCCTTTGTGTTGGTAGGATCTTCATACTGGCCCTTGCTACCATCACCACCATTGCCGTAGCTAGGGTTGCAGGGCTTTCCGTCCTCCTTTGTGCAGGTTGAGTCGCCAGTCTCCGGATCGTAGACGATGACCTCAACCTCAGGCTTACCGGTGTAAGTGGCAGTCCTTGTATAGGTCTCGCAGTCGTCATCTGTTACAGTGGCGGTTCCATACTTGGCCGGAGCAGTCAATGTGTAGGTCTGATCAACCTCGACAACAGTAGTAATGCAGTCGCCGTTCTCTTTGGTGATGGTGCTGACGGTCGGCTCAGGCTTGACGATGACGGTATGGTACTTGCCACCTTGCTGGATGGTCTTGGTGACAACGTAGTTGTTGGTGTTCTCAGCTGTGATGGTCTCGATAACCTTGTTACCATTCTCCATAGTTATAGTCTTGGTAACCTCATACTGATCGTTGCCTGTAACGGTCACAACCTCTTCGTGGCCGTTGTCTTGGGTGATTGTCTTGATAACGGTGTTGGAGTTGCCATCCTTGTATGTCAAAGTCTGGATATGACCATCCTTGACCACAGTAACCGTGTGAACGTTGTCGGGATCCTTCTTATGGTCGCCATCGCCACCAACAATCTTAGTGACAACTCCACCATTGTAGTCAGGAGAGCCAGCACTAGGCGCAGGGTAGCCGTTGCTGATGGTAACTGTTTTGGGGCCGGGATAGCTATCAATTTTCTTGGTGACGATGTGCTCACTAGTCTCTGTTTCCGTCTCAGTCACAGTGACAGTCTTTCCAGGACGGGTGACGGTGATAGTCTCAATGGCTGGCTCAACCGTCTCGCCCTGGCTGATGTACACAACCTTGGTTTGAGGGTTTTGGTAGTTTTGGGTGATAGTAACAGTCTTTCCGGGACCATCTTGTTCTGTAACTGTAACAGTGTGATAAGAACCGTTGGGATCCGAGACAGTGACAGTCTCGTATGGTCCAGAAGGCTTAGTGACGGTCACTGTTTGAGAACAATCCTTGGGCTCGCTCTCTAGTGAGCAAGGAGGACACTGAGCAATGGTGTCTCGTGGATACAACCAGTCGAAGCGTGCCTGAGCTAGGGGTACCAAGGCCAATGTTGCCAGAGGGGTAAAACGGACCATTTTGAGACAGAGAAATGAAGATGAAGATAAATCAAGGTCAATGGACTTATGTGTGAGCCAAGTTTGACTGAGAGAGGAGGGAGAAGAAGAAGAAGGTGTCGGCTGTTAGAATGGAAGTGTCGATGATGATCAGAATGAGTTCATTTGATGCGAGAGAGACTCATCCTTATAGTTATCATTTTCTGCGTACATCTTAACCCGAACCCAGGGCGATGAGGGTATCACCTCAAGGGACAACAACTGACAAGAACTATTGCCAAGGATATAGGCAATAACTGCGATCGAAGGATATCTTCGAGTGAAGTCAATCCATGAGAGAGAGACATTGGCAATATAACAGACATTGGTGTAGTAAATCCCTTGGACGAAGCGGGCCAGGGTTTGTTCAAAGAAGGCTTTACTGAAGCACCAAGACGTCAAGGGGTACACACTGAAGAGGTGCTCGCTGTCAGCACGTGAACTAGACGGCGGGGCTGGCCAGGGCAAAGTCAACAATAAATTGGCAGACGCTAGCCTTGATGCCCTTAAGTAAAAGCATTGAGAAAAAATGAGACACCTGAATATTGATGCTCCCTTGCCCAGGGCACCCAATGTCAAGGGAGTATTAAGGGAGCGTCAGAGACGAGTACGAGCAGGCATTGAACAAGGTTGCAAATATGGTCCTTCACAATATACCTCACTGCCATTCTCGCTCCGTGTATCACCTTGGCTACATATTCAGCATTAGAGAATATACTTGTCTGTCTTTGTTCTTTGTTGAATGAAGTCTATTGTTCGTTGTTGTTGGTTCCAGCAACATGGATATGGTGGCGAGCGGGCCGTTGTTTACCCGATGCAGCCTTCCTGAAGAAGGACCCACTGAGCGAGTAACGTACGTCGTGAAGCAGGCGCGCCTCACGAAGAGAGCAATCACGAAGTCACGAGGCTGTACAACCAAGCTACTACAACCTTCCACGCTCCTTAACACTTCTATTCTTCGCTTCCAGGCCATGTTCTTGAGATAATAATCGACTCTTTGCGACAGTACACCACATCTAGTCCGCCTTACGATCTGATATGTGTACCTGAGATTTTCGATTACCTACGCAATAATGGGAGCTTGCGCATCATGTTTGGGAAGGGGCGATGGTAATAACTACGATGAGGTGTGTTGTCAAGCGATCTTTCGATCACAGGTCTCGCATCAATACCAGCAGGACCCTTTGCTAACGCTTTGCCTGTTAGGAGGAAGAGAACCGCCTTCTTTACGATGATGCCAATGGTATGCAATACGGTAGCTTCGGAGACCAAGCTATAAACGGCGAGAACGATACGCTCGAAGCTCAGCGAGAGAACGAGGCCCTTCAACGAGTAATAGCCAAGACATCAGAGTACGTTCGTGAGATCAAGGGTCTTTGGAGGATGCTAACCTAGAGGGATAGCAATATGGTGGACATCTTTGATATCGCTCCGCAAGAGAACACAAATCGTGGAGCAACGACACCTTTCGCCTACGCTGGTCAAGGTGCACGCCTTGCACGATACCAACATCTCGTATCAAAACTTAGCAACCAGGGTGACAATAACCCTGCGAGCGGTGTCAAAGTCGACTGGCTTCCAGAAGACGAGACCATAGAGATGCAAAAGAATGGTCCAGCTAGCATCAAGACTCTCGAGAGCGATGAGGGACCTCTTGTGGGGACATTTGCAGATGCTGCGGCGGCAATGCAGTAATGACGGCTTTCGTTGAACAGAGGAAGCACCCTTCGTTTGTCTGACAATGCGGAAGAGAAAGCTGAAAGCCCCCAGAGTGGGGAGTCAGCAATTGCGACATGAAACTGTAATGCAATATTCGCGATACACGACTGATGATGATACACACAGTACGTTTTGGTGTTCAAGACCGCTGCGATTGCCCCGATCCAAATCATCACCCCCTGGTGGCTCAAATTGGATGAGGTTCATCTCGGTCTGACCCTCGCTGGGCATGTCGGTGAAGTGGCTACGACAAGAATGAGCGAAAAAAAAGTATCGCTTATTTACCGGCCCATTTTCTTTGAATACTAACCTCGATTAATACGGTCTTTGTGACCAAATTTCCGGTTGCTGCTCATTTCGTTGAAGCAGTGGAACCCTTCGGTAGACGGAGTTGTCGTTGCATAGAACCTGATTAGCACTTAACACTCGGTGCAGACCTGCACTCCTATTTTATCTCTTCATCTCTTATTTTATTTTATTTTTTTTGCCGCCTGTCTTTTGCGCAAACTTCTTTGATTGTTGTGGGCAGGAAGTGGACTTTGTACAAGCAGACACACCCAATCGAATTTTACAGAAATTTCCCCCTCGTCTTATTGAGCTTGGTCCTAGAACGAAACCCTAGACAGTTTAGTTTCACGACCCTCGTCTCGTCATCAATTCGTACCATCGGCCTTTCTCTCGCAGCCTGCTGTGCATAAGAAGCACGAGCGATGAGCTAGAGTCAAAACCCATCAGTCCACAACGGAAGCGTGACTTGTCGAGAACCGAGAACACCCATTAAGCATCAGACACGTGCGTTCCCCTCACGCTGGCTCACACCGAATTCGAGGTGGCCCGGCAGTCAGTGGGGTGGCAATAGACGCTAGACCAGGGGAGCAAGGTCAGAGACTCAAGGAGGATGGTGGCCGTTCCTTTAGCTTGCCGTCGGCCCTTGATTTAGTCTGGTTTTCTCCGGCTTCGGCTCGCACCGTTGATGGGCGGCTTGCATGGGTCCCCATCCACTGGGGAGGTTTCGATGGATCTCTTTCGTCAACCTGAACAAGATCCCGCCCACGTCCCAAGCCTTCGGGATTTGTTTGGGAAAATGTCTGTCATGGCCCAGCCCGCCACCACGACACCATGGGGACATGGAATGGGGAGCCGCTCTTGAAGCGACCTGTGCACGGAAAAAGAAGACAAATGAGAGGGACCCCCGGAATTTATCCGTTCCCTCGGGTGAGGAGAGCCATATTGTCGGGAAGCAGACCTTCATAACCATCGAGCCATCTGCTTCAGGAGACGTTAGGCCCCTGAACCCCGTTGACGGGAGGCTGGGCCCGTCTGAGACAGGGCTCAGATTTTCGTCAAACAGGGACCGTCCATGCTAAGGATTTCCTAAGAAGAAGGCAACGTACTCCGTCCTATAGTCCACACTCTGGACGGTTTAAAACCGTCTTTGTCTGCGTGCCAGGAACCTGACAGACATCATGCGCGCCGCGGGTCAGTTTGGGACGACCAGGGGTCCATTACGGTCAAGGTGACCAGAAAGGCGGACAGCCATGAACTCGACCAGTCAGATACGATATGGAATGTGTTCATGGGTTTAAATCGCATCGACTTTTCCTTCATGTCGTTGGTAGGTCTTGTGCAGGTTGGACAAGCAAAGCTCGCATTACGAATTAGTCACATGCTGCTGCTGTTCACCGTAGCCTCTTCTTGAACCTTTCGGTGGCGGGCAACCCTGTTCAAATATGCAGACCGCATTCACGAATCGAATGCCTGTAATTATGGCATAACTGGCTTGTCAATTGAGTCTGAGCCCTGAAAACTATCTTGTCTCCACCTTTCGCTCTGGTTCACAGGACTACGTCTTTGCACCTATTCGCTTTAATCTATCCTGCTCAATGTCGAACATGCCTGGTACTGCATAATTGCTTAATACTCGCTGAGTTTTGAGGCCCCCACGCTGTTACCTTGAAAGCGACTCTGACGATGGTATTAATCACAAAAGCTTGTTAAAACAGCCATACCATTCATGATTGGCAACTCTGTCACGATCAGCCCTAGATTTTGCAACGTCGATATTCATCCCCGTATCTCATTTCGTCACCGCCCGACTCCACGATGCCGCCCGCAGCTCCAGTTCAATTTCCGCCTTGATTACAATACCTTCCCATCAGCTCCCGTCGGTCGACCACCCATAACGGGACTTTTATAACCATACGCTCTACCCTCCTCTACGTCTGAAGTGCCGACCAAAGTTGCGATCCATGCTACAGGCACAGCCCATACTGCCACCTGGAAATGAACAATTGGGGGGCGGAAAAATAACCCAGATCATCTGAGACATTGAGGGACCTGGAGGCTGGAGCCCCGATGCCTCTGGTGTTGTGCTCTAGCACCTGCTTCTGCATACCTTCATCCCTATTCGTTGACCAAGGGCTTGGGGTTATCAAAGACATATGCCCTGAAAACCCCGATAAGCAAGGGTATATGCCTTTTTCGAATGGTTTCCGCTGCATAGGTATGTAGTCAACACCGATAGGCTAGGTCCCTCACACAGCACAGGTATTTCTCAGCGCCTGAGAGAAATAAAACAACAGGTCCTCATTGACGCTACACTGCTCCAGTGGTGGTCGTTGATTTCTTGTTATTCTCCTATTCGATGCGCATAGACGCCTCTTCCAGCCGATTGCGTCTTTTGCGGTTACGCTTACCTGCCGTGTTTCCTCAATCGATGTCTCTTGTCTCCTCCCGTTATCCATTATCTTCTCTCTGACCCGCCAACATCTATCTTGATGTCGAAGCCAGTATCCCCAGTTGTTTCTAGCTTCCGACTGTCGTCATCACACCAGTTATAGAAGCGGCGTCCCCGATCAACATGTAACAAGGAACTGAACTCTCATTGCTTGTTCATGGCCCACACTCCAAGCTCCGTCTGCCCATGCATGATGATGGCACTGCCACTCTCCCCCTTCCGCAATTTCTACTGCATGCCGTGCCATAAGGGTCAGGGCAAGAGAGCTAGATGCTGCTATGCCTTCGTGTTAACGGCCTTTACGCCACCTTGAGTGCTGACCTGGAACATAGAAAGAGCATGGCTTTTTTCAAGATAACACACGTTACATTGACCTATTGTCCACATGGTTCGCACCTGTGGGTATAAAGAAAGAAATAAACATGGACCTGGCAGCGTCTGGGTCCGTCCCACAAACGCCTTCTGCATGCCCCAGCTGTGGCCCTGAGGACTTCTTCGCTTTGGGTCCTCTCATCCTGTCTCTGCCTTGCCCCTCTCACAGGTCCCATGACAATTCACCAATATACTGAAATTGTTGGTAGAGAGAAAAAAGAGCAATTTGTCTGTTCTTACAGACGAATGAAGTGTAGAAAGGTAAGGAGAAAGGAGAAAATATTCCACCACAAAGCCATGCTCACAAGAGAGTTTGTTTTCACCTCCCTGTCTCCTCTTCTTCTCTGCCCCTCTCCCTCATCCCTTCTTGGCCGAGCTCCTTCTTTCGGCATCGACCGCAACATTTTTCGTTTCTCGTCCGCCCAAACATAAAACAAGGTTGTCATAATCGTCATTATAGATGTCCTGGTATCCCTGGTAGGTTTCCGCAATTTTGTAAGAAGCTAATACTTCAATCATACTGTCCCTTCACCATTGTATATCAACTCGTCGTTTGTCGTCGTGAGATATATCGCTCTTGACATCTCGTCACTTCACTGCAATAATGGGTTAGCCACTCATATTCTCTCTCTCTCCTCACCACACACATTGTTCGTGCCCATGCCCATGCCCGTGCCCCGACACCCACAGACCACGGCATATGCAAGAAGCACAGCACCACCATCACAGACCACGCACACGCCCCTCACACCCCTTTTTGGGCTTCCCGTCCCTCTTTTTCCTTTTCTTTGGGACTTTTTCTTCTATGTGCCCTCGGCTCAGTCATGCCTCCAGCCCTTTTTCGTCCGTCTTTCTTGTTCGGGCTCGGCCTCTTCACTCAATGCGAATACACATAAAGGAAAGGAAAGGAACATCATGTTTCAAACTCACCTGGCCAAGGGATTGTAGCCTGTGATCATGCTCTTCTCTCATACGATAGATCTGACCAAGGACTTCTTGCATCTCAGCACACGTTCGTTCAATGGTGGCATTTCGGTTGCCCTCCCTCTGCCAGCGCTGAACGTCACGATACATCTTGTCATACCTGCGCTGCTTCTTCTCCGTGTCGTGGCAGAGCTTGCAAACGTCTCTTTCGGTCCTGGTTTCGTAGACAAGCTTCAGGCCGCAAGTTTCGCCCATGCGGTATTCTTTGTTGCACTGCTGACGGAAGTGCCCCCAGCGCCAGTAGCCGCATGCCCAGCGAGTTTGGTCAAAGTAGCACATGGCTCAAGGGTTTCGAGAGTTGGCAAGAGGCTTAGTGGCGAATAGTCGAGGCGAGAAAAGCAGGGTATCTCTAACTGATTCGATAGAAGAGGAGAAGAAGCGGGAACACCGAAGGCGGAGAGCGGAGTTCCAGAGGCGAACTCGTGGTCGATTCGAGCCGAACCCGAAGTTCAAGTCAACACTTATCGAGTCGTGTCGAAGCGATGAAAGTCAGCCACCCTCTGGCAATCCAACAGTCGCCGAGCCGGAACGGTATAAACAATGTAAAGGTTTGATTTAATCGAGTCGAGAAGAATCCTAGGATACACAGGTTAGTCACTGGGTCTCTCCTATTGTCTCTATCCCTTCTGTGCCTCCCCTTCGCGTTGGGCAGGCAATTTTGTTTCTACCCAATGCAAACAACTCCCACTTGTTGGACTCATATCCATGCCACTGGCTGCCTTTGTTATTCGTTTGTAGACATAACATTATCTCATCATGGTCACCGTCTTCCAACCCCTCATAACCTCTCGTATGCATTCCTGCCGCGTGGTGTCTCGACAGATAATACATAACCAGAACAATGCAACAACGGGAAAGAAAGCGCACCTTGATGTTGATGATGCACTTGATTGATTTGAAAAAGAGCAAGATATATGTCAAACTTACTTGATATGTGACTACTGTGAGATGGACTGTACAGCCAGGCCCAAGAGCAATTAGCAATTACAGTAGCTGTATGGGACCTAGCAAAAGATTCGGAAGCTGCTAGTGTTCGATGCCCTTGTTGATATTGAGGCTAACCGAGTGAGGCTTATTTACTTCAGGCCCGTAGTCCTCAGTTTTGGTTGCCGGTACAATCGACTGCTTTGCTGTGCTAGGTGGTCGATATCTCAAGAATCCCAGCGTCTTTGAGCCGGGATATGGGTCTGGAGCTGCTCTTCTATAACGTATCAAGTCGAAGTTGGCCTGGTAGAACAAGGTATGATTAAGAATCTGGTCAACTGAAGGGCTAGCGTGATGTGTAGACTGTTCGCGGGCAGCTGAATGATGAAGATGAGATGTAGTCCAGACCGAGTGGATGTCGAAGGCAACTTATACTTGTTTGATCCAAGAGACCTTCTGCGTATTCGATCTTCGTGCTGTGTCTGTATATGGCATCCCACATCCACATGTGGGACTCCGGCACAACCAACAAGCAATCGCATTCGTTCCTTGGACCCCTTGCCCTCCTCAATTCGGGCCAGATTAATGGCCGTCCATTATGAGCTTGAACTTCTGCTTTTGCTTGTGCATTTGCGTCTGCATTTGCATTTGCATTCGCTTCTGTTTTTTGTTCCTGCGGGATAAAGAGGCTTGCTTGTATGTGTCGATTGGGTATCCTTACTTAAAGCCCCATATGGTCTTTTCTTCTCATCGCATCACCATCCTCCACCAGCAAAGGTGCCTTAAACGCACCCCTCCTCCTCTCTGATATGGTACTCCATCGATTCACTTCTGCCGCTGCCACACGACGTACCCCGACTATCAATCGGCTCTAACTTTGAACAACTTGGTTCCTGGGTCTTGATGTGATGCCGGAGCAGCCAATCTGCGCCTATGCGTTTCTCAAAGACCCTGCAGCATATCTATCAATGATTGGAGCCACCCAACAGCATTTATTTACTGTCATAAGAACCAAATTGACTTTTCCTCAAGGCTTGTCTTCATCCAACCATCAATCGTATCACGCCTCCAAGTATTCGTCTTGTTAGCTGACTGCTTCCAATCTCATCAACAACAATGGCTGTCAGTCCAAACTCGACAAGCCTCTGATAGTATAGCCCAAGAGCCATGTTTGATAGCATAGGACAAAAGCCCGATGGCCGCTTGCCACGTTGATCAAGACCTAAAATTCGATACACGCCCCCCCTCGCAATATCAGCAATTACAGCGAGAACCAGGGTTGAAGGACGGGGCATCCCCACACCACAAGATACTACTGCAGTATTCTGTGTGTACAGCACTTCACTGTGATGTTGTAGCTGCAGTGGAAGTAACAAAAGCAGGGCTGACGAAGGACCAAATAACTTGGACAAACCCACGGGGATGTGTATGAGTTTGTGCATGGCTGCATATGCGCTTGGTGTGATTCAATTTGCCTTTCAGCCTTTGTTGTTGTCCTAATGCACAACGTACCTGACGAGTAAATATAGCTTGGCTACGTCTATTTTACAAGACCCAAAGGCCCATAACAGAGACCTTAGTCTTGGACTCACTTCATTCATCACCCACTTTTCCTCGCTGGTTCAGTTCTTGTCGGCCATTGACATGCTGCACTTGTCGGGATCGTTCTTTCAGCATTCCATATGCATTCCATGGCGCGTCCTTGATCACGGAGCCGTGAGGCAACCGGGCCACATTAACGGCCATGTTATTGCTACGAGTCCTGTACCTTTCCCGCTGCGGGCCAGGTCTCGGTCGCGTCCTCTTGAAATCTTGTCCTAGTCGAGTGCACGAGTGCACATAAGGTGGTGTCTTGATCTGCGGCCGCTGTGGGGCTTCATGGTTCGTCCCGAGGGCGGACAAGTGTCAGGAAACAAGGGGATTCTGAATGCTTGCAATCTCGACGAATTCGGTGAAGGCAAGGGATCTAATTCGCTGCTTTTCTCCTCCTCCGTGCGTCAAGCCCTTGCGTTGCGGACTCGAGCTCGATGGCACCGCCGGCCCATTGGAAGAAGGGATGCAGCTCAGGGATCCGCCATTGGACTTTCTCTCATGGTCTACGGCATCGAGTGCTCTTTACGACATCGAATCGTCCTACTTCTACAGGAAAGCTTGCATTGGATGTTGCCGGCTTCCCCCTTCCAATTTGAGACTTCTTTTGGGCCAAAAGAGCTGTGCATGATGTCCATGACTGTGAATCAAGCTCTGAACGAGAGATTCCTGCAAATCTCGCCACCGTGGGACATGCTAATCGACTTGGTAGGTCGCTACAACCATGTTTCCTGTGTTCCCCAAGCCATGCCTGTTGACCGTTTTTGTTCAACAGAACCTCGTGGTATGTCTCGGCCGATTGCTTCTGATGATGCGCAATAGCTTTGTTTCTTCCAACCCACATATCAGTGCAGATTCTGGTCCAAAGAGCCTTGAAGGGAGTCATGTATGCGGCCTCTTCCCATTAAGCAACCGAATTCTTAACCTTGAATGCGGAAATCATTGGGGGGGTCCCTTTCATTGTCCTAGACAAAGTACAATCCTCCTTGTTGGTCCTTCCTCCAAGGGTCTCACACCGGAGCCTCAGCCTCTATTCTCCCCATGATATTTTCTGGGACAATAAGCAGGCATCCGCAAAGGATTCAGGTCAAACTGAATTGAGTTAGTTAGCTCGTAATTGTAAATTGCTGCAAGTACTCGCCTCGGTAGTAACATATAAGAATAGGGGGAGTTTGCATGCTTTTCGTGCATGGCTGCCGGCTCACATGAATGATTAAAGTTCCGCCCTTCCACTAGACCGCTGGCTTGTCATTGAAGAACCTTCTTTGTCATTACCATAATCGACAGTTCAGAAGTCATTTCAGAACCATGCTGATGTGCACAAGACATGTATAGGCACAACGTGGCAGCATCCCTCTGGCCAAGACTGCAGCCTAGCCATTGCATTCCATCGACTCCGAAGGGAGAAGAGAGAATTGAAAGCCTGTCGACATGACAAAGATACCATTGTATATTATCGCCTCTGTACACCCAGTCATCCCTCTACCGCCTCATCTGTGCTGGCTCCATGGTGTATCACGTCTTGCATGATTCGTACGCCTCGCTTTGAAAGACGTTGGAGCTTGAGTGACCATGCAAAACGAACTGGCTATCACATCAGATCGTTTAGCAAGCAGCAATATCTATTCCGGGGGGCGTGTGAGTTAATATGTATCAGTTGTAAGAACCTGCCGATATTACTCTATGGCGATGATTGCCTTGACATAGGCTGCAACACCTTTCGTGAAGCAGTCCAGAAGACGAAGTGTTCATACTATCGCTTTATATCAACGCTAACTTCTAGCACTTCGAAGCCCATGTTTAGGACCACAAGAATGAAGAACTTGAAGTGGCTCGCCTTGATCTCATTCAGCCATGCATGTATGCACATTTAGCGAAGAGTAAGACACACAATGTCACAAAGATAAGCTCTTTGTTCTTTCCCACCAACAGCATGTGGAGGCCCTTGCCCAGTCATGAGCAGAAGTGGCATCTAGGACTGCCATCGACAGGCATTTCCACCACCCCCAAACAAGGGATATGGCGGTGACAAAGGATTCTTCACGGGGAAACATGACGAGACATCCGAATACTGCTGAGCTGGCCTTCTGCTTCGGGAATGGCCTGCGTCTCGGACAACTGACTCGTCTGTGATGACTTCACAGCCCGCATGGAACCAGGAGCGTGAGGAGACAGGGAGCCAAGTCAAAAGAGCTTGATACTAGGCCTTAACATTGGGCATTGTTGGGCTCAGCAGGGATGCACGTCGGATTCTCGATCTATGTGGCTGGGGAGTGTCAAAGAATATACCCTTACGCATGTATATTGGGTGTCGGCGACTCTGTGCGTGTACTCGCATCTGTTTCGGTGGGTGGATGCACCAAGCGAGACACAAGCTGTAAGCTCGAGGCTCCAGGGTATTCACCACTGCTCATAATCCAGACGAAAAGTAGTCAAGAACGACCGACTTGTAGGCCTGAGACTGGTTATTGTAACAACCTTGTGTCGAGGGGATAAATACACAGACCATCCGTAGGCCTCAGATCTTTTGGTGAACTGTATTCCCTGCTTGCTGAGCCTGGTGATCACAACGGTCCGGTTTAGCGGCCGGCCCGGCCCGCTTTGGATTTCCATTCCAATATTTCGAGTCTTCAAATCGGGCTTGTTTGCTAAACCGTTAACGCCAAGGCCAATCCTTTTCAAGGAACTCGACGTATTTCGCAAGGTTTCTGAAAAGAAAAAAAAAACCTTAATCGTGGGGTTTCTCCGGTAGAGCAGCGATGGTCAGTTGCAAAAATACAGCTGGATGGTATCTAATCACCATGCAAGTTGAATAGGGACAGAACAGTACAGGACGAAGCTTCAGCAGGCTGTCGCGACGCTGAATCTGGAATTTGACCGTAGAACCAGAGTTTAGGCAAGGTAACTCCATGACTCTGAACTGCCCAATGAGCCGCGAGCCTGGAAAGCCACAACCAGATCTGGCGTGTTTGAGTTTGAACCAGTCACCTGGGTTGCTGCAAATCATGTGTCTGAAAAGCGCTGCATGGAGCCCCTTCATAAGTAACGGGGAGGAAGCGCGTCCGATCGTACCTGGAGCCAATTGAAAGAAGAAGAAAAAAGATCTCACGAGCCCACAAGAAGGTAGGGTACATGTCGGCATTTCGCCAGGCTCGATGCCGGTTTCGACCTGGAGCATTTCGCATTGTCCAATGTGCAAGCATGCGGTACGGAATAGTGTCTGGCACATCATCTCGGTTCTTTGACTTTGTGTCATCCAGACCGTCTGCATTCCGGCAGTGTCTTTGATCGAAAGAGCAGCTTAGAGGGGATGTCGAAGGCTAGCGTTGTAGCCATGTGGGGAGAGAATTGACAAGCAGGGGGGCAGTCAGGGATCAGCGGTTTAGGATGGGTCTTCCTGTACGGCAGACATGTTTCCATTGTCGCCGCATGGATGCCTATTGAAAGCAATGATTGGCCGGAAGCAGGATCTAAACCATGGCCATCCCAGGGAGCCAAGATCTTAAAAGGGCACAAGATACAAACGACAGATGCTTGCTAGGCTTTCAACGATTGTAGTGAGGCTGAGACTGAATGACCAGGAGAATTCGCACGTTGATTTCGATAGGGAAGGCGCAAATTGAGCAGGTCCCTTCGTCAATATGCCCGTAATGCGTTTTGTTCTGAGTGCTGTAAGACAGTAAGGGAGGCAAAAATTAGGGTGCGGGCTGAGGTCTTGGTTTGTTCCACAACCTTAAGACAGCGTCACGGCAGTGTGGAGCGATGTGTATTGACAATCTGGAGACAACGATTCTTTTGGATATCATCTTGATAAGGCTCTCGACTAGCTCGCAAAGGTGCATAATTGCGGAAATGGTTAGAGAAAGCCAAGTGTGGTATCCGTAGAAGGAAACGAGCGCGCAAAACGCGACAATCCCTATTCAGGACACGACAAAGGCGATGTCCGAGACATCATGCGGCAATGAATTGGATCTGAGTCTGCGATTCAGCGCTTTGTGATTCGACGGACGCAATTGACGCGCCTACGGTATGTACGCCTGTTGAACGATTCTGGGGTCTAAAATTGAAGCCCCTGCTCCTCTCTGTCTGTCAGGGTCTAGAATTCGGTCGCAGACTCAGGTGGGTTTGTAAACACGTCACGACGCCGAGGAAGCGCGCGGGTGTGAGGGTAGGATTGATGAGCACAATTAACATAGTGATGATAGTTTCTTTTTTTTTTTTTTTAAAAAAAAAAAAAAAAAAAAAAAAAAAAGTTGCCTGGTTCAGCAATCGTATGAAATGACTTGTGCAGTCCCACGCATGCGAGGTCTGGAATGCATGCAAAACACTTGATGATTTGCGATAAGAGGGAGGAATAAGGTGCCACGTGCATAACTGCGTCAGCTTGAGCTGAAGGGCAGGTAGCGAGAGCTGCAGGTTGCATGAACATTGCACGTTCATCCCGCACGAACTGAGTAAGGGGATATCTCGTTGATCTTGGCCAACTCATCGCTAGTGATCGGTGGCAGCTGTTCGAGGCGGAGGAAATGTGCCGCAACCACAACAGAGACGCGGATCGACGCATGGCGCGGATTAGGGTCAGGTTCCGGGGCCGGACTTCAATCGTTCATCAAAGAAGGTAGATGGAGTAGATCTTTCGGGTGGCTGTGATGAGCATATGCATGCGAATGCGGATATGTGATGTGATGTGATACGTATGATGTGCTGTATGCGGGTGTAAGTAAGTGGGTTCCACCAGCCGGTGTGCCTGCGGTAGCTTGCAGGTGGATAACTCGACATTGTGTTTTGTTGTTGTTGTTGTTGTCGGGCGAGTGGTGATATTGACGTTGGGCCGTCGTGTTATTCTTCTTCTTCTTCTTCGTCTTCTGAAAATGAGAGCGGTGAAGACAAGACACAGACCAACAAAGGCAGGCCAAGTTGATGGTCCCGGAAGTGGCCAGGTGGGAACGCACGAGAGGAGGCGGCAGGTACTAACGATGCATGAAGGTAAGTACGGAGAGCGAAAGGGAAGCAAGAATGGGGCAAAACAGAAGAAAAATGGGCGGAAGCCACTGCTGGGCTACAGGTTAGGCAAGTCAATCCTGACAGACTCATCCAACGACTTGAATAGATCATATATGGTAAGTGTAAGTAAATGTTATCTGATAAATCGAGCCTGTTTATGTGTATAATTTGTGCAGTTTGATTTTCTCCTATCCCATCAACTTAGGTGATTGTTTCCTTGGGTGTCTTGTTCGTGATTTTGGATTCATGGTTCTTGAAAACCTTTGACGATTGGCCCTCAAAAACCATGAGAATGGAACTCGGCACCTCCAAGTGTCAATAGTGTCATCTCCTGCAAAAGTACCTAAGTGACACTGCTTATAAAGCCTTGGTACAGCCTTGACTACCAATTTATCTTATTCCATGCTTAATCTATACAGGTATTTTAAGCATATTGGAGGTATATTCAAGTTGCAGGGCTGCAACTGCTCATTTTTTCTAATGAGAGTTGTGAACAGGCTGGCCAATAGAGGGTGTTATCAGCATGCCTTTTATTAGGCTCCCGCCGTTAGTGCAGTTCGATAACGCTTGCGCTTAACCTCCACACAGGCTAACCCAATACATCCTTCACTCTCCACTTTGATGGACTTCCCCTCAACTCCAAGTTTCATGTCGAACTTTATGTTGTCTCATCACCCAAACACTCACATCATCTATCTTACCTTCTTCAAGTGACAGCTGCATACTATCCGCGATATAGCACAATAATTATTTCAAGTTGAGCGCAGTACTATCAGGTTCTATAGCTTGAGGCTCACCTACCGGCTGAACTGTTCACCTTTCTTAGCGCCATACGCGTCATCAGTCAATACTCTAGCCTCAACATTGAAACCGTCGCCTTCGACGGTCGGAGTCGCTCCAACACATCGAGCCACTCCATCTCGGGTGGCTAATAGCTTCGACGACAACAAAGTCTTGCTGGCCCCGCCGCCATTTCTACCTGAATTGCTGTTTCCTTTCTCGATATTGTGGTTACAACCGACTGACCAGACCGGCCGTATCAGCGACCGCACTTTCTACGCGCCGTGTTTATCCCTCGTCGTGTATTGCCTCATCGCCACTCTGTATTATCCACCGGGTTCTCCGTATTCTCCTTGTTTGTGCGGAAGTCCATCACCCACCACATTGTCTGTCGGAATCACACGCAGCAACAGTGCTAGGTCTCTGGAGCCTCAACCTAGCTGTACATGTGACGATCACTCGACACTTGCTTGACACCTATGTTCTCTCGCCTCTTGGTTGCGTTCTGCCGTCTTGCCGGACCTTCGCGGACTTCGGGCCTGCTGGGTTGACGCATTATACCAATACCCCCATCCTCACACCCTTTCGCAGTACCCTTTGCTGCAAATAGCGCCGAGGGTAATCACTTAGATCGTCATGAAGCCTGTTGCCACATCGCCTGAACAGCTCACCTCACAGGTACATCGGCTGTCGTTCGCTTCACCCCGTCTTGAGAACGCTGGCTGTTTAGCTCCGGGCGAGGATGTCAACAGATCCTACCCTGCGATGTTCGTGACCACTGATGCCCGATCTGCAGCCAGCCCAATCGCCCCCAGCGTCCCGCAAGAGGTAGCCTGCCTGACCTTTACGGCTGGTGACGTTTGCCCAGGCTCATCGCTTAGGACAAGCGCTGTCGGTTGTACCAGACTGCAAAGTGCCCTCCTCCTTTCTCCCTCCCTCGAGGACCTGCCAAACGAGGTTTTGTTTCACATTATGGGTTTCCTGGACGTCAACGACCTTCTGTCAACGTCGAGAGTAAGTATCGACTACCTACCGTTAGCAAGAATAAAGTCTACCTTCCTATTGACATCCCGGGATCATTCATGAGACCTTGAATTGGTCCCGACAGCTCGAGGCCTTGGGAACACAGACTGATACAGAGTTAGACGAGCCATCTCCTTCGCGATATCTCTCAAGCCCCTATTTTACACCATTATCGGCTTCAGCGAGCCCGAATTAACCTTCCATCACGCCTATCGTCACCATCTCGTCCAACACTGGCTGATCTCATTGCGCGTTCTATCTTCATGACACATACTTCCATAGTTTCACGAAAGTTAGCCAGATCCTTGGTCTCAATCCGATTGTCTCGCCGCTTAGCAGCCAGACCCTCAGCCGCGGCTCTGGTTGAGCGTTCTGTTTTACCCAAAGAGTGCGTGCCTGGTATGGCGTCAGTGCATGTGGCACCAGCAATTGTTGCCAAGAAGAAGGCAATCGAGAAAGAGAGAGTTAAGGACGGGTTGCGACAGTGGATTGCATCGAGATGGAAGCGTGAAGTCAAAGAGCGCCAAGATGGCGTAAGAAAATGGGAGGAGAGCCGCGGCATAGGACGCGTGTGGCGCCTCCGTAGGTTTTGGGAAAGAGTTAGTCGTGGCGAGGAGCGAGACAGTGCTTGGTAAGTCAGTGATATCAACTTCTATGAGGTGAATCGTTGTAAGGCTGCGTGTGCAATCATGCTTGAAGGACCACTATAGTGCGGTTCTGTATTGGTCACAGTTCTGGCAGGGAGACGTCAGCGGTACTAGCGGCTTTCGTACTGTCGGCAGGATTACTTGTATGATACATTATGTACGATGTGGTGATGTTACAAAATCGACGAACTCCGTTATGAGTACTAGGCCATGTGAAGGCGATCGGCGAGCCCCTCACGAGTGGTATCTTTCTATCATGCATGGCTATGCACGAAGTCCCTTTGCTCAGGCTGTCCGAAACCTGAAGCCATCCCAATCATCATCTTCTTCGTCGTCCTCCTCATCGTCGTCCTCATCCTTCTCTTCAATAGCTGGCGTGTCCAGATTTTCTTTGCCCAAGCTTGTAGGTTTTTCAGTGCCATTTTCTTGGCTGAAGCTTTCACCACGTTTCCGTAGGGCTTCCCTCTTGTCCTTTAACCGCTTCACGCGAGCTTCGAGCTCTTCCATTTCTTCAAACTCCTCTTCAAGCGCACGGGTTGCTTCCTCCTTTTCGTCTTCGAGATCGACATCAGCTTGAGCGCGTCGCTTCCCGGCCTCCTCCTCCTTCTGGGCATCGGCGGCCGCAACTTCCTCTGCTGTCATGGCTGGGGCTGATATAGTCGCGTCTTCATCGTATGTGGCTGTTGTAGCAGCAATATCGGCCTCGAAGGCTGCCCATTCTGCTTCATCAACTGCTGCTGCTGCTGCAGCAGCAGCAGATGTAAGGCGCTCGTCTGTAGTCAGGCTACTGGCCTGGCGTGAGGGGAGCGATGCAGTTGCAGATTGTGAGGTCAAGTTATTAAGCTGACCTCCAGGGGTAGAAGCGGAAGAGCCATCTCGATGGGCTGGTGTTGCTGGTCTCGATGGGATTTGGATCTCTACCCCTTGTGACGGCGTGGTCGACGTCCTCCTAGTCAATCGAGGTGGTGTCAAAGTCTGATCCTTGTTATCCTTATCTCCATCTCCATCCACTCCATCCGTCTTATTTCGTTTCCGCCTGCCATCGTCCATTTCGACATCTCCGTCTTTATCGTCGATAGCTTCCTCGTTATCGTCGTGTTTCCGTTTTTGTGAAGTCTGTTGTTGTGAAGTTCGAGCGTTGGCCGGTGATGCTGTTTGAGCTTTTATTAAACGAGTTTTGTGTGCCTCTCCTCGGACATGTGAGTCCCATAACGACTCGGTTTTGATGTGCTCGTGACAGAGGGTGCATAGAAGTTTGCCTGCATCAGAGTAGGCGGCATATGGGTGTTCGATACGGCGAGCGGCGCGCTGTTGCCGCAAAAGAGAGCGTACGTCGGACATGGAAGTAGATGAAGATGAAGAGCCGTAATTCGTGTGACGTTGAAGGGATGTGGTAGCGGAAGAATACCACAGGTAGAGCAAGGTGTTGAAGTATATGAGCTGGTTATAATTCGCGATTCCAATTGGGCTCAGGAGATCAAGAGAAGCTGCCGCATAAGGAATAGGACTAGAGAGCAAAGACTGATGTCAGAAAAGAAAGGAAAGAAATGCGTAGTGCTTATGAGGTTGGATGGTAGAGATTCAAGGTCGTCAAAAGGGTAACAAAGAGGTGTGAGGTGCGCAACTGCCGACGATTAACCGGCGCAAACCGATCTTCACTTGATTTCACTGGGAGGGTCTATCTTTATCTAATCTTGTCATTAACTGTTTGTGGTATTATCTTCGACAGTCATACGGCACGACACTAAATGATATTATCCTTCTCAAATCATTGAGACTTGCTGCATCAATACATCCCTATTTGGGTAGCCAAGCTCCCAAAAGCTTTGACCGCAGTTGCATCCACGTGGATTCCAGCCATCCCACCAGAGTCTCACTCCCCCACCAGGAAACGTCCACTTCAAGGGACCGCACACCATCCTTGTCTTGCTCTGTCTTTTGTGCCGTATTCTTGACGCGGCGTCTTTTTTTTCTCTCTATTCATACAACTGCCTATGAGATTGCTTTATGAAGCGATCCTCCTACAAGAGCTGAAAGATGGCCGAACAACAGCAAGAGGGCCATTCGCTCTCATCCATGTTCCCTAATCCGCCTCCCTTTTGGCAAGACTTTACAACAGATAAGATTTCTCGGATTCAAGAACTAAGGAATTCATACATCGCAGAGCATGGTGGCGATCCTTTGACAGTCCGCGTGCCTGATGTTCCCGGAGATCTCGTCAATCTGCAACCTCCGGCCGAGCCAGCTGATGGACGCTGGCGTGTATTTGGCGATCAGTACATGGTAAGTTAAGTGATTGCGATTATTTTTACAAGATGGTTGGCTAAGTGAGGATTTAGCTGGACGACAAGCTTCCAACTCTCGAAGACCAGGGGATTACCAATCTTCCTTCATCATCACAGTCCGAGTCCAAGGATGCTAAGCGCTTTGATCGCGCCTTTGAGCTCAAACGGCTAGCTAAATCGCTTCTATTAAACTTTCTCGAGCTCTCTGGAACATTATCGCATAACCCATCGCATGCCGAAGCAAAAGTGCAAGACTTGCGCACACTCTTCATCAACTTTCATCACATCCTCAACGAGTACCGGCCACATCAAGCACGCGAATCAGTCATTGCGCTCATGCAAGAGCACCTAGACCGCACGCGGGCTGAGACCATGGCCATACGGATACAGGTGGACAAGGCACGCCGCGTACTCGATGGCTTGGGCAGCCTAAGCGTACCGGATGTGCCCAAGGCTTTAGGACAGAACACCGAGGAGGAAGATTTGGAGGCATTGGCGAAACAAAGAGAAGCAGACGTGTGGGCGGCCACAGATGCCTTATTTACTTAAGGGCGGGTATTGGAACAGGCATGAGATATTGTCCACATCGCCAGATTATTATCAAGGGAGTTGCAAAGATCAACTTCCCAACGAACGAGACAGTCATCCCACATTGGGCAGCTATTTGTCATATCATCTCAGAAATTAGTCCCCAAGGATGATCGCAGCTGGAGTTTTGGAGCGAGGCGAATTCTATCACAAAACCTTATGTAATGGGCATTTTGGAGAGTTTACAAAAAACGGGATTCACACAGCCAAGGTCGAGATGTATGCGGCATGGAGCGAACCTCAACATATATGCGCATACAAGTGCACACGCATCAAGCCAGGCTTCGGGTTGTCAAAAGGCGGTCATAAACTTCGTCTGAGTCGTTGATTCAATATACACTCTTCAGCTGCGCTATGTTTCCCAGCAGCATCGCAACGCACAAAGGACTATAAAGCTCAATTATCAAACAATAAACACCCGGCATTGTTGCCTCGCGACGCATATCGTTATTCGACCCCCCTTTACAAGATGGTGCAGGGGATACAGCAGCATTCGTAGTCGCCACACTCAATACACTTGGTTTTGGTACCCGTGGCCTCGGAGGGCTTGATGATGGACTCGGCGATCGAAGTGGCAGCGCTGCCGGGACCGTTGCGGTCGTAGAGACATTTGGAGGAACCGCAAGCCATTTTGGAGGTTGTTTGGAATTGATACGGAAGAGCTTAGGACGATCTGCAGTTTAGCTGGGTTAGCGACCGTTCATTTTGGACTTCCATAAGTCGATGCACAGGAATAGAGAAGAAGAGTATATTTGGTTTGACTTACCGATGCGATAATGAAGCCAGTGAGATTTAGGGGTTTAGAAGAATGAAGTTCCAGGTTTCAAGCTGCAGCAGGAGTTAGAATTGAATTTCAAGCTTGGGCTGTAGCTTGGACCATGCCGACCTATTTTGGGCTACAGCTGTAACATGATTGCGTCACCAATCGGGCTAAAGTGTGGGGGTGGATTGTGATTCAACGTGTAGACCCTGGATTTGATCCCGTCCTCTTGGCAATCTCCTTGAGCTCAGCCTCTATTGAGCCACCGCAATGATCAAGCTTTGGCAGAGAATCTATCCCGAGTATTCTACAGAAATTATTAACCTGCTTCTGCTTTCGGAGCTGAACTCTGAGGCCGGCTACCAAGATGGCCAGAACTCATGTCATGGCATATCAAGCTGGGTTGCCTGAAGAAGCACGGAATCAATATGTGGTCAAAGTAATAGTTCAGAAACATCAACGTCTCTCAAAGGTAGAGATCCCTTGTAGCAAAGCTGGTACTTGGCCTACTTGCCCGGGCCAGATGGAAGACTTCCTTTCTTCAACATCCAAGAGCAGGCATGAGCACTGCCTATTGAAGAGCTTATCATGTTTAGAAAGACGGAAACAGACACTTGCCCAGATATAAAAGGCGTCGAGCTTACAAAAGTCGGGAGTCAATAATGTTATGCTGCCTCTGTGCTTGTTGCTGAGATTGATGTCATAGACAACAAGGTGACGATGCTCTGACAGCATACACGCTCGACTTTATTATAAGTAGACAACATATGCCCATATAAAAGTCTCAATCTCCACAAGAACCTTGAGTTTGTCTATAATGCTTGAACAGTATTTAGCAATCTCCGCAAACATGCAGCCTCCAGGTGTTATTTCCCCTTGTCAGACAGAGCAAGAGCAGGTAAGCATTCAACCAGGAATCCGCAACTGGTACTGATAAATTTGACGATAGAGAAATATTGATCTCTGCAAAGAATATATGCGAATAGCTTATTCTCCCACCGAAAACAAAGGCGCTACATCGGTTCAACATCTCTGCCACCCAGACAGCTGGTTCTGGGCACCTGCTACATTTCCCGGCTGCGAGACGCCCATGGACTACGCGGACTCTCACTCCACCGTCATGACCAGCGTTGCAGACCTCAAAATCATCCGCTTTGACCAGTCTTGGGCCAAGGATGGACATGTTCTGTTGAGGTACACGGCGCAGGGAAGTCATTGTGGAGAGCCGTATAAGGGTATCTCCAAGACAGGGAGACATGCGCAGTGGAGCGCTGCCGCGATATTTGAAGTCGAGGATGGGAAAATCAGAAGTTTCACCAAGGATTGGGATCAAAAAACTATGCAGGTGGGTACATTTCCTTTCCACTGGCTAAGAGATGATGCTAATGTCGGTGTAGATTCAGCTTGGATGGGCACCAGTTCACGAGAGCGATGACCCAAGATGGAATTCCAAAGCATTAGATAGTCCTGAGGAAGCTCGAAAGCATAATCAATGATTTTTAAGCAGTTTTCAAAGGCAGACACGATTGCATAGATTGTCTTCTTCTAAGTTACACTGGACAGGCATCATATTCTCATCGACATATTCGTTGTCATTCCTGTCAATATAGGCATATTCACGCCCCCGGCCCGTTAGCGGCGGCCAGACAAGAACCGTGCAAAGAAGGGAAGGCAACTAGGCAGGTCGCAATGTTACGGAACCTCATGTATAGGTCATAGGTTTATCAAGATACCTTTTCTCGGTTACGAAATTTACTTAACAGCGATAGAGTCTTAGTAGTCCTACGGTAACAAAGACTTATCTCAGCCAAGGCATCAGCATTGGTCCAATTACTGTCTCCTGAGAGACCTTCATTGAAACGAGCGGGATCGATCTATACGATACCAGAACTCAAACTAGCTATACGGGGTTTGAAGTCTAAAGCATGACCTACCTGCGAGAAGTCCAAGTCTATTCTCTAAATGCGCACACTCTTCTTCGGTCACCGAATGACTCCGACAGCCAACACTCCTTACGCACGACCCAAGTCAAGCATCGGGTGCCTCCTCTATCTCGCATAATTAGGCACGCTGGATCATGGCCTCACGGTCAGGACCGGTGCCAATGTACTTGATCTGCTCAACTTTAGTAATTGCGGTGCAGGTCGGTATACGCGTCCACCTACCTTGACTCCAACAAACTTCTCGATGTACTGCTGGTGGTCAGTGCCACTGTTCGTTATGCTAGCCCAGGTAAATATGCTCACCTCAACGTAATCGCGGGCCGCCCTAGGGAGGTCGTAGTAGGTCCTCGCGTTGGTGGTCGGCTTTTGCCAGCCTGGCATCTCGTGGTAAACCACCTCCGCTCGGTTCAGGATTTCAAGATCCGCAGGGTAAGAATCCAGTTCCTGTCCAAATGGTTAGTTTCTACAATTAATTATGATCTTGTTGGCATCACTTACCTCTCCATCGATCTTGTAGGCAATGGCGATCTTGATCGTTTCGAAAGTATCCAAAACGTCGAGCTGCAGAGTGTTAGAGCGTTTTGACGCGTGTCACAGGCATGCCACGGGCTTTTTCCTACCTTTGTGAGATTCAGGCTGTCGTAGTAATTGATCGAGTTACCGTACTTGACAGCAACAAGGTCTGTGTGTGCTTGTCAGCTGTGTTCCCCTACTACTCAAGGTTTTGAGGTTGTGTCTACCAAGCCTGAAAACGGTCAGTAAGATTGTCAGCAGATAAGAGCCATGATGAAAACTCACCATCCACATCGGCGTCTGCGGCCAGTCGACGTTCCCTAGGTAAGTCTTGTCAGCGGTAGAAGCTAGAAACCTCCAGGGCGCTTGTGGTCTCACCCATTCGCGTCCAATCTCCTGGAGCTTGGTGCCAATCCTAAGTTTATCATTCAGCTTCAGAGTAGCTTCAAGATGGTAATCAAGACGCACTCTTCGGTATCTTCGGTCTTGAAGGCCCCGGCCCCGACACGGGTGGTATCTGTTGCCGGTCAGCAGTAGATTACGGCCATGGAGCAATCGACATACAAGCCTTGACCACTCCAACCGTCTCCGTGATATTCTTTGGGTTCAGTGCAAGTCCACCAATAATACCAGCAAGCGTAGTACTTGAGGAAGTGACGAACTGTAGTTAATCATGAGTACTAGTGCAAACTAAAAGGTCAAGTTGGCGGAAACTTACTGGATAAGAACCATAATCAACATCTAGCATCAGTGCCTGTTCAATTGGGAACAAGTACAAGCGCCAGGTCCCAGAACCCCTTCCCTTCACAGGAGACTTGACTGATATCGATCTACCAGCATCGCACGTGGCGCAGAGGTTTGACATGAAAATGAAGCCCCGGGATCATCTCAAGACAGGCTTTCTGAGCACAGTTTGGCCCTAACCTCGAGACGCAATGACTGGGTCTGCTCCAAGCTGATCCCAGGCGCAATCCTCACATAAATTGTCATTAACTCCACTGACCACGCTCGACAGCCAGCCAGTAGATGAGTAGAAGCCAAGTTTCCGTATGACTCCCGAATTCTGCCGAGGCGTGAACATAATACACAGCTTGTTACAGCGCGGACCCCTTGTTGGATTCCGCCAGCAGAGTGATTGCTCAGATGAGCAATATGTCCTGCCCCGAGCTAAGAATCTTGCGGGACTAGGGAAGAGGACTGTGAGACCACGGGCACGGTGCTCGTTCCACCAATGCGTTAGTACTATTCGTTTAGTCATAGGATGAGAACCTTACATTTGCGCCTTCGATCACAATTTTCATGTTACTCTCCTGTGCGGATCTCATAAAGGCCACGCCGTCCACGACGTACTTGCTGAGCGTTTGCCTGTACTCATCGAAACGAGCAAGCTCGGCCTCGATGTCGTATTCGAGCAGTTCTCCGAAGCGCTTTTGAAAGCCGTCGGCTAAGCGCCTCAACTTCTGCTCGAAAACTTCAGGGTGGAAGACATCGGTCATTTTGATGCCAGTTCGCTGGGAAAGTTAACACACAGCCCGCTCCATTATAATGGCTATCTCTTACCGCTCTACTTGTCTGATAGCAGGGACCAATGCCTATGGCGGACGTTAGACTTCGTTGCTTATATAGCGTCGCTGGCACGACAATGACTGGGATTCTCCCCGCCATTGAGATTTGGGAATGCTTGCGATGACGTGACGAAAGCAGAAAAGGATAATCCACCATGGAATCCCGGGGGGAGCGTACCGCGTCTTGTTGTTCCGATGGCTGCGTCTGGTGTAGACATTAGCTGCTATTTCTCAAGGACAATGTCAGAAACTATGGGACGAACCTCCGAGTTCCTCCTCCTCGAGACCATCCACTGCGATGTGCAGGTCCAAGAGAACATTGACCCTGTCAGAAACAAGGATCCGATCATGTACCGCGGTCAGGTTTTTCTCAAGCTCCTTGAGCTCGCTAAAGAAACTTGGGCTATAAGACATAGTTAGTATTCTGGCATGTTCGGTTGAAAGCGTGAGCCAGGCCAGACGTCAACAAGATGCTGATGTGGTAGTCGAGTTAGGAGTGGAGGGCCATATGAAGACTTACACATGGAAAACTACGCCCGAACCAATGAAGTTCATGCTATGGTACTTGTCAGCCTCGCTGTTGCCAGCTTGAACGTTCAATATCCTTGACAAACCATCTGGGGTTGATCAGCCCAGAGGGCAAGAGATGAAAGCTGCCTCTATGTTAGCAATCATCCAGTCCTTCCACGTGTGCGAGTTCTCACCTATACGAAACTCCGTTTACACTTGGCACATATTAGCAACACGAAATATATATATATATATCAATAGAAAGCGTTTGACTAACCGCACGAGATGTCCAGCGTTATTTCCACCCTTGAGGTTGATTAGCAGGTATTCGGTTTCTGCCTGCATTGTGCTTACCGCGGCTCGGGCACAGAGTTGCGCCTCCTGGCACTGTCCATCAACCAATTTGCCCTTCTGTAATATAGTTAATGCCCGGGTATCATCTGTTGTGTTGGGCTCTCCCCGAGTACTCACGCCTTCGTCGCCTGTAGAAGCCCTGGTCAGTATAATGAGATCGAACCGATATCGGCTGGGTGCGGAGGAAGGACATATTCCGGGTAAGGGAGAGAAACATACCCCATTGGGCTCCGAGAATAACAGTGATAGGCATGTTGTGCAAAATCAAATTTGACTGCCGTAGGTGTCGTCGTACCTAGTGTCCGTAGAGAAGAATAAAGACATGATAGAACAAAGTGACGAGGTTCAACAAGTGAATAGCCACGTGATTATGGCGGGGTGCTTGCACTATACCCCTCCATCGCGGTAAGGTACTGGCGGCCAGTCCCGAGCCAAGACAACTCGAACATAGATGATAAGGTCTGTACAGGTAAGGCATTGTTGAATCCTGAATTGTCTTTTCTGTATAAGGTACCAACTATACTGTGCCCTCGAGTTCGTAAGCAACCCAAGATGTCTACACTCTACATACATATTTCGTAGCACTAAACCTGACTAGACTGGCGCCCATGGACTTGATTCAAGTGATGCTTGACGTTACTGATATCCCTGCTATGAATGCTATGAACTCGGAGTACGGCACGCTCTTAAGACCGAGGGAGCTTGGTTCTGTAGGTAGTAGAGAACTGCTGCTTTAGAAGCCAGTTTCACGTGGAAGGGAGCATGCCAAGTCCCTGGGACAGGGAGTGCGGGCTACCGGGGCGTGTGAACGGCACCCGGGGAACGTTATCCCAGAACGGAGCGGAGTGTTCTCCACTTTTACCGAACTGTCATTGACCGCCGACGTCGGTTGCTTCCTATGACGTGGAGCGAGACACGGACCAAGCGGACAGGAATATATTAAATGTTAGATTAAACATCCTTATTTACTCTTTTATAAATAAGCTATTAACGATTAAATTAATAATTTAGTTATTAATAGCTAACATGAATTATTTAATAGCAGGTAATTTACATCTTCAGGACTCGGTTCATAAAAGGTACCTAGTGAGGATAAATGATGTGTAAGTAGAGAATATGGGAAACCTGTGCTGCAATGCAAAGATGTTCGACCGTAGTTTTAGATACTTCAGGTAGTTACCAGCTCCACAAGATCGCCTGTAGGACAGCAGCATGTATGTTATTATCTAAAACAGCTAAATATGGCTCGGGACCTTAAAAACATTTACGATAGATTGGCATATCGAGGATAAACGTTAGAACATATAGGAAGAGAAAGTCATGACTACGGTACAAGTATGGTAAGGTATATAAAAGAACACTAATCCACGACTTTCGCTTCTCGAGAGTATCATAAAATCCAATAACCCATCCCTAACCGTACTCTGCGAAAGGCACATACATGCCGCCTAGCCCATATGAAGGAAAAAACAAAACCGCCGTGTGGAAGCCTTCGTTGCCCAACTCCTGCACGCCCCTTGCTGGCATTTCGTATATTCTTGTGTTACTCCTTTTCTTCCATAACATCATTATGCAGCAGCAGCTCCTCCTGTCTTATCTGCAGCGGTTTCCTTCTCCAGAAGATTACCAAGATGCTGCAGGTCGTCTCGAGCTTTAGGGTCGCGCTCCAGAACCCTCCTTACGACTTCCCACTCCTTGCGGGCCATCTGGTACGCTTGAGGCAAGATGAACTGCACGGTTGGGGATGTTATCCAGGGTCCCAGGAGCTCGTGTGCCATGGCCACGCCTGCCTGCTGAGCCTGGTGCCTTTGTGCTTCTAACATCTGTGCTGGCGCAGCTGCAGGTGCCGGTGTTGGAGCTTGTGGTGGCACTGGTGGCCGAGTGTACGGTGGCTGGGGAATTGGCACAGGAGTTGTAGACTGCCATTGGCCTGGTGATGATTGCTGAGGGAAGCCTCCTTGAAACCCTCCCTGAGGGGCCTGGGGGGTCGCCGGAGAGAATGCCGGGCCGGCGGACGCTGTCGAGTTGCTTCTCTGAGGATGTGCTGCAGGCACTGGTGTTCCCAGGGCTTTGGCGTCTTGTTGATTGGCAGTCCCATCCTTCAGATGTTTGAGCTGGTCAGGCTCGTTATGATAAACAAATACTGCCAGCAAGATGGGTTCCGTCCGGACCTTGGGGATCTTATTATCAACCAGGTTGAGCATAAACTCGGGATAGTTGTCTTCCCCTGCAGGAACTGGTACCAGATATGTATCTCGCACATTACCGATTGTCTTATCTCCAATTACGCCATACCGCTTCTTGCTAGTGAAGTAGTTAAGAAGATTGTGAAACTCAGTATGAGAAAAAGGCGAGACCGGTGAAACTGAAACGACAATGACATCGGTACTGTTGCTGTAGCGAAGACTGCATAGGTATTCGATAGCACTTTGTTCGGGGATTCGTCCGGCCACCGTCATCCTCTTAGGAATCAACTTGGACCACGGTCCAACTGAAGCAAAATTGGCACCACCGATATACTTGGCTGTCGCTGGGAAGTCAGCAATCGAGCTCATAGCAAGAGAGCCCTGCCAGATGACATCGGGGTCCTGAGTCTCCTCTGTGGGCGAATAAGGGGGTGACTCGTTCTCATCTTGGAGCATGCGATCAACATCGGGATCCACGCCCGGGCCATTGGATCCAGTTACCAGAGCCGAAGGCCGCCTATTCTGAGTTGTAGTGGGAGACTTGACACTGGAGAAGACTTCGTTGATGTCGAAATCAGGATGACTTGGCGATCGCTGCTTATCGTCCTGCTGCTGTGGGTGTGAAGCCAGGTCCGCCTTGTCGCCTCCTGTAGGTTCCTTCTTAACGGCCTGAGGCTCTGGTCGACGAGGGGGTCCTGGTGGGAGGGGCACAGCAGAGTCGTTGACAAATGTTTCGTCGTCAACGACCTCTTCGCCCTTATGTGTTCGTCGAACGCGAGGGCCCGTCTCAGAAGTATAGAGAATAGACTGTTTCTCGGCCTTGGCTTTCATCTCAGCAGTCTGCTTCTTCATTTCCGACGAGGCAAGCTGCTCTGATGTCATGGTAGCCAGAGCTGCGGGGGACAGAGTCTTATGAACTAGTCCATGACACAACTCCGGGTTGTTCTTCAGGTTGAAGCTTAGTGACTTGATTTGCTGGTTGTATTCTTTCTGTCCCTTAGTCACAGGGTAAGAATCATAGACGGCGCGCTCGATCTGAAGCGAGAAAGTCTCGGTCATAGACTCAATTGTGTTGCCCTCTTCAAGGTCCAGTTCGCCCTGCTTCTGCATCGATGTCAAAACATGGCTGATAGACTTGCTCATGGCTTTAGCTGGGCCTGTCCGAGAACCAGGCAGATCTGATATCGACTTGGCGAGGTCATCAGGTGGTGTATAGGAGACAGGAACAGGAGTTGCACCGTTCTCTGATATGCGACGAACCTTGGCAGACTACACATCGTATTAGTATAACCATCTAGGGAGAAGGGGGTAAGTAAATCGTACCTTGCCATCAGCGTCATGAGACTCTTCGCGGGCTTTTCGCTTCCCCGTTTTTGTTTCTTTCTTATCTTTGGTTGCGTCCGGAACAGGCACAGGAGAAGACTTCGCTTTAGTCTTATCTTCCTCCTTGGTCTCGCTGTGACGTTTGCCTTTGCCTTTTCGTCCGCCACGCTTCTTCTTCTTGGACTCCTCTTCATGTGCTTTGCGCCGAGCTTCCCAAGGTTTCTCCCCCTTAGCTATGCCATCGAGGAGCTCCTTGTGATCGTCCGGTCGGCATTGCTCACACCAGTAATGTTCAGGGATCTCGTCATCGAATGAGCTTACCCCTACACAGACGTTATGCTGCCATGCGCCGCAGGTTTCGCAAGCGATCCAGGCTTCACCTGAATCTTCATCTTGTTCGGTGGCGCCGCATACACAACGGATCAGTTCATCTTCCTCCTCTTCCTCTTGTTCTTGCTGCTGTTCCTGTTCCTGTTCCTGTTCCTGTTCCTGTTCCTGCTCTTTGGCTTTCTTGGTCTTCTTAGTCTGTCGCTTTTTGGGCACGGTCGCAGGCTCAAGTTCGTCGAATGATTTCGTATGCTGACCTTTAGTGGCGCGTACCGATCGTCGAGGTTCCGCTTCGCCTGAGACGTTGCTGTTAGTTGGTGCTGCAGAATGCGTGGTGTCGCGGCGTCGGTCGCGCTTTGGGGGTGCTTGGTCTTGAACGAGCTGGGATTGCTTCGGGGACTTTGCGAGTCTTTGTCGCTTACCGGACATGATTAAGAATGTGCGAATGGTTGTGGTGTGGTGTTTTGGATGCAGCGACGCGTGCCAATGCTGAGCGGCGTTTGGGGGTGTTGCAGGTGTTGGGAGGGATTTCTACTGTTGCAACGAAGCGCAGGATGGTGTGCGCCCTTAGACAGGCATTGAGGTAATTACGTGGGAAATAATTGAGAGTCACGACTATGTCAAGAACAGATTCAGGTTCTTCCCAGCTGATCCACGCGCAGATGCTTGTCTTCAAATCTCTAACCGTGTTGGCGCAAAGAGGTGCCCTCGCTAGCACAGGCACTCAGGTGGAATATGGCCTGCGCCAAGAGGGTAAGAATATGTTTTGCTGTAATTCGAAAGTGGTGAACGCGATAAAAGTGTCAATGCCTTGAAGCGACCTCACAAACTGCGTGAGGTACGCGACGATTTTGCGATAGTGGAGATCCAGTATCAGTAGAATGCGATAGGTCGCGTGCCGTGGTTGGAATGACGCGCGCACTTGAGAATCAATGTTCAGGGGAGTGTTTAAGATGTCCTGTGGAATAATTTCAAGCAGTTGTCTTCTCTCGGAGCTGGTTGGGGAGGATGGTGCTGGGTGAATCACTCGAAATGATGATGTAGAAGAGAAGAGTTGCGATCCCGAAACTGGAGGGGGGAGGGAGCTATTGCGGAGGTAAAAAAACTAGTAGCTTCCGCCCGTTCGCCCATGCCCTACAGCAACTGAATTGTGGTGGCAGGTGGCAGGAACTAACCAGGTCAGGATCAACCCGCGCTTGTGACAATGCGATTGCTTTGCGTGACAATGGAGACCATGTATTTGATGCCTGATTGTGGCAATGTGTTTGCCTGATTAACAAGCCATTACTTTCCATTTTCCAGTGACTGTATGGAAACAATAGGTAGGATTAGTCACGAGGGATGTCAGCCTTGCAGTTTAAGGTCTAAGTCGATTGGCTAGACTTTACCCCCCATTAGGCAACCTGAGGCAACACTCTCCAGCCTTAGTGTCAAGCAGCTAAGCAGCAGAAAGCTAACGCGGCGCGGCGGCCTAGAGCTCCGTTGCAGGTAACGACGTAAACGAATCCACAGCCTCAACACCATCAACCAGACTGTCACCATCACAACGGCTCTCTGTTAACTTCGACCTGGTTTTTAGTTGTTTCAGAGAGGTTACCCATCTTCTTTATCTCTCTTGTCTCGTCATCACAACGAATTCATCATGTCTCGCCGTTACGATTCCCGAGTGCGTTGGCCCTTGAAGCTCCAGTACCTCGAAGCTCTCCCACCAAGCTAACTGGCTCCTATAGACAACCATCTTCTCACCAGAGGGCCGTCTGTACCAGGTCGAATATGCTCTAGAGGCCATCTCACACGCAGGTACAGCCATTGGCATCCTGGCAAAGGATGGTATCGTCCTGGCCGCCGAGCGAAAGGTCACCTCGAAGCTGCTGGAGCAAGACACCTCCGCCGAGAAGCTCTACATTTTGAATGAGTGCGCAAATCCTCCATTGCCTACCTCGCTAATTCGAAGGTTATTTATTAACAATATTTTCGTTTAGCAACATGATTTGCGCCGTCGCTGGCATGACCGCCGATGCCAACATCCTTATCAACTACGCCCGACAAGCCGCTCAGCGATACCTCCTCACCTATAACGAAGACATTCCTTGCGAACAGCTTGTGCGTCGACTTTGCGATCTTAAGCAAGGATACACCCAACACGGTGGTCTACGACCCTTCGGTGTGTCTTTCATCTACGCTGGTTGGGATCCTCGTAGACAATTTCAGCTCTATCTCAGCAACCCCTCTGGCAACTACGGTGGCTGGAAGGCTACAAGTGCGGGTGCCAACAATGCAAGCGCACAGAGTCTCCTCAAGCAGGATTACAAGGAAGACTGCACTCTGGAGGAGGCTTGCGGCATGGCGGTCAAGGTTCTTAGCAAGACGATGGATTCTACCAAGCTGAGCAGCGAGAAGAGTATGTCGTGTCTATGAATATGTACCAGAACTCCCGCTAATATCACTTCTAGTTGAATTCGCGACAGTAGGACAGACCAAGGACGGCAAGATCTACCACCGCCTGTGGAGTGCTGACGAGATTACGGCGCTGTTGAAGGAGCATGACCTGGCGAAGAACGAGGAGACAGAGGAAAAGTAAGCAACAAGGCTATAGATTCTTGATAGATGGGGAGAAAGGAATGCGGGGCCACTCTTATCTGCCCCTGTACAATAATATCATGAAATGACCACAAAACGAGACTTATCCAACGCCTGGCTTGACCAAGTCTAAAAGTGTTGTCGAGCACATGATGCTTCGATGAAAGAGTAATGCAATGCAGGCTAAGCCAGAGCATCTCGGACAAGCACGCAAACTATTCCTAGTCCCCAATATCAGCGTCGCGAACCTCTCAAGTTTTCCATCTCGAATCCTACATCTGTCCCTCTTGCTGCCTCCTCATCATCGGTGACTCGTTGCCATCCCGGCTGAGTGTCAACTCCTGGTCGTGGATAAGGCTCGTCGCATTTCGTACTTGAGAGGCGGGGAAAGTGCCGTCTGTAGCTCCAATACGCAATGCTCATGCCTAGAGCTGAGCCTACGCAGACATCGTAGACGTCGTGGCGATAATCCTCGCATCTCGATATAGCGACAAGACCTGCACCGATGAGTGGCAGTAGGCAGACCAACGCGCGGCTGAGATCACGACCGCCAGCCGAGTAACGGAACACATGGAGTTGGCCGGCGAGGAAGAGGCTGAGAAAACCAAGGCCAGCGAATGAGAAGGATGAGTGGCCAGAAGGGAATGATCGCCAGCCCTCTTGCAGTATATGGCCATCTTCTGCCGTGCAGACATCGATGGTTACAAGGGTGTTGGCCTTTGTGCCGATTGCGGGCTTGCAGCGGTCTAGCAGATCAGGACGAGGCCTGCCAACAGCATTCTTGATGATGTCAGTGATGAAGGATGTGAGTACAATAGAGATAAGGAACGAGAGGTAAGTGACTTCATGCTTGGCCGCTGATGACCTTGCGATTACGTTGTAAGCGATTAAGACTCCCAGCGGTATGAAAAGGGCGTATACGAAGTTCATAACTGGTAGTCTTTGTTAAGTCCGGTCACAGAAGCTGAGGTTGATGTTTGAGACGTACAGACAGGGACACGCTCATGGACCGCAAAGGGATACGAGATCTGCAGGTCGTTTATGAAGAACATGCGGTGAAATGGGTTGACGAAGAGGACCGTCTGTGAATCTGTCAACCAGTGTTCTGGGTTCTCATTGACGATATAGTACAGACCAAGATCCAGCCTGTTAAGAGAAATAGGAAGCCGACATAATCAGGCGCATGAGTTGTCTGTTGTATGTCATGAGTATAACACCAAGGACCGATTTGACGAGTCACTATACCTTCCAATATCTCCTCAAAAATGAGATTGGTCCGCCGGACGAGCCATAGCTATGAGCTGGAGCCATGATTGATGACGATAGTTGAAATCAGGTTTGACAGGCGGAGGTGTCGGAACATAGGCAGACTGCAGTATCGCAACGGATGGAAAATGCAGATTTTCTGTATCGACAAATAAGAGGGCGTTTAGCTTTGTTACCGAGTCATGTTAAAGAGACGCGGCTCATAAGTTCAGTGCTGTTGAGGAGACGTAACAAGTTCTTGCTGAGGTTGGACATGTTGCCAAATGCGGGAATGAGGGCCCCTGATCTTCCGTTAGTTTTCTGGGGCCATATCAATAAAAGAATCCAGATAACGAGTAGCTGATGTACACCAACCATGTACTATCAACATTCATTTTTAGTCTTCGGGAGACCAGAAGTCAGGATTAAGTGGTCATAATGAATTATCATACTTTTCAATCAACCCCGGGATGACCACCGTTGTTTTATGTACTCATTGCAAGTGATGACTTCAACCCCGTAGTACTTTCGACGTAGGAACGGTTGTCGATGGGCATAACAGACCAATATCTACCCTTCTTTGGATCCAAGACAATAATACCAAGCAAGATTTTAAACATGAATTTCAATCAACTTTGAAATGGAAAGAAGTCGAGATAACGATTTCAGTTGGAGCGGCTTAGCTATAGGGTAGGTAGCCGAATCATCATCCACTATTTCTTAGGCCCAAGCTCTTGCGGATTTCTGCTGTGACGGTTGACGACCAGGAAACTTGGTTGCTTTCCCTCAGCCATAACAACTTTTCAATAAGACAACTCCTACCGATGAAATATCGACAATCGGAAATCTAGAACCTCTGCCTGTGCGAACATATTGCTTATGAAGCACCATCTCAGGGATAGCTTCTGAATGTACAACCTGATGTCATAGTTTGCGACGCGACGAAGCGAGATGCTCAAATCGACACACACACCATCGGCAGCCGCTCTGGCACCGCTTCCTCCAGGATGGAGCGAGCATACCGCGCCGACTGGACATACATACTATTATAACGCTGAAACAAAAGAATCAACATACAAGCGTCCAGGAGTCCAGCCGCCTCCACAGCCGGCGCAACCACAAGCTCCCGCATATCCTGGGTATGGCTCAATACCATACTTAGCCGATCCCAACGTCGCCAATGCCTACATGGCACAATTCAATCAAGATAATAATGGGCAAAGGCATAATAATAGTTCACGAGGTGGGCATGGAGGAGGTCGTGGAGGCTTCGAAGGTCGACCGCGTCCACAGCCTGTTGACAAGCCGAGGAGAAAGGAGCCGATCCCAGGTTGTGAACCATGGATTCTCGTATATACCAAGTACTCGAGGCGCTTCGTATACAACCCTGTCAAGAATGCCAGCTACTGGCGCATACCGGAGAAGTTGATGCCTGCCATTTTGGAGCTTGACAAGGCCCGGCTACGGCAGAAAGCCGCAGGAGAGAATCAAGAAAAGGAGCATAAGCAAGATGAAAAGCGAGAGAAGCAAGCAGTACCACAAAAGAATGACGCCCCAGTGGCAGGTTTGGACGACGATAGCGAATATGAGGAGGTCGAGGTGACGGATGACGAAGGGGAAGGTGAAGGCGATGAAGAACATCCCTCCAAACGGCAACGGACTGCAGATCCTGACGCAGACGAAGACGTACCCATGGAATTCACAGAAGCTGATTTTGCAGCTCAATTACAGGCCATGGGAGACGATTACGGCCTTGAACCAGGCGACTACGACGACGGAAACGCTGAAGAATGGCCTGAAGGTGCTGAGGGAGTGCCTCTATCCGAAGATGACGCGAAATACCTGTTCAAAGATCTCTTGAACGACTTCAACATCAACCCATACAGCCCGTGGGAGAAACTCCTGGAGGAAGGCAAAATCATCGATGACTTGCGATATACAGCACTCAGCACTACGAAAGCACGTCGGGATTGCTGGGACGAGTGGACGCGTGAGAAGATCGCGGAGTTGAAGGAGCAACGAGCCAGGCAGGAAAAGCGGGATCCTCGTATTGCTTACATGGCATTCCTGCAAGAAAAGGCGACGCCGAAGCTGTACTGGCCCGAGTTCAAGAGAAAATACAAGAAAGAGGACGTCATGAAAGATCACAAGATCACCGACAAGGATCGCGAGAAGGCATATCGAGAACACATTGGTCGCCTCAAAATGCCCCAGTCCAAACTCAAGTCCGATCTTACTGCCCTGCTCAAGGCCCAGCCGGTGCACTTACTAAACAACAAGTCGCTATCTACCGGCTTACCCGACCCGGTCCTCACCGACATTCGCTTCATATCCCTCGAGCCCAAGATCCGCGATCCTCTGATTGAGGCTTACGTGAGCAATCTGCCTCCCCCACCAGAGGACCTTGATGCAGCCAAGGACGACGAAGAGCAGCGAAAGCAGCGCGAGTCACGCGAGAAGCGTGAGAAGGCACTGGAGGAGAGAAACCGCGTGGTGGAGGAACAGAAAAAGAAGCGCGATCGAGAGGTGGCGGCTAGTAAAGCCCGATTGAGAGATGAAGAAAGGGAGTTGGAGATGGCCATGAAGGTAGGAAAGCAAGGATTGCAGAGCCAGTTGGCCAGCATGAAGGTTGCAGAAAAGGAACCATGATATTGGGGAAAAACAGATCTTGTATCTGCATATGCATCTATCTCGTATATCTAATTCTAGCGACCAACCGTGGTCGGTTTGTGTCCATATAGACAATCACAGCCCATACATGAAAGTCAACTTCTTGTCTGCGTATCGGCGGTCGTTGAATCTCTCACTCTCGATCTCCTCTGGTGACATTGTGCGCAATATCGCCTGCTTGCGTTTGTTGACCGCTGCAAGCATGAATCGATAAGACAAATATCCGATCAAGGCGATGGCAAGGAAACCCAGCGTGACGTAAAATGGAAATCTGTAATGGGGCTTGTATCGCTGTCGGTACAACTGCGCCCCGATCACGCCTCCGAGGTTACCGAAACCATTGACGCCAAGCACAAGAGCTCGCTTGCCAGGCTCAGGCGTGTTGCCACTGAGCCATGCCATAGTGAGAGGAGCCGAAATGTATACACCAGATAGGAGCACACAAAGTGAAACGTACTGCCCAGTGCTCGAGGAGATTGTAACGGTAAGGATCAGGCCAATGATACCAATAACCAAACCACCCAAAATGTGATATCCCCGTTCCTTGTAGTGATCCGAACTTAGAGCAAAGGCGTAGAGGCCAAGAGCACCACAGACGAAGGGCGGAACTGTCATCTAGATCGCTCGCAGTCAGTCAAGCCCAGTTGAGACTAAGAAGAAGTAAAACACACCAGGTTGGCAAGGATGGACTCATAACCCAGCCCCTGAACAACAAGGGGCAGGAAAACTGAGAAGGCACCGCTGGGGACACTCGCGCAGATGTTGAGCAGAAGGACAGTCCACAGCTTCCAGTCTTTCATCGTTTCCACGAAATCTCTCTTGCTCAAGCGATTCTCTTCAATACCATCTTCGCTGTACTCATGCTGTACGAACTCGGCGTTGTCTTGCTTCATGCGTTCGACAGCAAACTCTCGTTCATCTGGACGAAGAAACCAAGCAGAGCCAGGGCCTTTAGGTAGCCACAGCCAAGCAATGATAGCAAAGAAGCATGTTAGTGCTCCCTCGATAAGGAAGAGATATTGCCAGTTCTTGAGGCCACCACCACGGAGATGGAAAATGCCGTATGCTTGAAGGAGTAAGTAATTAGCTTGAAGAATTGTTACAACCAGAACTCACAGATTGAGCCCGAGAAGGCTCCAGCGATGGCATACTGTCCATAGAATAGAGCGAGTCTAACACAAAAGTCGTAACGAGGATAGAAGAATGACAAATACGCAACGGCCGTGGGGTAGAAGCCCGCTTCAAAGGCGCCAATGAGCAAACGTGTGGCGATGAGTGCCCCTAGAGTAAGGTCAGAAGAGGGTTGACTAGATGTGAGAGCGAACGGAAGGGCTACAGACCACGTCCTTTGATGAAAGCTTGACCAATTGTCACTGCACCCCAGCCAAACTGTAGAATGTGTCAGTAACTTCCCGCTCTTAGTCATGACACCGTCTAATTACCATTAAAAAGGGGATCCAATGCTTAGCACCAATATAACGGCCAGCTGCGGCAGAAACGGGCTGCAATACAACAAAAGTGACGAAGAATAGAGAGACCGCTTCATTCAAATCATCAGGCTCAGCCCCTATGTCTGTGGTAAAACCTGATAACAAGCTGTCAGAAACCGATCGAGCACGTACAAATGGAGGGGGGCTAGGAGATGTTGATTACCTTGGGTTTCGGCATTACCAACGTTGCCACGATCTAGACCATTGAACAGATATAGAAGTGAAAGAAGCGGAAGCAACGCAAAGTCGAGCTTCTGATTGAGGGCCCGACTTCTCTCTTTGTTCTGCTCGACTGAGTAGGCAGCGGGAAGACTCGATGGAGTCTTGCTCGACTTGGTCGGCTGGAGGGCTTCTCGATCGGACATGGCTGCTTCTGATTCAGTTGTAGATGTAAATAGTTTGTTTTTCTCCTGAAAAAGGAGGAGACAGGCAAATTCCTTGTAATATACTGCAGATACTACGAACAGTGCATTGGCGTCGTTGCTGGGTTCATATAGGCCCACGTTTGGCAGGCAACTATCGCTTGCACAGGTCTCTCGAACATTCACACCTGGAGGCTCTTGATGATATCTCCGCCTATATTCCTAAGGCCCAGGGATTAATTGGGGGTCGGGCCAATGATCCGACTTCCAGTAGTTGTCCCAAGAATCTGGTAAGCGTGATCCATGTGTAGGCCCGATCCGGACGTCATTCTGTTTGTCACGGTCGTATATAAATCAAGGTTTGCTGTTGGCCTATCATGAAGTAAGAATCTGACAGCAGACCAGACGCTCGGGATTGAGGCTGACAGGAAGTGCCTCGAATAGGCAGATGCTCAGCGCCACGACTGTAACCTCGATCAAGGTTGCCTGAGCGTTGGGACACAAACTGACCGCATCTTTAGCTCGAGGAAAGCACGTTAAACGTGATGGATGGCTGTATTGGGGTCGAAAAGTAGCGGGAATTGAGCTAAAGAGGCCCATCTTGACTCATTACCAAGGAGCGGGTACTCATAGAACGAATCGACAAGTGCCTCCACAATTACGCGCAAACCAGGGAAGGAATTCCAAGTTTGCCGCGATGAGCAAATCATGTTGCTGATGATCAAGTTCGTTAAGTCGTGGGCTGTGTCGTTAGGGCTGTAAGGCTGACATATACCCCAGAATCCAGGATCCTTCGCGCTGCTTACTGAGAACGTGTTGTTCCACACTTGACGTTCTGTCGATACGCCTTGATTGCAGCAAGGGCTTATGGTGGCTTGAATGAACGTTCTAGAATAACGCCTCAAGCAAAAGGGGTTACAATATTCTCATGTCGACCGTTGGTCCCTCCAGTGAGCTGAAGTAAAGTTTCCAATGCCTGAAACAGGCACTTCAAGTGAGTGGCAAGATGCACATCCGGCATCCTCATTGATGGCGATCAAGAAACCTCTCAATAACAGATGCACCAGGCAGGAAGGCTTGCATGAGGAATCAAAGCCTCCAACTGTGCAGGCGATGTAAGACAACCCCCACAGCTATATTAATTCAGTCATATTTCGATATTGTGAATCCGAGCCTCCGTCAGACGATCCAAGGCACCAAGAGGCACGAAAATGCCATATGCTACTGCTATTGGTTGTGTCGTGAAAGAGGTAATGTAACTCTCCAGATTGTCGGGGTTAAGGACCATGCTACAGATCGTCTCACTCGGATTTTGGCATCAGAGATTGGTAAAATATTGGTCAGCCTTCTTCTCAACTTCCTGGGCATAGTTCGACATTCCCGCACGACCGGTGACGCCGTCCTCAGTGATGTAGTGATCGATCAAATCGGGTGACACCCACTCGAAATACACGTTTTTGACAGTGACCAGAGAGTGGGGAACCTCCCTCACAGCTGAGCTGAGGTCTCCCCAAGCTTGCATAACCTCGCATGAATCGTTTTCCTCCTGACCTGGCGGTGCAAAAGGGAGTACCTTCTCTTTCTCTGACAAAATGACAATCTTGGCTTTTGGAGACACGTACTTGGCTGTCAGAACAACAGGCAGAGAACCGACTTTGTTGCTAACCGCGGCTGTTTTGTCGATCAGATCCGCTCCGATGAGCACAATATCTATGTCCTTCGCTGCGATGCCAACACTTGCATCAGTGTGGATTATCAAGCGGGTCTTGGCCTTGGAATTGTTGGCGCATGAAGCAATTGACTGTGCCATCTTGACACCTTCGAAGAGTGGTCGGGATTCGAGCACATGAACCTCCACAGGTCGCGAAGTATTTCCCATAACGTGAGTGATGGCCGAGGTGATAGTTGAACTAGAGGAGAGGGTAAGGATCTTGAGTGGTCCGCCCCCCGATAGATGCTGCTCTATGAAAGCCTGGAACATCGCGCCAGTTCTTGAAGTGGTATTCTGTCGGTCGCGGGCGTAATCCCCCAAGGCTCTGACGGTATTATCGATCGAGCTCTTATCTAGTGGACCGCTGGGTGGGATTCCGTCTTGAACTATGTCCAAAGCCGATAGAACAACACCCAAGATAGACGCGCCCATACTTTCTCGCCCGTTCTTCCACAGGTGCCATCCCGCAAACCTGATATTGTTCCACCACTGAACTTGATCAGTGGAATCGAGTTTCTTAATAACATCGATATAGGTATCGAGAGCCTTCGTAGCTAGCTGGCGCGCTCCGCTTTCGTGATCTTCCTGCAGAGCGACCAAGCCCCGGCTAAGCGTGTTGCCTGCCACTTCGCCCAAGTCAACGTTGAACCACACCCTTCTAAGACTCTCTAGGATGCGCGGAACGCCCTCGAAGTCATCTGAGTCGTTGATTGCGTCTGGATCGAACCATTCGTACCCCTCATGCTCCCAGTCAATTTTGATGCCAGCCTCACCGCGGCCACCGTCGCTCCCGGATTTGAGAACGAAACCGAAGGGGTTGACAGTCCACTCTCTCCCAATAGACTCATCAGCGAACGAGAATGGTTTGCCCTTCCGAAAAAGGCGTAAAGAGTCATGCGTAAGAGTTGTTTCCTCAGCAAGTTCCCTCCAGGCTGTGGCAAGAGGATCCGCGTCAGTGTCATCTACACTTCCAGAAATGCCTGCATATTTGTGCCTTAGTATGTAAGCACGGGTTCACTGATAAGGTAATACACTTTGCTTACTGATATGTATTTACGTGACCGCTCCGGCGGAAGAGAGCGACCTGGGGTTTCTTGGCCTCACCGTCAGCGGGGAATCTGAAGATGAAGCTTGTCGCGACGTCTCTGTGTTTGAGAGGTGCCATTCGTGACGAAAGACTGTAGATCTTGGACGGTCAAAGATGACAACGCGAGATCAAGTGCATGCCGCGAGTCGTTTCGGAAGCGAAAAGATGAGACTTTGGGATGCTGGGTAGGATTTTCGTGGGTGAGACAATTGGTACCTTACGCATGGGAACCCAAGGGAGGAAGGAAGATTGCGAGAATACCACATGCTTCATCACATGACTGTCACACGTCACTCTCCTCAATTACATCAAGACAGAAGCGATAATTATGAATTAAGTTACCAGGAATATCCTTGTCTCTCTTATCTCCATGTTTGAATCCGATCATATTCGTGGGGAATCCCAATCTGAACCACGCTTGGGCCGATAGTTCGTTCGCCATTTACCATTAGAGGACATTTAATTGTCCATCATCAACACCTAAATCATCGTAACTGCATATCCTACATTCAAATGCCCCTTGGACAGTCTCTCAAATATTCATTAGAAGAAAACCTCAAAAGAATCAACTTTTGTTCTGTAATAAAAACACAATGTCAGTCGCCAACTTTTGTTGCTTACAGGGCGCCCAACTCCAACTCAAATGAGATACCCATTATTAGATTGCCAATCGACATCAATCCACGAAACCAACTCATTATATAATATGTGGCCTTGATCAACAAGGATAGGCTGCTGAAGTGCCTCTGATGTCAGCTTGTCTGACCATTGCTGTCCCATGTCAACATGTGTTCGATTTGCGATCGGATCGTAGGTTGTCGTAGTCTGTGTCATGTTGACGGAACGTGTTGCAGTGCTCATGTCAACAGGGATAGGAAGACGCTGCACAAGAACGCGAAGGTCCCGAAGTACCGTGGCACAGTCCCGACCGTAGTTGCTACCAACTCGACTCTCATCCTCGAACCTCCCAATCACAAAGTCGAGGTCAAGTGACCGAGCCTTTTCACTCCGAGAAGACGGGCACAGATCCTCTACCAGCTGCTGTAACATCAATACTATGGCAGCGTTGAAAATGAAGTGAAGGCCTGCTTGGAGTAGCTTTCGAGGATGGTTGACAAGTAGGATCTGTCGAGCGAGCTGAATATTGTGTTCTGCTGATGCTATGCATCGCTTCAGTAGAGGGAGTTGTGGATGTGAACTCAAGGAACATTGCCGCGAGACCAGCTTTTCCGCGAATGATTTCTTAACCAAGGCGAAGAAAACGGGGCGGATAGTCAAGATTATTAACTAAAGGACATGTTAGCCCAGCCCCAAAAGACATTGAGAAATGGAGAAATTACCTGGTTGTAGTGCATGTGCAGCAAGCAAGTGGCTGGGTCATCGCTCAACCCGTTACTTGCGAGTTGCACCGTAGGTGGGAGTTTTAGACACCACTCGTCGAGCATACTGATCTCCCCTTCGAGGCTTCTCACAGGTCTTGCGGCGTCTTCTGAGGGGGAAATGCGATATGTATTACACACGATATGGCATGATATCCGCGAAAGCTGGACATGAGCTTTGAGACCATCTGCTGGAGGCATAGACCTATCGAATGAAGTTAGTCAGAGCGAAGAGGCATAGATGGGGGGATACCTACGGAGCATCGCAAGGAAGCGGTAACCGAATTGCGTCGTCCATGATGGTCGGGGGTCTCCCCATGAGGCAGCTTAAATAGCGATCCAATACATAAAGTGTCCAGAATACGCGTTTGCCACTCTCGTCAAGCCAGCCCCTATGTGCGCCGTGCATGATGCTGATATGCATAGCGTTGCTCACGCAGATATATGCGGCATCACGGCGATTCATCTCTATCAGGTAGAACCCCATCAATGTCAACACCGATACTTCGTTGGGCGTAAAGCGTGTAATGTCAAGCGGGTTCCCTAGGAGCATACGGGCCCGGCTGAAGTAGTTCTCACTGAGATGAGGGTCTATAGAGATATCCTGAGGCGGCATAATCATAGCTTGAGATACCACAGCAAATGCTGTCTGATAGAAAGCCAAATGACGGCACTTGGCGAGACGCAAGTTTGTCGAGTCTCGTTCCATGGAGGGGATTGTCGGTGCTGAAGAGAGATCCCCCCACCAGTAGATTCCTCCACTTGGCCAATGGCAGTTACCGTCTTGGATGAAATAACGAAGCTCGGATAGCATTGAGTCCATCTCTGGGGGTGTAGGAAACCATGTCGGGTCAACCTCTCGATCATGCAAAGGTCGCGAGTCGTAGGTTTGGTAACGACCAAGACTTGACAAGAATGCACTTCCATCAGAGCCTGGGCGCAGACTTTGATATGCAAGAGGCAGAACTGTAGTCATGAATTCCTTCAAGTAATCAAGGAAAGTTGCGCCACTCGTCTCACCCAGGAAACGAGCATAGCCGTCAGGGTCGTGTAACAGACGACCTTCGGTTGAGACCAAGTTCTCTTCATCATCCTGCCGATTTTGAAGCGTCGCCCCAGGATGTGATAGCTGGATAGAATGTGTTCGTGATAGTCCATAACTGGGTTCCTGTATTCGAGTATCTGATAGCTGAGCTTGAAGATGGAGATGAGGCGGTTGTTGCTGGAATTGTCTATGTATACTGGGATATTGAAGCTGAGGAAGCTCAGGCGGCACTCGCCCGATATGCGCTGCTGCATCTATCGTTGGCGTTGTCTGTGCCGCTAGACTAACGGCCGATGATCCAAGGTCATGGTTAGAGGCGGTCCAACCAAGCAAATCTGAAAGTTCTTGGCGGCTTGCGGAATCCGGGACGGCATTTGATACAGCTGCTGGGACAGTGTCTCGAAGAACGCGTTCATAGAGATCGACCTTGTGTTTCAAATCCTCGAGCTCTGAGCGCGTGATGCTCACCTTCTCAACAGGCAGAGGATATATGCAGTCGCGTGAAGAGGATTGGCATTGGCGACACGGATGCTCACCAGAGCATCTGACTCTTCTCACATTGCAAGCATTGCACCTTTTCAGCGAGACGTGTGTTAGATAAAGACGCGAGCTTTTATGATGATATGATTGATAAGTCAGTGACTTGAGGGGGGAACCTCAGTCAAGCTTGACGTCTGCCGAAACGCAGGAATAATTGAGTATAATTGAAGTGGAATTGATACATCGATAGATGGTACATAAAAGATCAATATAAACAAACCCATTGCAGGATATATCGATTGAATAGCTACAGTAGTGTGGTACTGTAGACGGGTAGACACATGGAAACTAATCAACTTACGCTGTAGCGACACGCTTGCGATGCTCGGGAGCAACCTTGTGCCGGCGGGGATTGACAGGAAGCCGTCGAGGAGTATGGGAGGCAGAGGCAGAAACAGAGACAGAAGCCCGAGGTCGAGCCGATTGTGGTCCAGTTGCATTCGTATTCGCAGTTGGGCCAGAGTCGTCGGGCTGCTTCATGGCTTAGTCGTTCGTGAGTTTCCGTTTCCAAGAGGAGAACACTCGTCGTTTACTCTCAGAGACTGAGAACCAGTCAGCCCCTGCCTGCTAAGAACCTACCAAGAGTGCTGTTACCAGTGCTAGGTTAGTACCACTTTAGGGGCCGCCGCTCAGAAAAGATTGCATTGGATGTCCCCCACCCGAAAGGATTCTCATAATACTGTCCAAGCAAAGATGTTCAACCGTTGGTGCGGAAATTTGGGAGGGAAGCCGGAATCAGTCGATCAATTATGGAGATTTCATATCGCCAAAATAATCACCTCGACCTGGATCGCCTCGCTTGCGGCACGGTTCGTTGAACCCTGTAGACTATTTCGACTGCTGCGCTCCGCTCTGCTCTGCCTACGGCAATGTCCCAAGCAACAAGGCCTGCACAGACTTGACTCTGATTTTAAGTTCTGTTCACGGCTTTTCCCTCCAGAGAAAGACACTCTCAGACTTCTCGGTTGGTATGCCCGCTGTGTGTATGTATTATCAATGTGCATGCTGACACATGGTTGATCTCTGTTTGATAACTCCAACGCTAAGCCGAGGTAGTACTCTTTAACCTGCATGGAATAAGACGGAACAACGTCGCTTGACAAGGGCTTGCAACCTTGTCAGCTTCATCTCGAGACTCGACCGTTGATTGCTTACACAAGCAAAACTCTTTACCTCCTGCACAAAACTCAATAGGGGAACTCGTTGAGCGTCAATAGCAGTGATGTTGTTGGGCTATGCTTTTGATGCATACCTACCATGCTTAGACCTTTTTATGCGTGCCAAAAACGACGACCCTTGTTGTAAAAGATCTTGGCATACTCTTTGCAGTTTCTTTACATTGCTAGTCTGTCCTGCATCAGTGGGCAACTATAGACCACAAGGGAAGAGAATCTGTTTCTCAGCAGGTGGGTGTGTAGCCAAATGCTGGGATGACCGGCCCGCCTTTGCATGGCATCTCGACAGCGTGAAACTCTTACAGCGGTCTTTCCGAGATATGAAATAATGACTCAACATCAGCGAGTCAATTTCAAGTGAAAGCATGGGGGGCCTCGCTGTTGGCTGGAGCAAATTGTAAGAGGCCCGTTCAAGCACAAGCATGTCATGCGCTTCCATATAGTCCTCATAGCTCTGCCTAAAAGATGACATTGCCGGCCGGGCGATTCCCATCGTTATTGCCAATTCCAGAGGCTCACTCCGTTTGGTGTAACGGAGATACTACGTTTAACGGTCAACAATAACACTTGGTGCAGAGTTGGCCAAGACTATGAAGTCATCCCGAGTACTGAATCTTACGGCAACTATCCCACGAGGGAGTATCACTGGAAATCAAAAACACAAAACGGGCAGTCGATGGACTGGAGTTCGTGAAATGGGCGACATGCAGCGTGATGCCGACTTATATCGGGCGGTGTTAAGCCCTTGATATTAGGCGCAGTACCCGAGAAGCGGCCCGTAACAGTGTGTTGGAAATGTGGCAACTTGAATAAGCTTAAGGAGACATACCAAAATGAGGAGTTGCGACCTGTCAAGAATAGCCGCGATACTGAGATGTGACAATGGATGCATGGCACACAGAGAATGGAAATTGGAAATTGTAAATATTTTTTCAATGCCCTGGTGGGGTTCTAACAAAATCTACAGAACACCAAAAGAGATAACTGAAATCCAACTTTTGTCTGCTAATTCGCAGTATGTACTGCAAACGATGATGACGATAATAAATAACAGAGGATATAGTAAATAAAAAATGACTTAAGCGGCAAGACTGCTCTTTTCAGTCCAGTCAGCTATTTTCGCTGCCCTTGCAAACCCATTACAAACGTAGGTATCCATTCATTCGTGCTGTCATAACATTTATTGCTTGAAAATAGATTGAACAATCTCGCCTGAACGAGTGCCCAGGACGGAGAGGAGGGTGTCGCTCAGCTAGAGACAATGTTAGTATCTATTGAATGAACAATTCACGGTGGATCACTTACCCCGTGAGTACCCTCGCAGCAGCCCTGCAGCCAGACGCCAGAGTCGTCGGCAACAGTGCCAGGGGAGAACTTGACTCGGTAGTCCCTTCCGACTGCCAGCTTACGCTCGCCATCTTGTGTCTCGACGTTCCAGCCGTTGACACCCTTGGGGGACTCGTTGCGTCCCGATACGGTCTTGGGGAGCATTGTCCAGGCGTCCTTGAGCATGTCGACGTGAGCGCTTCGCTTGTAACCGGTAGCAGCAACGATCAGATCAACATCAAAAGTCTCCTGGTCGACGAAGCCATCGAGAGGACCATCGTTCACGCGTTGGACCTTGATCTCGAGAGCGTCACCCTTGGTGTCGACGCTGGCAATCTCACGGCCAGCGAGAATTCTGTGGGGCCACTGTGTCTCATCGTCGCTGATCTCACGCTTCTGGTCATACATCTTCTCGAAGAGGTGCTCAATGAGCTCCAGGCGAACAACACCGTAGTTGGTGGCGCGAGCCTCAGTCAAAAGAGTCTCACGAGCCCTGACAGATCGTGGCCACAGGTTGTCAATGTACTCGGGGTTGAAGATGGAGTTGACGCTGTACGTCATCGTCAGCAGAGGTTCCTATAATGAGCAACTGTGCACAACTTACAATGGGGAGTCATCACTGGGGCGCAGGAACTCCTGGCGCATGATAAGGTAGGTCTTGGAGTTGGGGTACAGGTTCTGGACGTTGTTGAAGATCTCGGCGGCACTCTGGCCAGCACCGATAACAGCAACGCGGTAAGGAGCGTTCTGCTTGGCTAGGATCTGAGGGGCGTAGTTGGCGAATTGAGAAGAGTGCAGGACACGAGGGTGCTTAGCAGGGAGGCTCTTGGGGAGCGAAGGCTGGCCACCAGCAGCAACAAGGACGTGACGGCTGCGGAAAGATTGGACCTGGCCAGTCTTGCCATTGCGAGCCTGAACGGTGAAAGTCTTGACGGCACCGGCCTCCTTGCTCTCGGGGGAGATAGAGAGAACCTCGTTGTTGTAGCTCACAACATGGTCAAACCAAGAAGAGCACCAGCGAAGGTAGTCTTCGTATTCAGTACGGGCAGGGAGGAAAGTGCTCAAGTTGGTAAAGTCAACGAGGCGACCCTGACGGTGGAGGTAGTTAAGGAAAGTAAACTCAGATCGGGGGTTGCGAAGAGTGGCCAGATCCTTGATGAAGGAGATTTGCATCTTGGCTCCAGGGAGCAGCATACCGGCGTGCCAAGCGAACTTGGTCTGCTTCTCCAGGAAAAGGACCTTGGGAGCTGCGCCATCAGGGCGAAGCTTCTTGCCCTCGGCGATGGCATCGTGAATAGCGACGGCTACAGCCAAAGATGCGGGGCCGAAGCCAGCACAGATGAGGTCAAACTCAGAATCCGCAGGAGCGGACTCGAGATACGGAGATCTCTCCTTGTGAACTCGGGGTCCATGGCGGGCAACAGGAGCAGCTCCGTTTCCGTTGCTGTTGCCGTTGACATGACCGTTGTGGCCGTTAGTAATACCGTTGGTGCCATTTGTACCGTTGTGACCGTTGGTGGTACCGTTGGAGACCGGGGCCTCGGAGCCGTTGAATGAAACCTCGCTGTGGGGTGACATGATGACTGATTGCTGTTGAAGAGGGGTATATGTCTAAAATTGTAATAGAATCCTTAAATGCAGGCCAAATTTTATAGCACAAACTTTGTGTCTATGAAACTTGGCGTATTGAAAGTCGTGACGTGTGAGAAACCGGGAAGAGGTCCACCAAGTGAATGGGAGGCTGTGAGGAATAAAACCGGTTTGCAGAATCTCTTATTCCTTCTCTCGAATCAGGTATTACTCAATCTGGTCAGTATGGTGCACAGATTGGAAAATTGATGCAGATGAGCTTCAGATAATGGATGAAAGGTCGAATGAAGCTTCCAATGTCCGGATTGTGGTAGAGACAAAAGTGACACTATCAGGGTCTAACTCTGAAGAGATATGTTAAAGAGCTTTAGGTAGTACCACCGAGCCTTGGGAGAAGCTTCGTCAATGAAGATAGAAAGAACAGAAGAACGGAGTAGTTCCGAAAGACGGGGGAGATATGGCATTTTGTAGTTCAGACGGGGATGGGATCTACAAGCTATTTCGTCGGTCCCATATTGCGTGCCAAACTCTTATTCGGAGTCAAACTAAGCTACAGACCCTCAAAAGAAGCAAGCAAGAAAGTACAGTACATACAAGCTCACGGCGAAGCTGTAGTCGAGCGAGGTACACTGCATTACATGACGAGACGCCTGCTGGCGCTGGACACGCCTCATTAGGTACATGGAGGAGGCGGATACGAGTACATGGAGGTTCTCCATGGCTAATACAACCTCGTCAAGCTCGTACGTACATACTTGGGGAGGTACATTTGCGATGGAGCCATGATACATAAAAAACCCTCCATGATGGAGACACTACTATGCTGAGCTGGGAAGAACACAACTAGCTAGCCCACTGGAGACTGGGCTTTTGCTCTCAGTGCTGGTCATCCTGGGCTGGGCTGGGCCGAGCACGGCGGCCAAGCCAAGACGTGGAGCCGCGGTTGCCAAGCAAGCAAAAAGCATAGCGAGCGGCAGAATGGAAGCCGGGTCAGGCCAGAAATACAACAGAACGTGAATTAGATTGGTGACGGAATCCATTGCTGTTAACGTCAGTCAACGTGACTCTGGTTAGTAGGTAGTGAATGGGACCAGGACTAAGCCCAAGCCTGGGCCCTGTAGAGGGTGGGATCGGGAAATGGTGGGGGGTGGGCTAAATGCCCTGCTGCAGAGAAAACACCAACTTTTTCGAGCTTTAGCTCGGAGGGGTCCTGTAAGCCATTTTGGGCTTCTATTTTTTATTTTTATTTTTTTCGGTTTTCGTGACTGTTTCAGTTTCTCTGTTGAAGCTTTGCCTGTGTTGGACCTCGTGAAGTGGGAGAACGAGCATAGCACTCATATACCAAACCTGCGATATTCTCATCGTAATTCTCAGGACTCATGTTGACCCTCGATCAACTGAAGCAGCGATCATCATAAGAGTGTTCCAAAGACATAGACACAGCATGGTTAAAGGATTGCCTCATGCAGGCCCCGTCTGGGCTGGGTTCTGATGGTTGTGTCAAAACTTCAAAGGCTCTGTCAGCCGCTGCATGATGGGCGACACGATGCAATAAGACGACAGGCTAGGCCAGTCATCGGACTGCAAGGGATGAAAAATGGATGGAAAATGTCGCGCAGTCAATGGCTCTGCGGCCTAATCCTCCACGTCCATGGCCGCGGCGTGCCTCGTGGACCCTCCTCGTGGGACTTCATCAACGCCGTGAAGTTCCGTAGCGCATGAGTGAACTTCGAGGCGCCACTGCCCACTCATCATCTCCGAGCAGTATCACACTGGCTTGCGGGTCTAACGAGAGCTTCCCAACTAGCCAACCCGTCTCGCAAGCCCCCAGCGTGGAGGGACCCTCCAGGGATGCGTGGCGGCGTGGGTTGAGTCCGGCACTCGAGGTTGAATGAGGAAACGATGAGCATCAAATGGGCAGAGGAAAAGACCATGAGCAAGGGTCGAAGCATGTTAACAGGATACCCATACTCGTGGGTGAAGCTCAAGCAAAGTTTGTTTTTAGTTTATTGATGGACGATGATGATCGGTCTTGGAACCTTCCTATATGGACGAATGCCGTAAAAGCTTAGGCCTTTCGCGAATGGCAAATCGATGTATGTTGACATCTTTAAATCGAGAGTGTGATATGTATGCCAATTACTCGGCTTGAGAAGTCCCCTAGTTCGACCTCATCCAGAGTCTGCGGACTCGAACTACTCTTTGACCCATGTTCTCCTCCGAACCCTCGACTTGTACAATCTTCTACCCGGTGTTTTTCTTCAGCTTCATCTCTACAGGCGGGGTGTTTATGGCCACTTGCGTCTCAAGACGGTGGCGGGAGGAAGTGGAGGTTCCTGAATTACGAGCAAACTAACCAAGGATCCCCAGTAAAGAAGCGTAAGTATGGACGAATATGATGCGACGTCGGCGATGATCTTTGGTAAAAGATCAGATAAGATAGACATGGTAAAACAGTGAGCAAGCTTGGCGAACTCTGCAAAGGTTGACGCCGCTGAGCAAGGATCAGACGGCCTTACTACTGGAAATATGCTTGCCATCCCAGCTGGCGTCACAAAAGGTGGAAGCAGCCGCAGTTCAAAGTCCAGTTCATTGCTTGCTAACTGGGCCGATGCAGACCCTTGAAGACGCTACGCATTTTTGTTCTGTGGGATCGAGGCATGGGTTCGAAACGTCCAGTCTCGCCTGGGCCGATGACGGCTTTCTGCAGCCCCGTCACCCAAGCTCTTTCACACCGTTCAGACACGACGTCAATCCATGGGTTGGGGGCAGAGAAAAACTTGACCAGCACAGGCACAGGAACGCAAGAGTGCGGCGAAGAACGGCTTTGGTTTGGCGGCGTCCACGCCAGAAGAGCCGATCACTCGAAGCCTCGCAATGTCGTTCGACGAAAAGGAGGAGCAGTTCCGCAGAGAAGATGGGAGGGGGTTGGCAAAATGCTGATGATTGGAGTGTTGATGGGCGACGAACATGTTGGGCTCCATTGTGGAGATGAGGGAATTATCTGATGATCTGATAAACCGGATCTGATAAGATCTAATTAGCCAGCTTACAGTAGCGTCGCACACCAAGCTCGAGTTGACTGGTTACCGACCTCCGAGCGGCCCAGGGGTCTTTTAGCACCAGATGGCCCTGGTGCTTGTGCTCACAACCCCTGCAACTATTTGCTGTGTTTTTTCTGCTTGGGGACAGGTACCGATCGAATGAGCGCGAGCAAGCGGAGGGCAATTGTGAATGGAAGAAAAATTTTCTTCTCTGATGAACAGAAGCTTATCCTTATTGGAACAAGGCACAGGTTTCTTGACCTATAAGCGCAAGGACTCGGCGTTAGATCTCCATCGATTGATGAGCTGTCTAGAGCTGCATTTACTAGCAGGGTCCTACGCCTCTGGCAGATAATCGGGCTAGCGGGTAATGATTTTGCAGTGAAGCCATCGATTGACTGATTGATTAGATGCAAATGCGCCGGAGAAGGCTTCACAGACCGATAACGGTGCTTTCCGATATAACCCATACAGCATGGATACGCCAGCATCGATGTTGCAATGACAGAAATCATGGAGAGCAGATATGCAGCCATGGGACGACACGACTCTGGGAATACCCGTAGTATGGCTCGATATGATCGGTAAAACCGTAAGATGATGCCAATTGCGGGTGACGATGTTGCTTTTTCTTCGTTCTGTTGGACCCCTGTTTTCGTGATACTTTTCCATGCTGTGATCTAGAACACCAAGCCAACGCTCCGGCAGTACCTGGTCTCACAGTTGGTTCGTACATCAAAGGATCTCGTACCCGTTTGCGATCCCGTGTCCGAGGGTCCAAGTAGTACCTACAGTAGCCTCCCTCATGTCGTCAAATTATCCCAGCAATCGTCAGTAGAAACCCATGCCACAACCAGGCACCTTAAGCGCTTCTGTCACCATGCACGTGAGAGGCAAAGTTTGTCCATGAGGAAAAGCAGAAATTTACGGGCAAAAGCACTATTCAGCACAGTGAGGGAAGCCGCTTTGCCTTGCCGAAATCAGACTACAATGATACTATGACAATGCATACTCTAGCTGAAATTTGAACATGGGAATGAATGCACGTGAAGCATACGAGGTTCGGTCAAATTCGAATGGTGACTTTCTGCACAATGAGCGTGTTAAGTTTGCAGGTTTGATTGACACCATACCTCATCTTGGCCACCCCTAGATTTGACCAGGAGCATTACACCTACGTCACAGGCTGATCGAAAAGTTTCTGGCGGCTACCAATCAATGTTTCGGGGGGCTATTCAACTTACAGGAGGTCTAGTACTTTAAAAGATCTTCCAATGGACGAAATATCCAAATTGAACTTTCTCGGCTTCCTGAATTACAATTTAAAAGCACATATCAATTGAGTGGGTATGAGTTCAGTTTTCTTGCTAGGTAAATCCTGGAATAGACCGGAAGTTTTCGAAGCGAGCGACGTTGAACAGGTACATTAGAGGCCAGGGGAGAGTACATCATTTTCATTTGCGTGTACATTAGCTTATCTGATTAGATCCGGAATCAAAGGATCGGCGAGCCTCTAGCACTTAATAATTAATAAACGAAAGCAAGCCGCATGTGTCAAGGCACTTGGAAATTTTCGACGAGCATGCACGGGGAAATGATCAATATGCAGTCACAACAGAAGAAAAGATAGCAACTTATTTCGTCTCACTCAAAATAGGAATATTTGAATACCACAACAGAATTGATGTTGAGATCTGATCTTTGAGAATTATTATTTCAGGGTAGCAAGCTCTCGGTTTCGATGAATGATGAGTGCATTGACCAATTCCGACTAGCAGTAGTGGTTGGTCATAGCCCACACCCTCCCTTCCATTTCTCCACCTGCACCTTGCATCATCAAACACCAGGGTCAGAAAATCCACCATCATCACCGCTGTCCGCTTCATCGGGCATCGCATCATCACCCTCAACATTGCCCGTCTGCTTCGTTAAAGCCGCAACTGGATCAATCATTCCGCCTGTGACGATTCTGACTCGGCAGCAAGCCTGTCGTTTGTGCTGTGCTCTCGGAGGTAGCCGTCAACCTGCCTGTCACAATCAAAGGCAACAATCTGGAAGGTGATATTAACCTGACGCGTCTGGCATTTCTCCATAATCTCGGCTCGGTGTCCGCACTGCTCTTTTCCGCTTTATTCGTTTCAGCGTCGTGCTGCTGCCGTCATTAGCTTCGCTCTTCTCACAACCCACTATCCCTTCGGGAATCCGAGCCTGCGCCGACCGAATATGCGTTTTCCCATCCAGTCGGTTTGGTGTTTGCCCTCATGGAGTGCCTCTTTTCCTGTTTCCGATTCCAACTTCGCTCACCTCTGCTTCATCTGAACCAGAGGCACAGCTGTTTCCACCTAGTTGTCCTGATCTTAATCTATCGTTTCATCTGACCAGTCGTCACAGCCTTTCTCTCATCTAATGCCCTGCGTGGCACACTCACGCTGCGTTGATGGTTCCCTCATCCTCACCAACCCAACCTCCATCTCGTAGACAAGGTAAAATGACATACAGCGTTCTCTTAACCCCGATCAAGGCACATGCCATGCCCTTCACAACCCCTCTTGCTTGTTCTACTCCCCTCTTACACTGGGAGACATCCATATCACCGGAAACCTCCCACGTTGACTAATATCGTTTCACTATCATGGTGTCTTGATCAATGTCATCCCACGTGTATAACCCTTCCCCGCCATTGTCCTTGGGTATTGGAAATGCCCTCCCACATCCTGGATTCGATCCTGCCTGATCTCATCACCCTGTGACTCAACCTGCATGAGTCTACTTAGTAACCATGGGGTTTACAAGATTCTTTGTGGGTGATAGCTTGCGGGAAGACGGATTCCTGGACCAGCAAGCGTTCAAGCTCCCATGCCATTCAGCCAGACGAGTCTATTCTATGACTTAGACAACGCGTCTAGACACTGGGTAGTAGGGCCGAAAGTCACTTGTCAAGTTGGGGCTCCCCTTTTATCGCGGGTCGACCCGTCGAGGATCCCTTGTCTGCATAACCAAAAGCAACCTCGATATTGACCCTCAACCCTCAACCCGCATGCCGTCCTTCGGGTTGCTCTTGTCAGCCCCAATCTCTACGTATGCCTAGCTTCGAGAATTCCTCTAGTGCAGCGTCTCACATGCAGCAATTTATTTTACCTTATAACCGCCATAAGCCTTCACGTAATCATTTGCCAGGCACCCCGGGGCCGTTGAACCTTACGTCGAGCCTCCTCAGGTGCCAAGAGGAACTAGCCTTTCCCTTATGGGGGCTGGCTTGCCGATCTGATTCGCAGTTATGATCAATCGAGTTACCCAATACGGATCAATGGATTTTGTAATCCATAGTGCCCATGAGAATTGTCCCTTGGCAGGAAATTCCTCCTCGCTTGAGGTTATATATATAAGACTGTGCTCTTTTTGAACCAGGAGGTTGAACAGGTCTATTGTTGGTATTCAAGTGAACTTTGTCATCACAGCAACAAGACCAAGCTCAGATAAACCGAGTCGTGACGCAATCTATTCTGAGCGGCTGCTCGCTCCACTGCTCATTTGACGTCAAAACTCAGGCATCCTGTGAGACATCACGCCGTTTCAATAAAAGCACCACTATCCCACGCACCTGCGCCATATCCTGGTGCGGTTTTGGCATAGGACCAACGAGGTTGTGTTGCTCCCCACGCCAGCCACGGCCAGAGGTCCACCATAGAGGTGCCCAAAACGGCAATCTAGGTATCTCGGCTCACACCATTGCACTTCAACCCTCACTGCACCAAATCATCATGGGTCGTGGTTTTAATCTGCCTTGGGGCTTGTCTTGCCAGCCCACCCTTTCAAATAATAGCTGTCTACTACCCACCCACCGAGAGCACTCACAGCCGGATCTTACTTGTCCCTGTCATCTTCATGAGCCGATGAGTAATTACTCGACGCTGACAGGCTGAAATACAGCTGCTTCCGCACGCCCCCCTTGGACCAGGTGAACCACTTTGTACAACCGTCCACGCCTCGAACTTGCCTTTGACGAATCATTGCGACGCCGATTCTAATACGACATGCGTCCGTTTGCTTTGCCGTCATTCCAATTCGCAGCTCCCGTGTTTTGGACCCCGGCTGGCGTGTACATCCTCCGAGACTTGGTTCCGCATGGTCGTGAAGCGACCAAAGCAGCCTGATGTTAGTCCACACAGTTTTAGCTAATAGCATGTTGGCCTGTAATTAATGCCCCAGGATGAGGCTTTTGGCGGACCAGTGCGTTCCCTAAAAGGGCCATATCTTCAACTCCGAGTGCACACCTTTAACATCGCCGGTATTGTCGCCGGCCCTGATTGTTACCGGTGCCGTTTGCCCATCGAGACCACCCATCTCATTATCATTATCCATTACCCTTATTGCTCGGTAACACCATTGTTCTGACTAACACACTCTCAGACCACCAACCACCAGAGGTGTAACTTGAGCACTATGGACTTGACAGGACTCTCTATCCTTAATGCCCGGCCTTCCAGGCTGCCTGGACCAAACCTCCTACACCAACTGGTGAAGAAGCCGGGCCAACACGTAGCCCTGGATTATATGAGTAACGGTCGGCAATCTACATTGACTTACAGCGAACTTCATGAAGCTGCAGCGTCCATTGCGACTCGTATAACAACAGCATCAGGCAATGTCACAGGACAGTTTGTTGTTCCTGTGCTCATTCACCAATCCCCTCTACTATACATCTCACTCTTGGCCATTTTAAAGTCCGGAGGGGCTTTCTGTCCTCTCAATATTGATGCGCCGCCGGAACGCGTAAAATTCATTCTTGATGATGTCGCAGCAACAGTGGTGTTGACCACGAAGGAACTGGCATCTGAAATACCCAACAATACCGGTGCAACTATAATCATCGTTGATGAGAATGAAGAATATCAAGGCTCTTCTCGATCTCCAGGAGTCGAGCTCAAACATAGAGTCCCTCAGCCAGAAGATCTAGCCTATGTCATGTATACATCAGGATCAACAGGAACTCCCAAAGGCGTGGGAATTTCGCACGAGGCTGCATCGCAAGCTCTTATTGCCCATGATAGACATATCCCACCATTCTCCCGCTTTCTGCAGTTTGCAGCACCGACATTTGATGTCTCAGTCTTTGAAATATTCTTCCCATTCTTTCGAGGTGCTACTCTCGTGAGTATTCGGCGGGTTGAGATGTTAGACGACCTTCCTGGCGTGCTACGCGCTATGAGAGTGGATGCCTGCGAACTCACACCAACAGTCGCTGGAAGCCTGTTGCGCCGAAGAGAAAATGCGCCAGACCTCAAGTTGCTTTTGACAATTGGAGAAATGCTCAACGCCCCAGTAGTTGACGAATTTGGAGGGGACGATGAAAGGCCGAGCATGCTCTGGGCAATGTATGGTCCAACTGAAGCCACAATTCACTGGTAAGATTCTCAACTATTTCTTAGCAAACATCTGACTAACAAAATGCTAGTACTCTTCAAACTGCATTCTCGTCTGATTCTTCGACGGGCAATATTGGTGTACCCCTCGATACAGTCTCGTGCTTCATTATCGAGATTCCAGAGTCAGATAGCCACGAGTTTGAAATTAAAATTCTTCCCCAAGGAGAGGTTGGAGAGTTGGCTGTGGGTGGCTACCAGTTAGCTGCTGGCTACATCAACAGACCGGAGCAAACAAATTCAGTCTTCGTTGATTCACCATTTGGGCGCATCTATCGTACGGGGGACAAAGCTCGTTTACTTCCAAATGGAAAACTTGAATGCTTCGGTCGATTATCAGATGGCCAAGTGAAGCTGAGGGGACAACGTTTGGAGTTGGGAGAAGTAGAGCAGGCCGTCCTTCGAACCTCAGGATGTCACAGCACCGTGGCAGCGATAGTGCAATCTATCCTGATAGTGTTCTGTGCCGTCGACGAAGGAGTGACTGAATTTGCTATTTTGAAGCATTGCAAAGATTGGCTACCGCAGTACATGGTTCCTGGAGAAGTTGTCTTGATGTCAGAATTTCCAAGACTACCCAGTGGCAAAGTTGACCGGAAGAGGCTTAAAGCAGAGTACGAACAACGCAAAGCAGACATGTCAGAGAGCATCTTGGACTCCGCGCCAGTTGACACAATGGAATCAGAGCTTCTGGCAGTTGTGTCTCAGAGTTTGAATTTCAAAGTCGATAAGTCGACGTCTCTCGCCTTGATTGGAATGGATTCCCTCAAAGCAATCAAGTTAGCCTCTGCCCTTCGGACTTCTGGGTTTGGGATAGACTCAACTGCTCTTCTCACAATGAAAACCGCGTCTGAAATTCTTTCTGCCATCCGAAGGCAGCTGCAACGCGATATAGCCAACCCTCAACAACCGTCAACAGATCTTTCGTTAGACTTTGAGGATGTTGTACGACAAGACGCCACCCTAGCTCGAATTCGTGGCTCAGTCGAGGACGTGATACCATGCACGCCTCTTCAAGCAGCTATGCTAGCCGAGACTGCACGGAACCCAACCACTTATTGCAACGAGCTTGAGCTTAGTATTCCGCTAGGTTATGGCATCGATTATATATCAGAGACTTTCAGAGAACTTTCACAGCTGAATGCAATTCTGCGTGCGGGGTTCGCAGCTGCAAAGGGCAACTTCGTTATGATTTTCCAGCGAGAACTCCGACCCGAACAGATCTGCGTTGTTGACCAGTTTCAAAAACGACTGTCCCTCTCCTCACCCCAGGACTTCATATCTCCCTTGATACTCCAGATCCAGCAAAGTCCAGTAGAGGATAGGGTCCGCGTTCTCTTGCAACTGCATCATTCACTATATGATGGATGGTCTATGGATATTCTTCTTTCTGATTGGTCCAAACTGCTCCTGCGACAACAAGTATCTCAGCATCCTTCATTCCGGGAAGTTGTCAGATTTCATCATGACATGCAAACAGGCGATGCCACCCGAGTATTCTGGACGGAACATCTCGCAGGATGGAAACGATCGCCATTGCCCAAACTACGCGATAAGTTGATGTACTCAAACCAAACCCTATCAATCAGGAGGCGATTGTCCCTCTCTCGAAGTAGGGTTGATACAGGAATGCAGAAGCTTGGCTGCAGTCCTCAAGTGATATTCCAGGCCTCACTAGCTCTGCTGTGGTCAGGGATCACAGGAATGCGTGATATCACGATTGGCTCAGTAACTTCTGGAAGGACGATTCCTTTAGCAGGCATTGAGCAAGTAATTGGACCATGCATTGCCTCCCTCCCTGTTCGAGTCGATTTAGACAACGTATCCGTATGTCTCGACCTGCTCAATAGCATCCACTCAAGTAACAGAGCGATTATGAAACATTGTACAATTTCATTATCAGAGCTCAAAAAGCTGGTCGCATTACAGCCCGGCGAAAGCCTCTACGATGTGCTTTTTGTATACCAGGAATCTCTCACCAGCTCGGAGCGAACGCAGAACGTTGTGAGAGAGACCAGTCATCTGGATCGACTGGAGACACCGCTTGTGTTTGAAGTTGAGCCAAGAGAAGATGGGTTTGAGCTTCAAGTTACATATCAAGAGGACCTCGTGCCACCAAAGACGGCAGAACACATGGTGAATCAGCTTGAGTCATTGATTATCTCCATGCTGGAGAATCCTACCACCAAGGTCAAAACGACACTGAAGGAGGTCAGCTGCAGCCCGTCCATTCACAACATCTGGCCTACCATGCCGCAGAAAACCCCTGATTTGGCGCGACTTTTTGAAGAAGTTGTGCTTCAAACTCCGAACTCGGATGCTCTATTCTTTGCTCACTCTTTAGACGGCGGCCTCCAAACGAAATGGACATTTCAAGAGCTCAACGCAGTGGCAAATCGCATCGCGAGATATCTACATTGCAGCGGTGTCGGAGTTGGCGAAGTAGTGGCTATTGTGATGGAAAAGTCACCAACGTTGTACGCATCAATCCTGGGCATCATCAAGTGTGGTTGTGGATATCTCCCAATTCTTCCTTCAACCCCTCCTGCTCGCATCCGTGAGATCCTACAACAGGCCCATACTGAGCATTGCGTGGTCGATAACGTGTCTCGTGACCAATGCCCATCTCTGTCCGGGCTTTCTACGATAACTGTCGATACCAACTCGCTCCATGACATATCCACGGACAATTTGGACGTTGGAGTTGATGGGACTCGACTCGCGTACGTGATTTACACGTCGGGCACGACAGGAACTCCAAAGGGTGTTGCAATTCAGCAACATAGTATTGCTGCAAACATTGAGCATCTTGAGGCACTGTATCCCAAATGTCTCAACTCACAGGGTCGCCTCCTGCAAGCATGTTCTCAAGCATTCGATGTGTCAGTATTCGAGATATTTTATACATGGTGCGCAGGGATGTGTTTATGTTCAGGGACAAATGACACAATCTTGGAGGATATCGAGCGCTCGATACGCGACCTTGGTATCACCCACCTCAGCATGACACCAACGGTTGCCAACATCGTTAACCCTACTAATGTCCCCGGCGTGGAGTTTCTCGTGACTGCCGGAGAACCCATGACACAGTCCGTCCATGAGAAATGGCAACGCCAGTTGTGGCAGGGATATGGACCATCGGAAACCACAAATATCTGCACAGTGAAGAAAATGACAGCAGATGACCATATTGAGCACTTAGGGCACGTGTTTCCTAATACCTCTGTTGTGGTACTCTCCCCAGAAAGTCCTGACGTAGTGCCCCTTAATTGGGTCGGCGAGTTCTGTTTTGGAGGTGCCCAGGTCGCTCAAGGTTACCTCAACATGCCAGAGCTCACATCCCAAAAATTCATTCAACATCTCCAGTACGGAAGACTTTATAGATCTGGAGACATGGGCCGTATGCTTCCCGACGGTTCCCTGCTGATACTTGGCCGCATCGATGATCAAGTAAAACTAAGAGGCCAGCGAATCGAAGTTGGTGAGATCAGTAGCATGGTGACCTCGAGCGGTCTGGCATCCTCAGCTGCTACAGTATTGGTACAACGCGGAGAGACTTCCCCCCAGCAACTATCTCTCTTCTTCGTTCCGAATCATGGCCCTTCTAGCTTTCATGCGTTGAAAATCAACAACGAAACCCACCAGTCCCTCGTCGCACACCTGAAATCGCGATTGCCAAGCTACATGGTGCCCACTTACCTTATCCCGATCTCATCAACACCCATGACTTCGAGTGGAAAGATAGATAAGCGCCGGCTTCGTGACTGCTTTCACAGGTTGAGTATGGACTATCTCGAAGAAGCCTCTAGAATGTCCCTGGACACTCAAGACGAGGGTGATTGGAGCCAGTCAGATTTGAAAATCGCAGATACCCTTGTGGAGTCTGCGAATGTATCCAGGAATGACTTCGGTAGATGGACACCCTTTGCTCTTCTCGGAATAGACTCTATATCTGCCATCGATCTAGCACGCAATCTCAGCTCAAAACTTGGTTCTCGAGTTGCTGTGTCTGAGATTCTTCGCAACCCAACTGTTGCGCAATTGGCGAGATATTTGGATGGAAAGACATCACAACAAGAGGAAACCCCAGTCGATAGTCTTGAAGGCTTTTTTCCCGTCACCTTCGTTGACTCGATGGAAAAAGAGTTTACCAAAGAGGCAAAGACTATTAGGGAGATCTTGCCATGCACTCCCTTACAGGAGGCGATGCTTTCTCGTGGCCAAAGGGGTTACTATAACAAGGTGCTCCTACGCCTGACAACTAGCTCTGGAGCCATGAGATCGTACTGGAAAACCATGTCGTATAGGCATGATATTCTTCGGACCTGTTTTGCGGCAACGACAGATTCCCGACGTGCCATTGCTCAGATCGTCCTTGAGAGCTGGGAAATACCGTGGAAGACATTCGATGTTAGTGAATTGTCTTTCGATGGGGCGATTGAACAACATCTCAAGTCTCTCCCTGATCCAGTCGATTCAAGGACACCGCCGATATCTCTAGCGCTACTTAGATACCGTGGATCTGAGTTTCTGTCATTCATCTGCCATCACGCACTTTACGATGGTGTGGCAATGGAACGACTTCTCAAGGAGGTGGAAGCATTGGCTGTTGGCGAGGAACTACCGCCGCCGGTCCCCTATAGTCAGTTTCTGAGACTATCCACTCGCTTGCCCGACGATGCAGAACAATTTTGGCAACGGCACTTTGAGAACTACAAACCATCTGCAATCTTCCCCCAGACAACCACGAGTGAAGTTGATCAGAGCACCTGCACCACATCTATGGATATCCCTCTCAGCGATTTGCAGTTGCGTATTCGAGATCTCGGGTCAACCCTCCTTTCGGTTTGCCAAGCAAGCTGGGCCACTGTTCTTGCAGCCGCATATAGACGTACAGACGTGTGTTTTGGAAATGTTGTCAGCGGCCGTACTCTTGACATCGAAGGTCTTGAAAGACTCGTTGCACCCTGTTTCAATACGATCCCTGTGCGCGTCAAATTCCCAGAAGCATCCAGTAATATTGATCTGGTCAAGCACCTTCAGAAGATGAACACAGAGCTTATTGCGTACCAATTTACTCCGCTGAGGCTTATCCAGCGTAGCATCAATCGCACTGGGAAGCATATATTTGATACGCTCCTACTGCTGCAAAAGCCATTACAGGACATCGACAAGAACGTCTGGACTCTTGAAGGAGATTCTGGAGACATGGATATCCCCCTGGTGTGCGAAATCGTCCCTTGCCCTGGATTGAACTCACTAGTTGTCAATCTTCATAGGGACATGAGTATTGTCACTGAGGAAGTTGCCACGGCTATGGCTGATGTTTTCAAACTTACATTGCGAGCCATTCTGACAACTCCCCATGCAAGTTCATTGAACAAGAAGGATCTTCCCGATACCCTCAGGTCAATAATAGACCAGCTCGTACCTCGAACCGAAAAAGACAACACAACAGTGACACCTTCCAACAAAAAAGAAGAATGGAGCGAGCTTGAGTTACAAGTTCGACATGTCCTGGCCACCCTTTCAGGGGTAAGCGATCAGCATATACAACGCCGCACAACCATTTTCCAGTTGGGCCTCGACAGCATCAACGCTGTGCAGGTGGCTTCGGTTCTCCGCCAGCGCGGTTTCGTCGTATCGGCCTCTGATGTGATTGAATGCCCAAGCTGCTCTAAGATAGCCGCAAAGCTACTGGAAAATTCATCGAGAGCAGATGCTGGGTATGTATTGAAGTACGATCTTGACAGATTTTCACGACAAGTCCTCACGGAGGTTGTTGATCAACTACCCAAACCAGTCAAAATCGAGGCAGTCCTACCATGCACACCTGTCCAGTCTGCCATGCTGGCATCTTTCGTTCAGTCTGGAGGTGACAACTACCTCAACGCAGTGAGGTATGTTGTGACGGAAGATATCCAAGTAGCGAACCTCGAAAGGGCTTGGCAGCTGCTCCAACAACGACATCCTATGCTGAGAACTGGCTTTGTCCCCGTGCAACATGCAGAATCCTCTTTTGCTATGGTAAGGTATGAAGTAGGATCAATAGAGACGACTCTGAACCGTCTGCACTTGGTTGGAGACGAACAGGCCGACCTCATCCAGATGAAGGCTGATGCCAGCAAATCGATGCTTTCTTCGCTGCACCACCCCCCTTGGAGTGTAATTCTGGCTCAAACATCCCAAACCAATACCATGAGCCTCGTCATTCACCATGCTCTCTACGACGCTCCCGCACTTCACCTGATGCTTGATGAACTTTCACAACTAGTCAAGGGCAATCAGCTACCCCGGCCTACGACCATCGAGCCTGCAGTATCAGCCATTCTGGGCATGGCACTGAATGACAAATCTACAGAGAAGGAATTTTGGGAGGCTAAAGCCAGCAAGATTGTTGTTAACAAGTTCCCAATAATGACACCTTTACGAGTTGAAGAACGACATGTGCTGGTTGACTCAATGGTTGGATCACTATCATCCACAAAACTCAGGACAGCGACTCAAGCCTCAAATGTCACAATACAAGCGACCATCCAAGCCGCTTGGACACGAGTACTGGCATCTTATTTGGGAGAGGACTCGGTTGTCTTTGGTGTTGCGCTGTCTGGAAGAACCATTGATGAGACAAAGGATGTCGCGTTCCCATGCCTCAACACAGTGCCTGTTGTGGCAAGCAACGTTCCGTCTAATGCTGACCTGGTCAGCTACATGATGAGCTACAACCAGCACCTTCACAAGTACCAATTCTCGCCGCTCAATCAAGTACAGAAATGGCTAGGTCACCCCGCAGGCCCCATATTCGACACTCTCATTGCGTACCAGAAAATGCCAGGTCATAACACTTCGTTTGTACCGTGGAAGCTGGTCAACGAAGAAGCCAAAGTCGAATATCCAGTCTCATTGGAGATTGAACCCACGGACAATGACCAGATTCGCTTATGCATAACATACTACAGCGACATCCTTCCCCGTGAACAAGCACAGCTTTTGATGAAGCAGTTCGACGCTTCACTAACCCACATCGCCTGCAATGCTGCTGGTTTCGAGGATGAAGTGATGAAAAACTCTTTATCCCTGTATTCGATACTTCCTGCATCAGCCCCAGTACTGGACACCTCCGTTCAGCTGTTACACCAATTTGTCGAGAAGGGAGCAGTTTCTCATCCGGAAAAAATTGCTCTCGAGTTTGTATCAGAGTTCGAGGGAGATGCATGTGTCAAGCAACAATGGAACTATCGTCAGCTTGACTGCATGGGTAACAAAGTTGCCAACATGCTCCGAAATAAGGTCACTCTGGGTGGCATTGTTGCCGTACACTTCGACAAATGCCCCGAGGCATATTTCTCAATCCTGGGCATTCTAAAAGCTGGGTGCTCGTTTGTCGCACTGGATCCGTCTGCACCGAGGGCGAGAAAGGAGTTTATCATCGAAGATTCTAAAGCACCTTGCCTGCTAACAAGGTGCTCGAAGGATCTTGATTTCGAAACGAAAACCACGGTAATGGAAATAGAGACTCAGGTTTTGAATGACGTGAGCGAGGAGCATGTCGTTTTCCACCCCAATACCTCTCCATCAGATACTTGTTATTGCCTCTATACATCTGGGACAACAGGAACGCCAAAGGGCTGTGAGATCACTCACGATAATGCTGTTCAGGCAATGATGGCATTCCAGGAACTTTTCAAGGGCCACTGGGATGAGGACTCACGCTGGCTTCAGTTCGCTGCTCTCCACTTTGATGTTTCTGTCCTCGAACAGTATTGGAGCTGGTCCGTCGGAATGGCTGTCGTTGCTGCACCCAAAGACCTCATTCTGGATGACTTGACAGCAGCCATCAATAGGCTCGGAATTACACACATTGATCTAACTCCAAGTCTTGCGCGGCTCACACATCCTGCTGAAGTCCCCAGTCTCTGTCGTGGTGTGTTCATTACAGGCGGCGAACAGCTTAAACAGGAGATTCTTGACGTTTGGGGACCGCAAGCTGTCATTTACAACGCATACGGCCCTACCGAGGCCACTATCGGTGTCACTATGTTTCAGCGTGTGCCCAGAAATGGCCGCCCTAGCAACATCGGAAAGCAGTTCCCCAATGTTGGTTCATTTGTGTTCAAACAAAACACTAATACGCCAGTCTTCCGCGGTGGTGTTGGAGAGCTTTGCGTGTCAGGGAAATTAGTGGGCAAGGGTTATCTCAACAGACCCGAACTTACAGCAGAGCGGTTCCCTACACTTGAACAATTCAACGAAAGAGTATACAGGACAGGTGATCTTGTCCGCGTGCTCCATGATGGGTGCTTTGACTTTCTCGGTCGGGCTGACGACCAAGTCAAGCTTCGCGGCCAGCGACTTGAAATTGCCGAGATCAATCATATCATCCGTACCGATGTTGTCGATATTCACGACGCCGCAACTATTGTGGCTCGCCATGGAAGTAGTGGCAAGGACGTTCTGGTAACATTCGTCGTTGACCAGAAGTCTAAAAAAGGTCCCCTTGAAATTCTGATGGATCAGGAGGGTCTGGCTGCGCAAGCAAAAGAAGCCTGCCGTGCCAAACTTCCAGGCTACATGGTACCAACATATATCCTGTCACTTCCATACATCCCCCTTTCCTCAAACAACAAGGCAGAAATTAAGGATCTGAAAAGACTTTTCAGCGAACTTGCACCAGAGAAGCTCTTGGAGCTTTCTCATGCCACAACAGCACCTGTTTCACAGGGGGCCCGGAAGATAGTTGGTCAATTACTTGAAAGTATTGCGCAGTTCAGCAACATGAGCAAAAATGATCTGTCGTCATCGACAAGCATCTTTGATGTTGGCGTGGACTCAGTCACGGCCCTCAGACTCTCCTCCCTCCTCAAATCCCGCGGCCTCAAAGCAACATCCCCTGCTTTGTTGCTTAAAAACCCCGTCATTGGCGATCTTGCCAACTCTTTGGCCAAGAACACCTCAAATCGACAAGAGAAACTTGTGCGAGAGGTTAAGCAGTCTATCCAGGCATATGGCCATCGGCACCGTGGCACGGTCTGCCGCCTTCTTAATATTGAGCCAGCTGATGTCGAATATGTTGCCCCATGCTCACCTTTACAAGAGGGTATCATATCACGGTCATTGACCAGCAGCGAGCCCGGAGCTTACTTCAATACTTTTGAGTTGAAGCTCCATGAGTCTACCTCCATAAGCAAGTTGCAAGTGGCATGGGAAGATTTGGTACTAACAGAGAGTATTCTGAGAACTGTCTTTGTACCCACCCCGCATGGCTTCTTACAAGCTGCCGTGCGAAAATCTACCTTGGCATGGGAAACCTACACTGTACAATCGGATGAATCGATTCCTGCATATCTTGCAGAGCAGAAGAAGTATTGGATCCAGCGGAACGAGTCTTCTATCACACAGCCTTTGCTATTCATCTATATGGAGACACCGACATCTAGACTGCTTACGGTTCATATTTTCCATGCACTTTATGATGGTAACAGTTTTGATCTCATGATGAAGCGGGTCGCGGCGAATTATTCTGGTATTCACGCACCTGATGCTCCTTCATTTCTTGAAACTCTTAGTTATGGTCCTCTGGCAAAATATGATAACTGCAGAGGTTTCTGGGAGAAACAACTAGAAGGCTGGGCTCCTGTTTCGATTCAGGCACATGGGAATGGCGAACCGGATGCTGTGGCCGTCGCTGAGCGGGAAATGCCGACTGCAAGTCTTGAGGCGATTCGTTCTTCTCAGAATGTTACGCTTCAAGCTGTTGTCATGGCGTTATGGACCTCTGTTTTGCAAAACTTCACCCAGCAGCAGCTCACCGTTGGTATCGTTGTATCTGGGCGAGCCATCGACCTCCCTGGGATCGAGAACACCATCGGCCCTCTTTTCAACACCGTACCTTTCTATTGTCGAGCAATCCGTCACGAAAGTTGGCAGTCACTTCTTCGGCGCTGCCATGACTTCAATGCATCAGTTCTCGATTTCCAACATGTTCCTTTGAAGGACATCCAGAAGTGGTGCTCTAAGGGCAAGGCCTTGTTTGACAACCTCTTCACCTTCCAGATCGAGGAAACCACGCCTGCCAATGAGAGCAGCCTCCTTTTTGATATCATGGATAGCCCAGCAACGCCTGACTACCCTCTTGCGCTTGAAGCCGTCTACACTCATTCGGGTTATCTCCGACTCACTCTTGTCGCACAAGGACATATTGCGTCTTCACAAGTGCTGAATAGCATACTTGATGACATTGAGCGCTTTGCAAACCTGGCTGCAAGCTCACCAGAGAGCGAGGTGCCCGTTCCAGAAATCGAGCAAAAATGCGACCCTGACGTCAATAATGAACGCATCCAAACGCACAAATCAGCCAATTTTGAATGGAGTCAAGAAGCTCAAATGGTTCGGAACGAAGTTGCTTTCTTGGCCGATGCTGCCCCATCTGATCTTAATGAAAATGTGTCGGTCTTGGAACTCGGTCTCGACAGCATTGATGTAATCAAGCTGTCTGCCACGCTGAGGAGGAAGGGAATCCATCTGTCCCCTTCACATATCATGCGCCACAAGACGATTGCCAATATACTGGCTGAGTCGAGTGATCTTTCTCTCAAACCGTCAACTTCTGCAGATGATGCTTCGCTGCGGCAGGTCAAGACTAGGTTGCGCGAATATCTTGAGAGTGTCGGCGCGGACCTAGGCCGCGTCGAATCTGTTCTTCCACCCACCCATCTTCAAGAGTCAATGGTGGCCGGGATGATCCAATCTGATTTTGAATCTTACTTCAATCACGACATACTCCAAGTGTCCGATCATGTTGACACTACGAGACTGATCAACGCTTGGAAGGAATTGATTCAGCGTACACCTATCCTGCGGACAGGATTTGTACAAGTCGCTCATCAGGACCTGGATATGACATATTGTCAGGTTATTGCAGAATCCTTTGACGCTGATATTGAAATTACGACAGTTCAGAACTTGGATGAGCTGCATCAACTAACCGCAACAGCAACTGCAAAAGCCAGAGAAGGAGCAGGATTAAGGCAGCTGGCTCAGTTGAGATTGGCGAATATGGGCTCTCATCGATACATGGTCCTTTCCATGGCACACGCTCTTTACGATGGATGGTCCCTGAGTTTGCTCTTCCAGGATCTCCAGGCACTATTAGAAGGAAGGCTGGTTACCCGTTCTCCAGTAGAACCATTCCTTATAAAAGTACTGGGGTCCACGAACCAGAAGGCAAAGGACTTTTGGACGCAGTATGTCGAAGATGCTTCACCATCGATCATTCCTACAAGTGAAACGTCGTCCCGCCCAACTGAGAACACCTTGCGAAGGTTGGAGTCCGCTTCGAAGATTGGCCTCTCCGAAATCGAAACAGCCTGCAAAAGGCTTTCTGTAAGCTTGCAGGTACTCTGCCAAGCTTGTTGGGCCATCACACTGGCACGTCAAACCAAAAAGCTCGATGTCCTCTTTGGCACAGTCTTATCGGGTCGGGATTTTGATGGGGCAGACAATCTTGTGTTCCCAACAATGAATACAATTGCCTTGCGATGTATTTTGCATGGCTCAGTGTTCGAGTTTCTACGATATCTTGAGGAGAACATGATCGATATCAGAGACTCTCAGCAATATCCACTGCGAAAAGTCCAAGCAGCAACGAAGCTCAATGGACAAGATTTGTTCAACACCTTGTTCATCCTTCAAAAGTCTCCGGTAGCTGAATCATCAGATCGCCCTCTACTGACATCCATTGAAGCGTCTTCGGCCACCGAGTATCCTCTTTGCGTGGAAGCTGAAGCCATGTCTGATACTCTCCTATGGCGACTCGCTCTTCAGCCCCAGTGTGTCTGGGATGGAGGACCTGAAAGCATTTTGGAGACTTTAGATACTGTCATGGGTTTCCTGATACAGCCAGGCTCCTCAGAGATTCTATCCTTCGAGGAGCATGGCGTGTCCATCTGCGGCATGGCTCCTGTCATGCTGGACGATGGAAGCAAATCTGGGTCAATAAATTCTACAGATCTATCGCCAGAGGAGGATCGGGAGTGGTCCCACGTGGAAGCCGAAATTCGAAACATTCTTCATCAGGTCTCGTGTGTTCCCGTTACCTCAATCAGGATCTCCGACAACCTCTACCACCTTGGTCTCGATTCAATTAGTGCCATCAAAGTGTCGTCCCTCCTGCGAAAGAATGAGATAAACCTCCGCCCTCAAGATATTGTTAAATCCTCAAGCATCGCAGAAATGGCTCGACTCGCCACGCAAGCCCAGGCTATACCATCAGAGACTCTGGAAACGACCGAAGAATGGGTCCCACCTGAAGACATCAATCTTGAAGTTCTGCTACGGGCTCGTGGAATAGCAAAAGAAGATGCTGAAGTACTTCCTGCACTGCCAATGCAAGTCTACATGCTCGGCGCATGGCAAAAGGCAGAGGGCTCTGTATTCTTCCCCGAGTTTCCATGTCAGATTAAGACTTCAGTTGATCTAAATGGCATTCAGACCGCCTGGGATAAACTTGTGTCTGAGTTGCCTCTCTTACGCACATGTTTCATTCCAACCCAATCCCCAACTATCCCGGTCTTGCAGGTGGTGCTCAAATCCTACAAGCTTTCCCTAACTCAGCATCCCCCCATGGAGAAGTCAAATCAGGCTGCCCAACCACTCGTTAGAGCGCACATCACGCTCCAGGAAGACTGCATCTGGTCATTCAAACTTCAGATCCACCACGCTCTGTACGATGGAGTCAGCCTTCCAGCCCTGTTACGACGATTCTCTCAACTACTGCATGGCTCTGTCGTCGCCGAGAACAATGGGTTTGCTCAGTGGAAGAACTTTGTAGTTCGTCAGGCTAGTGATGCAGCCCAGAAAGATAGACGAGCTTTCTGGGCAGCCTACTTACACGGCACTTCTTCCAGTTCAATTGCTGCTAAATCGCAAGCAGACGTAAAGAACCGAATCTCTTACTTAAACGAATCAGCGATACCAGATGTCAGTCAGATACAGGCTATTTCTACCCAGTCTGGCATTTCACTCCAGTCTTGGTTCCTTGCAGCTTATGCCAGAGTCCTCGCCACGCAAAACAACACACCAGACAATGGGTCAGTGGTGTTTGGCATGTATCTTGCCAACCGAGCCGCTGCCCGCGATAGTCTCCCTCAGGTCTACCCGACTCTGAACCTTGTTCCTTTGAGGGTTGACTCGCCCATAGAACTCCCTTTGTCTTCTGTTGCAAGGAATATCCAGAGAGACATTCACCAGATTACATCTGATGGACGATCAGACGTCGGTCTCTGGGAGATTGATCAATGGACTGGCGTACAAGTGAAATCGTTTGTCAACTTCCTGAGCCTCTCCAACGATACAGGTTCAGTAGAAAACTCGGTCACAGTTTTGTCACAAGAGATAACTGACCACTCGTACCACCATCACGTACCAGCTCAATTTGAGGCGGCTCGTCAGGGAAGCTTTTCGGTGCACGGCATTCCGGTAAGTTACTAGTCTTCAAGCTAGAAATGGCTACTAACCCTACTGTCACAGCTGGCTGTTGATGTTGAGGCTTCCGTCGATAAGGGACGTCTTGCCATCGGTATTTTTGGCTCGCAGCAGCAGATCTCTCGAGAAGAGGCTGTGCTTGTGGCTTCCAGTATCGCGGACACTTTGAGACATGCCACCGAATGATCATGGCGGCGGAAATAATGGAAATCCATCCTGTTTAGACTGACGTTTCGGGATCTAGAGCTAGACATTATGTTTTGAGCACAAGAAATGTATTTCTTCGTTTATGCAAATAAATAACAAAAGTTTCTGTCTAGTTTCAATCCTTGGGTAAACGCCTGACTCCTTCATGATGCATCTAATCGATCTCCTGTATACAGTTGGACCACATACCGATATGAAATGCCACAAAGAGTCCAAAAGGGATAAGAGAAGTGTGATGTCCAACTAAGCAGGAGATGAAAGACAGAACCCCGACCAGCAAGTTTATGCTTCTTTCAAACCGAGTATCCCAGCATTGAGCGATCTGGAAAGAGGATAATATTGGCTAGGCGCACAACCTCAGCCTCAGCGCGGGAAATCGATGATGTGCTTGTAAGGCTCTTGGCGTCTCCGTCTCCCTCCATCTCAACATCCTCATCGGCCTTAGACTTGGACTTTTCCGAGGGTGGTGATCCAGAGCGAGTGCCTGCAACTTCCCATGGCGCAAGACCCATAGCCTGTAGTGAAGAGGGACCCCCGACTTCGGCAATTTCCTTTTCACCAGGCCGTGTTTCAGCGTCCTCTTCAACAATCCCTCTTCCCGTGGAATCGAAGTCTGGGCCGGGATGGCCCCTCTGGAATGCCTTCCTTTGACGCGCAAGATAAAGTGCATTTGTTTGCGTGAGCGGAGCTGCCGGAATGTACACGAGCATGCTGACTTCACTCTTGCTTCCACTGGGTGTTTTGAGACCATAGTTGTTACTGGAGAGGTAGTATGGAAGGTCGGGGTGCCAGAATATGTAGTCTCCAGGCTGTAGCGTTGGCAAAGTAATCATGCTATTTCGTAGATGCAGATGGGGGTGCCATGTTTCAGTAATTCTTTGTGCGTGTCCCGGGACAGCTCCGTGAATGATGGAATCAGGCTCAGTTTGCAGCTTCCAATTCTCGGGAGCAAGATATGCCTCCCATTCAGGCCCAGTGCGATTCTCTGGTGGAGGATTCTTGGTTGTGAAAAAGGGTCGGAGGAGGTAGTAAGCTGTTGCAAGCTTGGGGGAAGGCAAGAGGCGAACCATGCCAGGTTCGACAGTGGAGAGTGCCAAGATGCCCTGAAACATGCGGAAGATAGTGCAGGCACCGTAGCCATTGTAAAGATCAGTTGTCACAGAAGTGCGACTGGTACATTTCCAAGGATCGTACTCTTCCCATTGACCATGAAAGATATGGTTATAGGTGCCGGCACGTTGATAACCGTCGGGCTCCCAGCGCTCCAAAGACCCGTTGTCAACTTGTGCTGTGATACCCGCAGATGATTGTAATGCCTGAATCCAATCGTCGGCGGATTGTGGCGGCTCGAGCGGCGGCACATTTAGACTGTTAGACTGGTTCTCTCCATTTCCGTGTACGCGTATGCGATCGACATAGGTGATAGGGAGTCTTGTGACAAGCTGATCGTCTGGATTGGTCTCCCATAGGCTCATCATAAATCGTTGGGCGCTGAGAACGTTGGGGTGCGCCCTCGAGCGGACTTGAGCTGGTGTCCAAAAGAAGTCGAAACAAGCTGGATCATGCTGCTGGAGTGCCTTGATATGGCGTTTGCTATCGAGATAGTCGACCGTTTCGCGGACTGCAGTATCCGTGTCTGCTCTTGGTACGACCTTGCGGACGACGCCGACACCGTAGCGCCTGAGATCATGTCCAAAGCGCGCAGTCTGAACAGAGTCATCTAGGTCGCCAAACTCAATCGAAGGAATGAGGTGAGCCCCAAGGTCCTCTATGTGGCTGACCTCTTTGCGAAGTGCAGTAATGAGGCGGGCCCAACTAGCTTCGAGCTCAGCTTCGTGACCACTGATTAGGTTGCGCTTGATGCGGGCGAAGCGGGAGGGCAGAGCAATTGGCTCTGGGCCCCAAAAGGAAATCACGGGAGCATCTTTGTCCATAGAAGAGGCGGTGCTGAGGATCGGTGTTGTTCCATTTGTTTTGGGCTTTTGCGACACCGAGGAGAGGCCGTTCGATTTTAGCGAGGGGAGAGCTGTCGTCGTTGTGCTTGACTGGCTACCCGCCATTGTGCCGGCGACGTTAGCAGCTAGTGCCGCGGTAAGCTTTGCCTCGTAGGATAATCTTGCACTCTCCGTAGCAGCAGCATTCACAAGCGACGCTGCGATTGGTGCTGAAAGAGAAGAGCGATGGCGAGACTTGGTGACGCGACCGGTTTGTGTGAGGTTGAGGTTATTGGGACTGTTGTTAGAAGCAGCAGCAGTATTGGTAGCGTTGTAAGGGGATGCGCCTGATAGTGAGCCTGAGCTGGAGCTGGAGGGGTTTGACCGACCAAGGCGGGAGCGGGAAAGAGCAGCTCTGACCTGTTGACCTGCCACATCAGCGCCTTTTCTAGGCGGCAAGTGCACCCCTTCTGGCCCTCCTCCTCCTCCTCCTCCTCCTCCTCCTCCCTCCCATACCTCCCGCTCTCCTCTTCCATCTCCTCCTCCACCTTCCGCCGCTATAACTGTTTCGACCCTTGTTACCGGTCCCATGGTTGCAGCATCCCACTTCTCTTGGGCCTCCCTAAGGCTTTTCTGTTGTTTCGCCTCACGTGCGCCTTTGTGATCTACATCGTGGAACTGACCATCTTCTTCTGAGATGTGACCATCGTATGGTTTTCCATATGCGACTCTTCCAAGTCCATGTGTAAGACCGTCCCCGACAGCTACAGCCGCCACTGCTGCTGCTCCTATTGCAGAGGCTAGTCCTTGAGCGTTGTCCAATATTGGCGCGGTGACCTCTTCTTCACACGTTGTCGGTGGTAAGTCGATTGTTGGTGTAGCCATTTTTCTAACCTCGAATCGCGTTTTGAAGTTGGGGATTTCTGGGGATGCAGCCGCTGACAGCCGATTGAAGGCTCTTGGATCGGTTATCTATCGCGTCTGCTTGTTAATGCTTTAAAAACACAATAAAAACCTTCTGCAACCTGAATATCTCAGCCATAGGGACACAGCAATCCGTCAGATGGTTTTATGCATCAAATTGCAAAGATTCGAGAACAGAGCGAAATCAACAAATGCATATGTTGCTATTCAGCTTGCACTGCTTCTTCTATAAACCTCACTTAAAACGAAGGTATGGCCCCTACCGATCGAGACCTCTTTAGCAGGCGGCTGGCCGGACCGGGGCTCTGCTAAGACCATCTCACCTGTCATTCCGGAAGATACTCTGTGATATCCCCATGGAGGAGTAGAGGGTCCTCGACAGAGGGACCCTGCACAACGGCGCAACGGCCGACGTGGATGGATCTCACAGACACGTTTCGGCCCTGTCATCCGTCGAACCACCCACTCCACGCTCAACGCTCCGTCCCGAAACCCCGGACATACCCCACACTTTTCCTTTTGGGGTAGCTGATGGATGCACGGCTCCACGGGCCATAACCCGTCTAAATGGATACCAGTGCACCCGCCGAGAAAAGTCAGGTAACAAAGTGAGTCGCGGGAATGGTCATCAGCTGGCCACCTGAGACCCAACAAGATACAATATGCATAATAATAACGCGCAATGCTATATCGATCTTGTGGCATCTTGCCACTGCTTATTATCACCTTATCTCAGCCGCCGAGAACGCGTCCAAGATTGAATGTCCTGCATCGCGCCTCGGAACCCCCGATTGGTGCTGGACCATCGGCGCATATCGAACTTTCGTTTCATCATGGAAATATGATCTAGTATTCCGGGCCTTACGAGACACATTAAACTGAACGATCCGGGTGGTTTAGTGGTGGAAAGTCGCCGGCCCGCTGTGCCTGTTTTACTGAGCCGTCGCGGCAAAATATGAATTGGTCAAGAAGCTGGGTCAAGGGCCTCATCGGGGAAATACGATCCGACACCGGCCCAAGCGATCGGAAGAACAACGGCAAATCGGGCCACAAGCCCCCGAGGGTCTTATTTGGTAAACGAACTTCAAATTTTCCTAACTATCCAAGGTATACTCGCTGCGATAATGCAATCATACGCTAATCATTTAATCATACAGATGTCCAAAAACAGTGGTTTTCCCCCGTTTACCCCCACGAGCAGAAATTTAAAAAATTGCCCGAATGATGCTTACAGTCGGGAGTGCTTGGGCTTCCAGCCCTCCTCTTGAGCAATGAGCTCGGCAGCTCGCTCACCAACAGCGAGCACAGTCACCATGGGGTTGATTGTTGGCATCTCGGGGAAGATACCAGCATCAACAATGCGGAGCTTGCTGATTCCACGAACCTTGAGCTCGGGGTCGACAACAGCCATCTCATCACGCTCAACGTCACCCATCTTAGTGGTACCGGCAGGGTGGTAGACTGTGTGGGCAACTCGGCGAGCATATTCACTAATCTCCTCATCCGTTTGGATCTTGGGACCAGGGGCGACTTCTCCCTTGAGCCAGTCCTTGAAGGGGCTCTGCTGCGCAATCTTTCGGGCAGCCTTGATGCCGTGGACCAGGGTGGCGGCGTCGTAACCCTCGGGGTCGGTGAAGTAACGGAAATCGAGAGCAGGCTTGACAGTAGGGTCGGCTGAAGTCAAGTAGATGCGGCCACGGGAGCGAGGACGGGGAATATTGGGTGTCATGCAGAAGGCGTAACCGTCCTTGATAATAGGATACCCTAGACGCTCTGTGTTGAGGTGGAAGGGAATCTGGTAGCAGTGCATCATGACATCAGCGGCATCGCCGTCGTTACCAGCAGCGTTCTTAGGCTCTCGTCGCAGGAAAATACCAGCATCGGAATCCATGGTGGTCTGATTAGCAGGAACGGGCTTGTTGAGCTCCCACATAATAATGGTCTCCGGGTGGTCTAGGAGGTTCTCGCCGACACCTGGAATGTCCTTGACAACAGGAATCTTGAGGTCCTCAAGCTGGCCCTTGGGTCCAATACCAGAGTGAAGGAGAAGCCTGGGGGTATCGACAGCACCAGCAGACAAGATGATCTCCTTGCGGGCGTTAAGAGTATGCTTCTCGCCGGACTTGAGAGTGACATTGATGCCAGTGGCAACGTCGTTTTCGACAATGACCTTTGAGACATGGGCCTCAGTGAGGACGGTCAAGTTGGGTCGTCGCTCATCGCCACGAAGGATAGGGTGAATGTAGGCGACGGAAGCACTGCTGCGGTGGCCGGTGTCAGGGTTGTAGGAGACAGAGAAGAAACCAGCGCCCTGGGTCAACTGTCCCTTCTCGGAGATCTCGTGATTGAAGTCGTGGATGATGGGAATGCCCATGGCCTCGGAGCAGGCCTTGACCCAGTCCTTGGTGAGCTGGTTACGGTGACGGGGGTGAACGGGGTTCAGCTGGTTGCGCAAGTTGTCAACGTTACGCATAACGGTTTCGAAGTCCCAGCCCTTGCAGCCCTTGGCGACCCAACGATCCATGTCGTGGCGGAAGGGGCGGAAGGAGATGAGAGTGTTGTGAGAGGAGCATCCACCGAGAACCTTTGCACGTGAGTGTCGGATGTGACTGTTGCCATTGGGCTGCTCAGTTGTGGGATAATCGTAGTCGAGATCACCACCAAGGAGAGATAGCCACTCGCGAAGGTTCAGGACATTGTTGAGACCGAAGTCTGAAGGGCCAGCCTCAATCATAAGAACCTTGCGCTCAGGAAGGTAGGAGGATAGGCGGGAAGCCAGAACACATCCAGCCGTGCCACCACCTACGATGATATAGTCGTAGGCGGAGCTGGCAGAAGCGGGAAGATACTCAGTAGTCATGTTGGAGGAGTTGAGCGAGAGGAAAGTTGAACAAGAGATTCAATGGAGGGATGGGTAAAGATCTTGCACGATGTCTCAGTCGTTTTGGCTCCAGGGGTATCAATGAATGGTGGTGAGGGAGAAGTGAGGAAGAATGAAGCGACTTGAAGTCCAGGAGATTGAGAGCTCTTGTACTCGAGCATCGAGACAATCAAGATCTTTTTGAAATGGATGGACATCAGCTCAAAGTGGGGTCCTGGATCATGGAAGGGGTCCTTGGAAGCATCGTACAGTGCGGATGAATTCTCGCTACTGGCGTCCAGCCTTGACTCGATGTAGTGTTCTGACTGTTCCAAGTACCCTTTAGTGGTCAGTAAGGAGTTCTGATTGGCCAGAGCTGCCAACATCGAGCAAGGCTGGTGGGTGGATCAAAACTCCAAGACGGGCGGCGGCGGCGGCGAGAGCTAACCAGGGAGAGAACTGGCTGAAGCATCAAGCAAGCCACGAACCTAGCAGGAGCGGGGCATTGGCGGGGGTTTGAACGGCAAAAAGCTCTTCACCGACTCCGGGAATCTTTTTTTCGGTGTTACCGAAGTTTTGGATATCCTAAACCAGTGTTCCGAACTTGCATGACGTTGACAATTTCGTTATCAGTCAGTTGGTTGATATCTTTGTAGATAATGGAAGTGACAGGCAGAGTAGCTGAGAGTTAGACCAGGAGGCTCGCCATGTGAAAAGACGCGATTTCTAGGGGGCAGAAACATGTGGGCAATCAAGTCGCTAGGGGGGCTGTCTGCGATGTCCCTGCTTCATTCTTTATCGTGCTACCAACACATGCAAAGACGGTGCCATCTCTTTGTTTGCTCTGGCCGCTGCAACCGCGCAAAGAACGTTGGTTGACGCGGCGACTGTTTGATAACTGTTCGGTGTTCAACGGTGGTTGTGGGGCCGTCTGACGGCGAAAAGATGGAGTTCAAGGAACTGCGCTGGCCGGATCCGGCTCCACGAAGTCTCCGAAGGAAACATTGTACTCAAGATTGATTGCTGATTGGGCACGATGGCGAATTGCTTCCATATGTTCAATAAGAAGCAGAATAACTATTTGCCAAGTCAACTTCATATTTGGAATCTACAATCGGCCTATGGACTGCCAGACGAAAGCTGCTGATATGATATCGCGAACTGGCTGGACCGGTTAACCGGCCATGTCGCTGTTTGATTACGAGGCTTAAAACACGGTAACACGGCGCAGGGTCGCCGCTCTCCGCAGAGGATGCGTCGAGTGTTGAGCTGATGTGTATGATTATAGGATTCCTGATGTACAGGAAATACCTGTTCGGGATTCGCGTGCTGTACTATCACATTCTCTTCATCCAGACCACATTGGATAATCTGCAGGGACAGTGTCTTGCACCACTGGAACCCCATATTGCCATGTGCCGTGGAGGATGCCAAGTTTGAAATGTTGCTTAGCATACTGATCAGGTAAAGCGTGGTTGGGGTACCTGGCCGTCAGATCGATAATCTCCAAGATCGATTTTTTGAGGTGTGGTAATTGGACAGTGCGCCCCCGCCGAGTTGGCAAATCCCTTCGTTTTTTTTGCTTTTCTTGATTCCAATTTTTTTAATGCTGACTTTTCTGCCGCTGAAACCCGCTCGAATTACTGGCAGAACAATCGTGTGTGTAGCTGGACTGATAAGCGAATTCGCTCGCCTTAGATGAGAGTTCTATCCATTGATATGAAACAACATTCAAGCGCCTTGCTTTCTTCACAGTTCAACGGTCAAGAGCCTCGGACTGGATGCAGAGCTCTAGGGGTGGCAGGTGGACAGCTCGAAGCTCAGCAATGACGTTGGCGTGTCCACTCTTGTGCTTCCCCTCGGCCAGCCACTCAAGCTTGGCGTTCTTCGGCATTGTCAAGACTGGGATTCTGTAGCTGGGCTGAGGACAAGGCGCGATGCAAGGCTGCCCAGGTACTGAGAAAACAGGACTTTTTGGCAGGGGCTTGCACCAGAAACTGTCTGCAGCATTTTTGTCGGAAAGAGGGCGGGGCTGGCGGGTCCAGTCTTCCAAGCCTTCCGAGCTGTTCTGTTCTTCATCAGCCCGCAGAGCACAGTACTCTCCAGTACCAGATTCACGCATCCATTGGTTGGACAACTTATCAATTGCAAATGGAACCGTTTTTACCCCTTCTTCCTCAGGTTCATTATCTTTCGCTAAGTGAAAGTGGTCTGATAATATGCGGCTTTATTCCAACAGTGCAGAGCCGCTACTCTCCGTATCGATGCAACGCTGAGGCGTTCAAGACACACCCTCACAATGAATGGTCGTCGACAACTACCTAACTACCTGTTCTCGCAACTGACTATCCGTATCTCTTCAGATCTGCTCGAGTCATGATGGGTGGTAATCCTTCCCCAGGTCTGCTGATCTCACCACGTCACAGACAAGGGCTTCACAGCCGAAAATCGCTATCAGTTCCGTTTGAGACTTGTCTCTGAATGACCATAGCTTGGTAAATTGAGTTCTTGCTCGTGTTGCTTGCCATTGAATGTTGGTTGCATGGTTGATACTTCGGCTAGGCTCTCACTGGATGGTCAATTCCACTGTGACGGCACAGTATTGCTTGGCCCCACGTCATTGTATCTTGCTAGAAGAGGAAGGTACCCGGCATCAGTCAATTGTGGGGCAATTGCCATCCAGTCTCGACGGTACTTCATACTGATCCTCACAAGCTTAACATATTAAGGTACGATACCTTACTTACAGCCAGCTCCCCACATGTAACCAACAGAGCATCTTTTCAACCCATTCTGAATATCTGCCTATCTATCTGTCTTTCGCGTGGTACTTTACTTTATTCAATCTCCCTCTACATACCCTGTTGCATGCTCCTTCTTCTCTCATACCAACCAAGTTACAATGACTTTCTCATCTGAGATTCACACTTTCCACTCAGGTCGCCCACAGCCTGAGTCCTCCTCAAAGACCAACACCTTTGTGTCCGTCGATCCAAGCAATGCAAAGCCGCTTGCTACTATCTACACTACCACGCCAGAACAGCTCAACTCGGCCATTGCAGCGGCCCAGGCCGCTTTTCCAACATGGTCACAAACCCCAGCACCTCGCCGAGCTGCCATTCTTCTCAAGGCAGCCGCTATACTTCGCGAGCGCAATGACGAACTTGCGCTGACCGAGACCCTTGATACCGGCAAGCCTTGGTCGGAAACATCAACCGTTGACGTTGCAACTGGAGCTGACGTTCTCGAGTATTACGCACATATCGCTGCTGGCAGCTTCCCTGGTCAAAATACTCGTCTTCGTGCTGACGCTTTCGTTCTCACTACCCATGAGCCCTTGGGCGTTTGTGCCGGTATTGGTGCATGGAACTATCCCATACAGATTGCTCTCTGGAAGTCGGCTCCATGCTTGGCTGCTGGCAATTGTATGGTGTACAAGCCAAGTGAAGTCACTCCTCTGCATGCCCAGACACTCGCTCAGATCTACATTGAGGCCGGTGTCCCCCCTGGTGTATTCAATGTTGTCTACGGTGACGGTATCGCCGTTGGAGCCCCTCTTGTCGCCCACAGCAATATTGCCAAAGTCAGCTTCACTGGTCAAGTTAGCACAGGCAGCAAAGTTGCCAGCCAAGCTGTCAAGGACATGAAGGGTGTTACCATGGAACTGGGTGGTAAGAGTCCACTTGTTATTCTTCCTAATGCCGATATCGAGGAAGCAGCCGACACTGCCATGGTAGCCAACTTCTTTTCCACCGGACAGGTGTGTACCAACGGCACCCGTGTCTTTGTCCCTGACACTCTGTTGAGCCAGGTTGAGCAAGCTATTGTGCAGCGATGTCGCGAGGGAATTCGCATGGGTCTGCCTCAGAACGGGGAGACCAACTTTGGACCCATGGTCAGCGCCGCGCAGCAAGAGAAGGTTAAGATGTACATCCAACATGGACGTACAGTGGATAAGGCGAAGGTTCTTTTCGACGGCTCGGAGGAGCCCAGCATGGCACAACCAACCTCTGATGGTTTCTGGGTTCACCCTGTTGTATTCACAAATTGCACTGACAACATGCGCGTTGTCAAGGAAGAGATATTCGGTCCAGTCATGTGCATCATGCCATATAGCACCCAAGGACGCCCTCAACAAGAATGGGTGTCAGAGCTCATTGCCCGGGCTAACGATACCCCCATGGGTCTTGCTGCTGGTGTTGTGTCATCCGATGTGGGACTGGCACATGAGGTTGTGCAGAAACTCGACGCTGGAATTACTTGGATCAACACATGGGGTGAGTCACCAGCTGAGATGCCTGTAGGCGGCTGGAAAATGAGCGGAATAGGATTGGAAAATGGCCACGAGGGAATAGCTGCCTATATGAGGACGAAGAGCACACTGGTACAGCTTGGTAAGGGTGCTTGTAAGGGTGTGTTTTCAAAGCTATAAAGGAATAAATTAAAAGTATTTTAATTAAATAATAATAAAATATTAAAAAATAAAATATTTTAATTTATTTTATAATTATAATTAAATATAAAAGGTATTAGTTATTTAAAATTATTTTATATTTATATTTATTTTAAAATAATATTTTATTTTTTAAGTTTATAAGTTATTATTAAAAGGTATATTTAAGTATTTTTAAAATATAATATAATTTAAATATTTATTACCTCTTAATAAGTAAAGCTTTATTAAGTTAATATTATTATAATTAATTCTTTTAATTATTATTAAAACCTTAGTAATTTTTTTTTTAAAGTTTAAATACCTATTTAAGAATATATAAAATAAAACTAAAGGTATTAAAATAAGATAATAAAATTTAAAAGTTAAAATACCTATTTAGTAATATATAAAGTAAAGCCAAGGTGTTAAAATAAGATAATAAAATAAGGTATTTATTTTTAATATAATATAATATAAGATATTATATATTACGCTAAAAAACATAATAACCCTAATATTAAGGCTTAGTAGATTATATAGTTATTGCCTTAAACCTTAAGATCTAACTAAATAGGGTTAGTAATAAATTAAATTAGGTTATAAGATAACACAGTAGGAGAAACATAAGTTAAGGATAAACATAATTAAATAACACTTAGGAAGATAATAAAATAAGATATTTATTTTTAATATAATATAATATAAGATATTATATATTATATTAAAAAAGTATAATAACCTTAATATTAAGTCTTAGTAGATTATATAGTTATTACCTTAAACCTTAAGATTTAATTAAATAAATAGCCTTAATTTATAAGTATAAAAAAGATATTTTCCTTATTCTTAGAAGATTAAATATCCTTTTTATTATTACCTTATTAAGATAATTACTATTAAGGCTTTAATATTAAAAGATTATATCAAAATAAGCTAAAAACTTTAATTTTTATTATTAATTTTTTTTTCTTTTTCTTTTCCCTTATTATTAGCCTTATATAAGGCTATTAAGCTTTTTAACTTTTTTATAAAGGCTTAAATAATAAGACCCTTATAATAGGCTATTATTATAAAATTTAAAATTATATAAGGTTTATTTACCTTAATAGTATAATTACTACCTTAACTAGGTAGTATTAATACTAGTTACCTCTTAGTAGTTAAGTTACCCTTTTTTCTTTATCTTACCTAAAGGACTAAGATAATACTATACTAAGTCTATTTATTATACTTTTAAAGTAAGTTTCTTAACCTGGCTTTTAACCCTTCTTACTAATAGTATAATAGCTATACTGCCTTAATGCCTATTATTATAATAATTCCTTAATAGGAAAGCTAGGTAGGCTTAATAGTATTATATTAACTAAAGCTTAGGGAAGAGAAGAATCCTCTATAAGGTAATTTCTAAAAAAGAGGGCAATTTGCAGTTAATTTATTATTATTACCTAACTAATAATTAACTAGCTATCTTATCTTAATTCAATAAGATAAGGAAGTAAGGTAAATATAATAATTATTTCTCTTTTTATAAATAACTATTTATAGCTATTAACTTATAAATAGTAGTATTTTTAAAGGTATTTAAAAGTAAGTCCTTAGTCTTTTAATTTAAAGGCTTTATTACCTATTGCCTTAGTCTTAATTTAGGTAAGATAAAAATATCTTTTTTCTTTCTCTTAATTTCTTTTTTTTTCCTTTTTTTATTACTTTAATCTTTTTTTCTTATACCTCTTAGTCTTTATTATAATCTTATCTTTATACTTATAATCCCTTAGCCTATATATCTTTTACTTCTTAAGCTTTTAGCTATTTTATACCTATATTATATTAATATTACTTATATTATCTTATTATTATAATTTTATTTTTATAATAATTATTATAATTACTTTATTTTTATTTTTATAATAATTATTATAATTACTTTATTTTTATTTTTATTTTATATTACTTTTAATCTTATTATATCTTTTAATCTTCTTAGTATTTTTTTATATTATTATATTCTTTATTTTAATATTTTTATCTTTAAGCTAAAACTATATCTTAATAATTTTTAATATTAATAATAATTTTTATTCTCTTAGGAATACCTCTTATATCTTTCTTAACCCTAGCTTAAGTTATTATTATTATTATAATAAGTTAAGGCAAAGTTATAAGATATAAATAGTATTTTATCTTAAAGTTATTTAATTTTAATTAAGTTATTAATAATTTTATTTTAATAGGTATCTTAAGATAATAAATAGTAATTAGGCTAACCTTTATATTTAATTTATTTTTATTAATTAAATTATTTATTAAACTAATAATAATAATAGCTTAATTCTTAATATAAAGGATTATTTTATTTTATTTAAGGCTATTTAAAGGCTATATAAGGTATATTTAATTATAATTATAACTTATATTAATCCCTAGTTTAAACTATTATCTTTTTATTAACTTTACTTTATTTATTCTTATATATAAGGTTAATTAATTATATGCCCTACTATATGCATTTAATTAATAGAGGCTAATTATAACTTCAGGTTAATTTAACTTTTACTAACTAACTAACTTATATAAAAGTTAACCTAATTCCTTTAACTTTCTGCAAAACCCCGCCTTTACCCTATGTTTATCTCTATGCTCTTATGGTTTAAGACTATAATCAGGCTAGTTTATATATTACTAATTTA